ATGATTCTTTTTTACATAAATGTTTCTGTAAGTTTCTCAAAACGATACGGTAATGATTTAGTAAAAGGGACATTGTTGTTGACATTAGCAATTTAACTACAGGAGTAAATGTCAACTTCTTAAGCTTCTGTACAGTAAGCACAATTAAGTGGTATAGTATTAATCATATCAAAACAACTTATACAAGAATGTATAAAGAACTTTTTTGTCTATTACCGTTTGATCTACGGTATCCGAAAAAAAATCTTTATCCTCACATAAAATGTTTACGCCCTGTCACAGTACAATATCTTTCTTCCCCTGTAAGTTTGTTTATCCATCTGTGATAATACGCCGAAGCAAAAAGCACGTGATCAGCCCCTAGTAATAAAAAATACAGCATACATTTTGGAGTAAATACATTTTCATTACTCTGCTGACACCATGATAATACAACCCTTTCCTACAAAACACAATTGTACACAAGTAACGGTGTATTGGCTGTATTGAACGCGACTTTGGCTCCGCTCCAGCATTTCCAGGTGAGGTGGTCACTACAGTTTGTTACAGTTTCCTTCTGTTTTCCTCTCTAGTTACATGCCACCCTCCCTCCAACAACTGTACTTTCCCAACCTGTGGGATGAGATGGTTTAAATTCAACTCTGGTGTTAATGTTCTTTTTTATTCGAGTGTAACTTATATATTTTTGGTGGTTACCAAAATGTAACAAAGGTTTATAAACAGATAAGAAATTAGCTTGTTTTCAACACTAAAAGCAAGCAAAGAAGGTGCTGTGATCCAACTCAATATCATAATTTGTTACCGTATTAATTACGAGAACTCATTAATATTTGCCTATTCTTATATGTATTGTATGTACTAATGTACATTTTTGTTTTCAGGTATGGAGATAGCATGGAATGGTAACCTAATTCGAGGATTCATGTATGTATTGCTTGGTTTTAGTAACAATACCAACCCATGGTAATTAGGTAATTAGTGATAAAAGTACATAAGTGTATAGCAATCATGTAAATTTTAATTTTAAGAAGCCTAGCAATGTTTATTTGTGATATTTTAATTTTTTATATTTCACCTCTTGTCAAAATAATATGCATAAAAATTATATTTTTAAAAGATTATATTCTATTTACTTTTACCAGTTTTTTAATGACTACATAATTTTTTATTAATACCATTGCTACACTTACAACTTGGCGTACTGTTTGGTTACAAATCGAGGTTTAATAATGAGGTATACGTTTCCTAAAATTCAAATTGCACTGTCCAATTCCTATTTGATTTGTATTGTGTTTGCTACATCATATTTAAAAAGTGTTTTTGTTTAATTCATAGTTGAAATAAAATAAATTTGGTGAAAATTTTTAATAGTCTAAATAACAATTTACCTCCTTGTAGGCCAAATATCATAAAATGACTCTTTAAGAAGCTGAGATTAATTACCTATTAGTTATGTCCTATACGAAACGGTATTTTTTTTTTACACAAAAAACCTTACGATTGTCGCCTAACTTTAAGCAGTTAGTGTACATAATATCGTATTGAAATATCTAGAAAAGCTTATAAAACAACTTAAATATTATTTGAAACATCGAAGAAAGCACTTATATAATCATAATCACCTAAAAAGATAGCAATTTCAGTTAGTCTTTTAAATTGGAAAAGAGTCCTTTTACACTCTTAGTTCCCACTAATTCAAAACTCTTTTGTCAGAGTCATCATCAAATTAGGCCTCAGCTCTTAAGTTTTCAAGTCCTCTAGAGGTGTAATAAGACCTCAGACATACAATCTTTTGTTTTACTTCCTCTCTCGGCGTCGGCGAGAAAACTTGAAACGTATAACAACCACTTTAGTTTAGCTGTGGTAAAGTATTTTAAATGTAATTTTAACTTTTAATAACATAGGCGTATGCAATGAACGTGTATAGTGTAAAGGAAACAAATAGCTATAAACTAAAAAGTAATGGTTGTAAAATTGGGCTTACACTTGTACTTTTAATACAATCAGACTATTTGATTAGCTAAATTGTTAATACTCAATTTTTTCCGTTACCATCTCTAACCTGACTTCATATAATTCTGTAGCAAAATTTAAAAAAATATTATTAAAACACCTCGTTTCTTGAGTGTGGCGGATTGCATTTGGTAAATATGTACAACAAATATATTAACTTAGGGGTATTACTGCATAATTGCCGTTTTGGAGGTTACTACATTTTTGTAGTAAAAGTTTCAGAGGTAAAGACTAGATATATTTTTCCTGAAAATACCCTATAATACTTAGAAACCCCCTTTTGGCAACACTGTAAAAGAATGTTTTAAATTTAAACTTTGAAAATGAGGAAGAAACTAAACAACATTTGTCTTCAAGTTTTAATTACTGTAATCTCTGAGGCCTGAAAGCTATTTAGCTAAGCTACATTCAGAATACAGCTAGTGAAGCAAGAGTTGTCTTGTTATTTATAGGGTATCTTAAAGTCGGGAGTACAAATTAAAATTGCATTAAAAGAAGACAGAACAGATTTTAAAAATACAGCATTGGTGGATGAATTTATATTTGTACTGTTCGTCATTGTAACTTAATATACAGGTTGATTTTTTATATATTTATAATAATATGTAATGTAGTTTTGTATTGCTATATCCTTAGGCCTTAAGAGGGATTTTCCTACCTGAATTAAGTTACCATTATCAATTAAAGTAGCATTTTTAGTAGCAATTAATTTGCATAAACAGTTTCTTCTCTTTTTGTCAACTGACTGTGGTTAAAAAAGCTATAGATAACCAGTTGTTAAACAAACATTTGCAATTTTAAAACATTTTAAAGTAGGCTATTTAGAGGAACTTGGCATCGTGTTCAACTAAAAATAAATCAAAGGCTGTGGGCAAAGCCCTAAAATACATGATCTTAATTACAAAAAGATCCTGTCCTGTGCTAGATCATAATATTTGAAAGACACCTTAATGGTGATAATCGGTTATGGGTGAAAAGGTACAGAGAAACACCGTAGGTATATTCGGTATTTAAATCTGTAATCTGCTAAAACAATATACTGTAGAGGGCCTGGTATCTTGTTTATTGACATAAACAAGATACCAGGCCCTCTAGAGTATATATCGCTGCTATGGTTCGTCTGCTTACATTTTCTTTGTTATTGTTGTAAACAAGATGGCAGCCCATATTGCCAAATTTTAAACAATGCAAGATTTAGAAAAACGTATTCTATTATGCATATTGCTTACACTTATTTTATGCCTTGGCCTGATTCCGTATAGTTTTACAAATCAAAATTGTTCTTACATTTCATAAATTCTGTAATCAATTGTCTGGATAGCCGAGTGGTTATGGTGCTTACCTTCAAAACTGAAGGTAGCTGGTTCAAATCCAAGCAAAGTAATTTCCAGGCCAAGATGACGTTATTGTGCTCTCAATTAATGATACCATCGAGCAAAAGGTTAAAAGGTTAAAGGTTAAGGTAAAAGGTTAGGTAGTGACAATACCATCGAGCAAAAGGTTAACGTTAGGTAGTGACAAGACCAGGGTTTGGACCGTTCCCTTACCTTGGTTGCAATGGAATCATTATTCTATGTCATTCTGAAGAGTGTTGTTTTTCTTTGTAAAGACATTAAACTTACTTCCAAGTAAAACCGTGTATTCTTATAGCAAAGGTAGCATTGGATTAATAAAAAAAATGTAAGTTGTTGCAGGAGCAACACAAAAATAACTTGTGTCCTATAAATTTTAAACATTTGAGAGTTGTGTACATGGTTGCACTTTCCTCTAGAAAAGCTATCCCAAGACATCGGTTGGATTTCGTCACACTTGGAAGCTCCCTTTCAACAGTTTTGTCTGCCAAGTGAAGCTTTTAGGTGTCTTTCCTCCTCCATCATTCCACACTCACTCAACTAAAGTAACCCGAACTTGTCTATCTTGTGAAAAGACAATTATTTTAATAACCCTAACATGTTTAGTTACTGTAAAAAGGAATAGCCTATTTTTGTGTGTTTGTGTTGGAATAATTTTAAATTAATAAATCCCAAAGTCTCATAAGGAAAAGCTTTCCAAACTCATCATAATTTTGCGGAAATGTCGCGTATCGAACGTGTTTCCGTGTTCTCTTGCGTTGAAGACCTCGCAAACAAAACTTTATAAATGTTTCTTCAACTCCAGTGTAAATGCAGCTTAAAACGATTTCTGAAAACAACTTCTAGTGGAACACCCGAATATCTGTTGTAAAAATTGAAACTATTTCTTGAAAAAAAATTGTGTTCTTTGGGTTGTTGTAAACTTTTGTTTAAAAAATGTGTCGCTAGTTAGCGACACAATGTTGCTTAATGTTGCTGGTAGTTACCAGCAACATTAAGGTAACTACAATCATAGACTAACCAACACAAGGGAGTATGTTTTATCTATGCTACAATAGACGTTGTATTATTAAATATAACAACAGATTTACATGAAATCACAGATTATTCATTACTATGTTTTATTCAACTCAAAGGTTACACAAGTAAGATCAAACATTTCACTGATGTCTGAATATTTAAGTTATGACTTATGACATGAGTCAACATGTCATCATTGCCTGAAATGTGAATCACTATTAGTTGTTCTATGTTGACACAGTAAGTAACTGTTTGCAATTTGTAATTTTTTTTTTTAATTGAAAAGCCCACTGCTCTAGATTTTTTTAATGGTTGTTTTTTTTATTTGTATAACTTATATTTGTCAAGAACACTCTATATTTAGCATTTAAAGTTATCTATCAAACAAAATCAAGTTCAACAAGATCGAACAATTAAGACCTTATTTTGCCTTGGCATGTATGTACAACTAAAAATAATGATCTCACTAAAATCGTAAAATATTTAACCTAAGAAAATAGTCTATAATTTATGGAACAAAGATTTTACTCTCTTATTCACCAAATTAATAAATATCAAGCTGATATTTTTGACTGCACTTGTACCATATGTTCATCAACTAATTACTTGTTGCAGTACTTCCAGAGAAGTGGGAAGATGGTGGAGATCAACAGAAGACTCAAGAGTCAAATTTGGAGTTCAGTCGTCACGATTGTTCTGGTCGAGGGGAAGAACCTCTTACCGATGGACATCGACGGATTCAGCGATCCTTACGTCAAGTTCAGGTGAGACATTTGGTATCATGTCACTTAACACTGGCTAGTAATCGAAGCCAAAAAAGCAAGAAACCAATTTATTTTGAAGCCCAATTTCATTTCATGGGAATAAAAGTTCATATAACTCATCTATCATGTCTTAGGATGCCAGTTAAGTATACAGATCGAAATATAAAATTATATTTTTCAGATTGGGAAATGAGAAGTACAAAAGCAAAGTCTGCTACAAAACTCTCAACCCCAGCTGGCTTGAGCAGTTTGACCTTCATCTCTACGACGACCAGAGCCAAGAGCTGGAGTTGACAGTATGGGACAAGGATCGGTCCAAAGACGACTTCATGGGCAGGTGAGAGGCGATGGTTTGATAAAGAATGAGTGATGGATAAATGATTGATGGAGTAAATTAGTGATGGAGTAATAGTGGACTAAAAACTTTAGCCATGCAGAAAACAGCTGTTTGGCTACGTTATAACATGTTGCACTGCTCTAACATTTTGAAATGTTTTGAAGGTGTAGCATAGATCTCAGCCAATTGGAGAGAGAGAAGACTCACAGGATCAAGCAGGAGTTGGACGAAGGTGCGGGAACTATCTTTCTACTGCTAACCATCAGTGGCACCACCGCGTCAGAGACGATATCAGACCTGACGACCTACGATGACAACCCTCGCGAGCGGACCGTACTGGAGGACCGTTATGTGAGTTGGAACACATTCTTTTTTTACACTACTACCCTAGTATGTAAATATATGGTGAAAATCTCAATTTATAATTTTTATAATAAACAAATAAACCACCAACCAAATGGTAGTTTTGTTCAAGAAACTTTATTCATTAGTGTACATACTTTTCATATTACTCCATAAACAGTGCCAGTGGTGGCGTTTACAGTACAGCTTTTCCTTATATTTTAATTCATAAACTAACTTGTTCCAAGGAGTTTTTTTTCCTCTATAGACAGTTTACAAATTTAGTACTGTATGAGAAAAGTTATTAGCTTTTTGATGGTCCAGCCGTTCCTGATCAGAGCTTTAAATAAATGATCGTGACTGAAGAAACAGCTGATCTTAGTCAGTAAAAAGCTACACAGATCGTCCACAATATTTTACAGCTTTATTTGAACGGGTAAACGCAAGTTTAAAGGAGACTACCTACCTTTTTAATAATAGAAGATTCATTCCTGTATTGTCCACAGGCGCTGATGAGAACGTTCCACAACATCCGAGACGTTGGTCACTTGACAGTACGAGTGTACCGAGCGCAAGGCCTCGCTGCGGCAGACTTAGGGGGCAAGTCTGACCCATTCTGTGTCCTGGAACTGATCAACGCTCGGCTCCAAACACAAACAGAATACAAGACTTTGTCACCCTCCTGGCAGAAGATCTTCACATTGTAAGACACTATTAATCATTATGTTCCACCTTTACATTCTAGGATGCAGGCTTTAGCCTGAAACCGTTTTACACATTTCAGGCTAGTCCTAGATGGTTGCGGTATTATCACTTGGATAAATCCATTGGTGATTGGCAGGATTTGAACCCGGGACCACAGTCTCGAGCTCTACCACTAGACCAGCTTGCTCACCAATATTATTTATCCAACAATTAGTTCTCTAACCATCCATCTAATGTCAAAAAATAATTTAAGAAACCACAATTATGCACATTTTATTTTGTTTCAGCAATGTGAAAGACATTCATTCGGTGCTTGAGGTCACTGTCTACGATGAAGACAGAGACCACAAGGTTGAGTTCCTCGGTAAAGTTGCCATTCCACTTCTGAGGATACGCAACGGAGAGAAACGCTGGTATGCTCTGAAAGACAAGAAACTCTACGGAAGGGCAAAAGGAAACGCCCCTCAGATACTGCTGGAGATGAACGTTATTTGGAACCCTGTAAGATGTTGGAATGTATTTTTTTATAGTTAAGATACATAATTGTTTTTGATAAATGCATTATGCTTCTGATAAATGAATATGTGTTTCATATTGGCAGCGTTTGATGTTGAATGTTTATTTCTTATTTTAGGGTAGATTTTTACAGTTTTTAATTCTTTGGACGTAACCTAGAGACAAGCAATAGCTCACAGTTGGAATTTATATTCCGTTAGTAAATTTTTGAATCAGCTGATTAGTATGAGTTTTTCCTACTTTGTTATTCTAGATGGCAGTGAATAAATTCCGGCATATTCACATCCGTCTTGATCTATATTAGAATAATCAGTATTAACTTTTAACATTGTATTACTTATCGTGACACTTGGTTGGAATATATTATTGATAAAATAAAATAATTACCTTATCCAACCACAGTTGTTGGCATGCCCACTAGTTTCATTCCTTAGAACTTGTCAGGTCATTTGTATGCAACCACATCATCAAGGTGTTAATACATTGTGGTATGCCAATAGATTACTTAAAAGACAGTCACAATAATTAAAACTTGTCATGTTGAAAAAATAATTAAAATGGAACAAAAATTTGATCAACTGATTAAAACTGTAGAGGCTGGCCAGCACTGTCTTATCACTGCTATTGACTAAATAAAACTGAGTGAATCATGATGTTTCTTCTTCTCTCCAGTGCCACCTGTATCCAGTTTGTTTTTTCTTCTGATTTTATACTTCTTTGATTTGTAACTTGTCAATATATGTATCAAATATAATATTTGACTGGAAAGAGGTCTGATAATTTTAAGTATTTAAGTAAGTAGTTAAGTATTCAAAAAATTTTTTATCAAGATTTATTAATATTTATATTACTTTTTTTTCTTTAAACTGTTTTAGATCAGAGCTTGTATTCGGACTTTGAACCCCAAAGAGGAGAAGTACATGCAGACAGAAGTGAAGTTTAAGAGACAAGTGTTTGTGCGGAACGTTATGAGATTGAAAGCGATAATCATGTGGTTCATTGATATCAGTAAATTTATACAGTAAGTGTTTGATATTTATAATTTTCAAATATAAATTATACAAACAGAATAAGTAAGATAAAATTTTACAAAATTTGAGGAACAAACAATCTAAAACACCCAGATATCTTGTGAGCTTGAGGGACTGTGTTACATACCACCAGAATTATTTATTGTTACATATGAAATTAAGTGAATGTTATTTGTGCTTTTTTTCTAAAGCCCAAATATTTTAGATTTATATTTTTGGGAGTAACAGTGAAATATAAGCTATTTTAGAAGAAAATATTACTACAGTAAGAATACCTAAAGCCATTTTCTTAGATTTTTTTCAGTTCAATGGTAGTCATTCACAGTATTTCATAACAATTTTTAACACATTCTTTATTATGGTTAATATGGTTAAACACCTTTTTGGGATTGCTATCATGTACTAGTTTAAATGAACAAAATGTGCACAACCATTTTTTTTTACCAAATTTTTTGGGCTACTGTTTATTGTTTTGCCACTGAGCTTATGGTTTTAATTTTGAGCTAACTTAACATTAGCATTACCTAGGATGAAAACCCCATTTTATGTTTTATTTGTTTTAGATTATTGAGTTTTATCACAGGGCTAGATCTGTTGGAAAACGTACATTTAAAAAGGACAGTTCATTGGTTTTTTGACAAATTGAACATAAGGTAACATTGAAAAAAAAGTTAGCCTGTTGACATTTTCTTTTGGTGAAGGTATCAACTTTACAATTATATAACCGTTCTTGAAAGGTAAAAGTAAATTCTGCTTAAGGGGGATCCAAAATGTTTTTACTATTTTTCTAACATTTGTCTGCTTACTCTGGGGTTATCTGCATTGTCTGTCCAGTCATTTTCTTCGTTATTATTACCTAAACATTTTCAAACATTTTCTAACATAGCTAGTGATGTCTTTATCATATGAGTTTGCTTAAACCAGCATGCTTTACAAAATGTGAAAATCCAAAAGTTTCAAACCCATTGACTAAAAACATCTGCTCATGTTTTTATATGATTTATTATTTCTTAGTCATGAAATCACGACTTTTTGTTAAATACAGGATGAGTGTGAAATGGAGTGGAGTATGGCCTTGTTGCTGACTTATATCTGCTGTTTCTTATGTCAGAATTATTCACTAAAAGCCCAACAATTGTTAAAAGCTGGGTTTGGTTTCAAACCATCAAAAAGCTACTGACTTTTTCTCGATATCACACTGGTTAATTTCTGCGCTTGTAGGCTGTTGTCACTAAAGTAGTATCTAAATTTGTGCCTCTAGACTTTTCCCTGACGTGTTGTGCTGTATTGCATGTTTCTACTGTTTCTAAAAGGAGTATAGCCTCGACTACTCTTATTATCACAAACATTTGAGATTATTAAGTGTTGTGGATGTAAAAACTAGATAATGATAACTAAGTGTATTTTTATATGTTGATTAAAATCCAACTCATACAAGGTGATTCAAAAATTAAACCAATATTTTCTCTATTGTTTGATTAGTTATTAGCAATAAAGAGAAACCTACAGGAGGAATAATTTTTATAATTTTTCAGAAGCAATTTTTTTTATTTTTCACGGACTTTTTGACTATTTTTTTCCTCATTTTCAGGAGCTGTTTTGAGTGGGAGTCCACAATACAAAGTGTTATTGCCCTGGTGTTATTTATTCTGCTGTGTTATTATTTCCAACCATTCATGATACCAGTGGGGATGCTGCTTGTTTTTCTTAAATGCTATATTGTGAGTATGTTGAAATTTTAATAGAATTTATATTTATTGATTTGTAAATTCTTTCTATAGTATTACACATACATAGGAAAATTTGTTATAAACAAGAGTAAGACTCACTGTAAAAATAAAACGTTAACTGATTTTGATGGTTCAAAAACTCCTCCAAAGAATACAAGTAATGCGATTATAGTAAAAAAATGATTACATTAAAAAATAAATAAAAAAAATGTAATATGACCAAACCTTGTTATATGTACTTTTTTGTAGGTATGATTTATATTCTTGTATTGTTGTGCCGTAATTATTTAAAGGTAACAAAACTAAATTGCATAACATTCTACATTGTGATTTAATTTTGTTATTTTTAATGTAATCAAGACTAAAATTTAAAATACAAAGAAAAGATTTTGTATCAGGATTTTAATTTTAGAACATTTATAGCCAGGAAGTTGAGATGATTTTGTGGAATGATTGCATTGCCTTGCCGTATCAGGGTGATATGTATGCAATGCAATGGGTATATCTGGATGATTGTAGCTGATTGTCTGACTATGCAGTTTTTGTGAATTATTTAAAGAAATATTGTTAGCTTAAATAATAACAGACAAGATAATTATTTAACAATGCACTCTTTGGGAAGACATAATGGAAAACTATTAGACAACATAATATCAAAATGATGAGATATAAAGCAATCAAGGGGTATTTTAAAATTTTAACCCAATTTTGAAAGAAGGTTACTGTACTATGGATTGTTACTAAGACATGCTACCAAAACAGCTGTGGATTGTTCCTACAGTCAGGGCCAAAAATATTACGAGCCCAGAACAATCAAGGACAACTTCTGCGTTCTTAAAACCTTAAGACTACCATAACAGAAAAAATGTAGAACTAAGCCAGTTTTTACAGACATTTTCCCTCTTCTGCATATCTAAAGAAGTCTAATTAGTGGAAAAATATCATGTTTACCAGGGGAATCATTATTTTATATCAACTGTCTGGGCCTCTATTCAGAGATATGTGATTAAAATTTGGTAATTTCATCAGGTACAAAGTCTAACTGGAGGAGTGGGAAATTTTGATGAAGAAGATGAACCTCTGGGAGAAGACGATGATGATGACGATGACAAAGATAAGGTAAAAAAAATAACATGCTTGGCCCTTTGAAAGCTTACAACCATTGAATTTGGATACAGAGGAAGACATTCCATCTATGGATCAGTTTTTGCTAGTTTTTTTCCTCAGCGGGGAAATTGTTAGATGACCTTTCATAGAGTAGGTATGCTCAAATCAATTATTTTCTCTCTCTTAGTGTTTCATACTACAATTTTTGTGTGTAGTGTGAATCTAAAGAGGGTTTGCCCTTGATATGAAATTTGGCTTCAGCCACATGTTTAACAACTTAACACAATTTTTGGACACATATATGTAACGGATTACTGAAACTGCTTCATTGAACTAATTATTTTTTTCTCCTTGAGGCGATTCGGACGATTGGAGTTCCTATTTACAGCAGCACAACCTATTGTGGCTTAATTAAACAAGGTTCTCTTATTCTAAAAATGGTGATGATTTTATTCAATGTGGAAAGTGGAATCTCAGTAGTAAACGTAAAATAAAAGTTTAGTCCATAATCATCAATGAAGTTGATGATAAAAAATAGGTTTTTCTGTAATTATTTCCTTTACAATTCCGCTTTTAACTTGTTACAGGAGGAGAAGAAAAGCTTGAAGGAAAGACTCCAAGCTATACAAGAAGTTACCCAAACTGTACAGAATTCTATAGGATATATTGCCTCGTTAGGTGAAAGTATAAAAAAGTAAGTAATGACTAAATTTGAAAACTATTAGTTTACCCTATAATAATATGTGTTTTGTAAGAATATAAGATACTCATGGTGAAATATCATTTAGAGTTGTTATGGTGCACAATCAAACTTGGGTGTTGATTTTGCTGTCTCGTCCTACTGTTATGATCTCAATTAAGATGATGTCAAAGAAACTAAGAGTTTGCCTATATAATGTATGATTTACTTTAGAAATTCTTTATTCATAAAATTTTAACACGTTCTCTGCGGGTGGGTCAGAACTGACCCACGGCGATCTCATCGCTCACGCGGCCGGGTCAGTACTAACGCACACTGCAGTGCATCAATCTGTTGCTCAGTGCGAGCCTAGCATCGGTCGAAGGTGAACCTGTACCACCTTAGCGTGTAGTGTGTAACTTGCTTTGTTCACCGTTGAGTTGGTTCCCGCGTCTCGCTCCCGCCGAGGCGGCTGGGTCGGTACTGACCAACGTTACTATGAAAGCCCCTCGCTTTGCTACTTTTATGTGCTTTATGACGTCATTTTCAATTTCAATTAACTTTTAAACTATTTTATTTCAATAAATTTAACATTTCAAATGTTTTATATCCCTCATTTTTATTTAATATTTAAATTTTTTACACTCCGGTTCTTGATGGGTCGGCACTGACCCATGTATATGACGTCTTATTATGAAGTCATAATCAATTCCAACCAATTGATATACTATTTTATATTGGTTATTTTATGATAATGACTACATATATCTTTAGAACATATATTTTTAGTGACACATATAATGTATTCAGTGACATTTCCATTTTTTTCTGATTCTTGATCCTGATTATTATTACGTCACTTTTTGACGACATATTCACTTCCGATCGTATTATATAATATTGTATTTCAATAAGGACACAAAAAGGAATGTTATACAACAATAAAGTTTTTTAGCAATACGATTCGATTTTATAATATCCTTTAGCAGTGAACGTGTTTTAAACGTGTTACTTTGTCTGTTGCAGTACATTCAACTTCACTGTCCCTTTTCTGTCATACTTGTCAGTGGCGCTGCTGCTAGTGGTGGCTGTGGTACTGTACTGGGTGCCTGTCAGGTACCTCATCATGGGGTGGGGAGTGAACAAGTTCGCTCGTAAACTCATCCGGCCGCACACAGTGCCCAACAACGAACTGCTCGACCTGCTATCTAGGGTGCCGACTAGTGACGACCTGGTAAGGCCTAAGGTTCAATACTACCTTGATTGGCGAGTTAATATTTGTAATATTCACACAAAAATGAACACAAGCAAATCTTTGGCTTAAAAGTCCAGATAAATGTTATGTGATTAGAGGTTAAATATTCAGGTGTCTGGACTAGCATACGCAAGCGAGTATGTGTGTGTGTGACAGTTTGATAAATTTAAAATGTATGATGAGGATTTGCCAACTGAATACCTACATTCTACAAGATAGGTTTTTATGTAAGGAACTTTCTACATATTTCAAAATACCGTTTTTTTTCAGATTGCATACAGAGAATTGAAGCCTCATCCGTCTTCAGATATGGAGAGAAGAAGAGACCAGAGGAAGAAGCATAAAGTCTCATAGTACACTCAGAGTTCTGTTTATATTCGTAGTTTGTAAATAACTGTAGGCCTATTATATTTCACCCCAATGTGTTTCCATTTATACCTGAGAGAATTGATCAAAGGCTTATTAAAGGTTGATTATACTTTGTACTTTGTACCTAAATAACTAACAAGGTTCATTTGTTGCTGTTGACAGGTGTTATTTTATTGTGTAAAATTTTTAACTTCACAAGAAAACTTCAGCATTCCCCAACTTTAATGATGTTATGGCTTAATACATCTTGCCTGATGTATTTCACAGATAATCTTGTCTGTTAATGATTTTGGTGCTTCACATTAAAATCACAATTAATTGTGTTTTATGATAGTAAGTCAAATTTAAGTGAATCTGAATTTCGCTCACTGAAAATTACTAACAAAACAATAGTTATTCAATTGTTACTTTGCATAAATATTATGCACAGGCTAAAATTGTCAATTTGTGCAAAAGAATTTTGAACCATCAGTTATCAATGTAATTCAAAACCCATAGCCTGACCATACTTGCTAACTGACTTAATGTTTGTATCAGGTGACAAATCAAGGTTTTTGTTGGTTTTTTTCAATCCTGAAGTTATTTTATGATAAATTTAACTGAGACTAATAAACAACTGCACTGAATGTAGCCAATCTACTTATTAAATTTATACCTTTTTTCATATCTCTCTTGAAGAGTTTTGTCAATTATATATTTGTTTTGGTTCTGTTTGCAAGATTTGTGACGCACATGGTTGTCTCCTATTCATGTGAGAAATATTTTATACATTGTTATTGTTATGAAATGGTTTTATTCATGTTAGACATTGTTATGTAGTGTGTATATATGTTTGATAATTTACCTAAAATAGCTAGTAAATTAGATCAGGCTTTTGACTGTTGATTTCCACTATAATTTTTTCAAACATCAATAAAAAAAAATTGAATATGATAAAACACTGATTGTAACATAAACAATTCTATTTTGAATTTTTGAGGACTGGTAATTGTAAATTTATGATCTCAGTTAATTTTAAGAATAGGTAAAAACCGGTATAACTATACGACTTTTCAAGCCTTAAGGTAAGAGTTAAATTTTAGACAGAAGGAATCAATTTTATTCTCTAATTTATTTATATATATAGGTTCACATGTATTTGAGGTTCTTAGTCTAAAATCAGTTGATAACATATTTAACAATGTCATACAAAAGCCACGTCCATGGATGTACGCAAATGGATGTAAATAAAAAGATGCAAATATATTTCTAAAAGACAAAGCCTTTTTCAAATTGTGTTTTTTCTATTTTGATGGAACATTAACATTCAAAAGCCTGCTTTTTCATATTCATGAGTACAATGTGCCGATTTAAACTTCCTACGACTACGATGTACATAAGACATTATTGTGATACTGTAGTTAGATCGCTAAGCCATTCCTGCTTTTTTAATTGTGGCTGTGCAGTTTTATGTGTTTTTACATGATCTCCATATTTTTTATTTGTTTGGTGAGGTTTTACGGATTTTAGGATAGAGGCCTAATATGGTTGTGTTAATTTTGTTTACCATGGTGTATAACTGAAATTGCATTAGTTAAATGCACAATGTTACTAAAAAATGTCAAAGGCCAAAAATAAATTTAAGTATTTTTCATCCATTCCAATGCTAATGTAATACTTTTCTTAGTTTAGGTTAATCATTGTCCAAAATGTGTATTTAATACTTTTTTTATTCAATACAACCTGCAGTAAACAAATTGGTCAAACTTTATTCTTTGAAACTGTTTCAGAGGTTTCTGATTTTAAACATTGTGATCTAGATAAGTTTAACATGTTGTGGTTTACATTTGAGGGATCGCTTGTGCTTTATTTTAAACTGTGTAACCTAGTCATTAAATTGTTTCCAATAAATAGACTATTTTATTAATTGTTAACAATTGAAATTGTAAGTCTAGGCTTTAGTAAAGAAATCAGAAAATATTAACTTTGAAAGGTTTTAGTAATATTATCTTCTGTATATCAGTACTGGAAAAAAATTTTAATAAATTTCTTTGACGGTAACAAAATATTATTGTTTTTCTCTAATAAAATAGTTGTCGTTGTTATCTTGACTGAATCCAACCCTATTCACAGAAGTCGAAAGACAGAAAGTCAATTATTCATTTTTTGTATGACTAGAGTGGTTTGATTGACGCTTCTACATTATATTATTATTCTAAGGCAAAACAAGTACTCTTGGTGTTAATTTTTTTTAGAAGAAGGAATACCTATTCTTGGAACATTTTCATTACTTAAATATAAAAGATTTTATTTTATAAAATCTTGCTCTTTACTTACTGGACCTAATAAATAGTTTTTTTCTATAATAAATCCTAAAATTATTCGGCAAAATATGTTGTCAGTAAACAAATCAGTTTGTAGAAAATTTCATAATTTTTATATTAAATATGTTGTATTAAATTTAAGTTGTGAATTTACTTTGTTCCCTTTAAACTTGTTTTGATTCCGTCCAAAAATAGTCATTAAGATTGCTGTTGTACTATTTTCAAGTGTATCTCATTAAATTACTTGCTGGGCATAATTTATCCCCTCAGATTGAGGTTTCCAATTTATCACTTAAATAAAAAGAATTAGTGTTTCTGAACAAATGTTATTGGTATATATATATATATATATATATATATATATTATGAAGGAGCCATATAAATATGTGCATCACTATCGTCAATCAATTTCATCCAAATGTACTTTTTGATTAATTCAATGTCTCAAAACAATTTCAGATTATATATTTTTTGTACATTACCGTTAGAAATAACAAAACACCAATGTAGAGTAAATGCAGATAGTTTTTACGAAGCATGATTTAAGATTCTTCCAGTGTTTTACATTACGTTTAATGTTCCTTTAGCATGCGACTTCTAATACTGTGTAGATCAGCCTAGGAATTTTTACTAAATATGAATGTAAAATGTTTTGCATTTCAACCCATGTTTCAGGTTTTGTCCAGCTTAAAATGTTTTTATACCATTTTAATAAAGGAAATATATGATCTCAATGTGTTTTCTTTACCGGAAATGTTCTTATCATTGCATGTACATTGTACAATATAATACTTAGTTCCTCAATGTTTTTGGACTCGTATTATTGCCTGCTAACTTGGATGTTGGAAGATAGAATATTAGTAGCTAGATCACAGTTTAGATGCTATTACTCAAGAGTTTTTAAATGTTACGATGTCGCTTTATCGATTTCCCTCTTAAAATTTTTAAGACTGCTGCAAAATCAAACATACTAACAAGAAAAATACAAAGTCTCTATCTAAAGTGGTTCAGTAGAAAAAAAACTAATTTTGGTTTTGTTTTTCAGTCAAATCAGTTTTATAAGTTTACATCAAACAATTATCAATTATCAATTATTATGAAACAGTTATCACAGACAATTCATACAGCTGACATCACTCAGATGGATTCCGAGCCATGTCGACATTGAAGATAACCTGAGAATAAGCTGAATCTCCAATGAAGGCTGCCAGACGGCTAACAGCCATGGAATCTGGCTCTAGCAGAATATCCTCTTCTGGCTCCAGTCCTGTAGCTTCCACTGGACATCCAAACATAAAGGATTTACGAATTGTTTATATTCAAATAAACATTTAATCAACAAATACACGGAATATCTGTGTGGGATGAGCGTGCTGACTTGCAGTAGACTCCTGATTGTCTACCAGTGGATTAACGACGATCACAAACAGATCAAATTATATTATGCAAGTTGTAGCCTCATAAAGCCACGGTCAAGATGTTTAGCATGAGGAGGCCCATCATCTTGCAGCCAGACTAAAGAGTTGCTGTTGTTTACTTCCCTGGCCTCAAATCAGTTACCGTACTGATGAAAACCAATTAGGTGTTTAACTTGTCTTATTATTAGGCCTTTACGTAGGCTCTACAATAATTTTGCTTTGTAAAAACTTGTTTGAAACAACGATAAGAGGTATCTACATTTCACTAAAAATTTTGTAAGCTTAACTATGCATTCAAAAATAATGTTACGGTAGTTATTTTCCGGACATTTTAGGTTACCTTTGCATTATCTACGATCGCTCAGCCACTCATTATTGTGGATGATTCGGGGTCTTCTGTAACTGTATATTGTAGCTTTGTCACTGACTAGTTGATTGTTTCATTGGTCATTTAAAGCTCAAAGTTCACGGATAGATAGATACAGTTACAAACTATTAAAATATATTGACTTTTCTCATAAAACTGGTTGCCTTAAGAATTATCATTCTTCAGGCTTATTAAAATATTGTGGGTCAACATTTTCCCCTAAATACCTAAACTTAACATATAACTGAAAATCAAACCCGAATTCTCTAGTGTTACACACCTGCAGATACTTCTGTTGGCTTGGAGAACAAAGTGCATTTGTGAGATCGCTTCAATGCCAGAATCTTCAGACATTTCAGTTGTGCCAACATCTGTAAAATCCAAAAGAAGACTTTCAAAACAAAGTTTGCACTTTGCGGTCAAAAAACATTAAAAAACAAAATATAAATTCCAAATTTTGTACCTCCGTAGGCTGCAGCACAATCATTTACCGGTGTTCATCACATTAAGTCGGTCAGCATTACAATACAATTAACGATTACCCTTTAAATCCCATTATCAGCAAAATGTTATCAAAGAAGATAAACATGAAGGGTTTTTAAACCCTTGTCCCTTTTACTAAGATTAGCAAAGTTATTTTAAGTTTTCTCTTGCTGTACAAAACTGCAGTGCAAAAGCCGCTTTAGGTCTACATCTACGTTTCTACTAGGTGGTGTATTCTAGCTTCACCAACATCCATCATCTCCAAGGTCGGTGGAAAAATTCTATTTTAGTAACTGATTCAGTGTAGAAAACTAATTTTGAAGCATGAATTAGATTAAAATGTTTTTAAAATAGGCTATTGAATGATCTTCTTACACTCTCACAATTGCTGTACAAACATTATTCCCACACAACTTCATTCAGTTCAACTCTGACTTTGGAGCTTTGCCACGACCTTGGCCTCACCTCCACTAGTTCCCGTGTGTGATGAGGCTGGAAGGCAGGTGTGAAGCGCTCCTGGATGTTCTTCAGAGAGCAGAGAGGATGAATCATGACATGGCCCAGGATGGAGGAAAGGAACTTGTCCAACACACGACGGTTGAGAGAACCGTTGATCCTGATCCACGGTCGGACACACACCCTCAGGTTGCATTTGGATCTGGAAATTCACAAGAAAATTAATAAGATTTTTAAAACAAATCAAAAAATTAAATCTAAAAAAATATTTTTTACGGTTCCATAAGTTGGGTTATGCAAGAGGAATGTGTTAACGTGTCAACCAGGATAACGTGTGGAAGGTATAAAAGAAGGCCCCCAACTACCCTGATACTCACACCACTAGATGCTAGTGGATAAAAATTAATAATTAATCTAATGGAAATTATTTAATACAATGACTGTACAAAATAAAAGCAACAGTGGTGGGAAAGTGTTCTTGTGTGTGTATGACCATCTTAGCTTGCCACTCTAATTGACACACTATATACCATTAAAAAAGCTTTAAAGTTTCAGCTTAGCTCAAATATATCTAACTGAATAGCAAAATATGGACGAAGGATGGTGACTAGTTTTTATTTCGAGACGGATCTAGTTACAGTGCTCACCTTCAAATCTAAATGTTGCTGGTTCTATTTCATGAGGTTCCATTGGATTCGACCCATTTGTCATTTATCATCGGGCAATAAATTAATCAAGTTATAGTAAAAAACCCAGATGGGGGGCAGAGGATTGAGCCTTAAAAAAACAAAAGGCTTAAAAAGCAAAAGGCATAAAAACACACAACATTAAAATACCGTAAGCTATTGGAAGTCAAGCTGTGCACTGGAGACAAGGGAACTTATAGATGATTTGATTGACGATTTGAACTTAGTACATATCCATTTATACAGGCATGTTTTGTGTAAAACAACAAACTTACTTGGCATCAAAAGAAGTGGCTTTCTCGACCTTTCTGAATGCTCCAGTGAGCAGTTTCGCCTTGTATTTCCTGACATTCTTAGCTGGGTCAGGTAAGGGGGGTTGAGGTGCAGAGCTGGTGGATGGTTGGGGGGAGAGGGGAGGGGGGAAGTAGGAGGTAGAAGGGGTAGGTTCTGTCGGAGAGGGTAGCGGGGACAGCGGAGGAGGCGACATGTTGCTCAAGTTATCATCACCCAGCTCAACTGCTCCAGGTATTTTAAGATCGTCCACTGGCTCTGTAATGAACATGATTATAACCATATCACAGCACTTACCAAATATCAAAGCAAAAATATGATGAAATTGGAATTAAGGTTACATTTGATGGCCCCTGAAGAAAACTACACGATAAAAAATTGGGAAGCGACCCAAGGAACAGTAACTATTGTAGTCCCCTTATTTTCTCCCCTACCCTCTACAATTACAATTACAAGTACAATTATGGTTTTCTTTGAGGCATTTTTTTCGTTATTCCTTGTGATTTACTACTTATTAATTTGTTTTTGCTTTTGGAGATTTTTTGCTGGCTTGGTATGTATACTAATAGTTTTATTTCAAATACTTGATCATCTAAGGACGATATCAGATTTCTGAATCCAACACTTTTTGAAAACTTCCCCACTAACTTGTGAGAGAAAATATCAACTTGTAACTTTAAGCCTTTATTTCTAACCTGCACAAGTCGTCTCATCAATAGGGACATTTTCACCGACGTTCATCATCATCGCGCAGCTCGCCTTACGATTCTCCGGAATGTTCTCCCTATCCAGTCGCAACAGACGGTAGGAGTGAATCACCCACGGTCTGTAGAACTCTCCGTGTACGAGGTGAGTTTTGTTCACTCCGCTGCGGAGGATGACTTGCGAGTCGACCAGCTGGTTGGTGATCTCAGCCACTCTCTTATCAACACCGTAGATGTCCTGTCAACCAACATTATCAATATACAATAAAACCACAACCAAACAATATAAAGGGGGTGAAGCTGTTTGGGTTTTTTGTTCATTAATGGTTGGAATGTAAAGCCTAATTCAGTTCAAATATTCTTTACTTACAATCTAATTTAAATTTTTTATAACTCCTGTTAAGTTAAAGTATACAACTGCATACTCAAAAACAAATTCCTAAAATAATTGACACTTTTTAATTGTTTTCTGAACATTATCTCCATTGCTGTATGAGGAGATTAGTATCGTTGTTTCCTCCATTTCATTTTGTTCACAAAAACATTTGCAAAAAAATTAATATGATATTTCACCCCTACAAGGCTCATCTTCAGAAGGAAGTAGTACAGATTCTTAAGAAACTCTGATGACGGAGACAAAAATGTGTTACGCTTAGAGGTGAAAACTTGCAAGAATTGTGGTGACATATTGCTATTGTGTGTGGCATTTGAACTAGCTTGCTTTGTTGCAACAGGGGTTGGTTGAAGACCTTTACAGTAAACCCTTGCAGTGATTCCTAATTGCAAATACATTCGGCATGATATCTATTATCAAACTATAACAAATAATAAGGGTGTAGCATAGAGCACAAGGGCCTAGATTTTTTAGGATTTTTTGAGAGGATAGCAGGCTTACCTGAATGGGAAAGAGTCCAAACTGGCACAGGAAACACAAAACAAAACTTTACACTATATACACAAAACATTAGAATATTTCACTGTCACTGACAGCATTTTCAACTAAGGAAGAGGAAGAGATAGTTTTCTAGATGCCCAAAATGGTGGCCAGTGAGTTGTTGAGTCAGTGTTGCCAATAGTATGAATTCAAAAAACACAGTTTCAGTTTATCTTTTATGCACTATATATATATGAATAAATATGTAAGCCTGCTAGTTGGGTTGGATATTGAAGTGGAGTGGGTTAGATTAAAGGTATTATCTCAGGTTTAGGTTTGGGGGTTGTCTAGACTTAGTAAACCATTGATAAGACAATTCCCATCTTCTCAGTTGTGACTGGTTACATTGAGGGGGCAGTGATTTGACTATTTTGGTTGTAAAGCAGTCATTGAAACTAGGGTTGTTGTGGCTCTGGGCATGTTGTACAACTGGTTTGTCTTTGTATCCAGTAGATACATCTTGTCTATGGCCATTCATCCTGGTTCTGAGGCTATTGGTGGATAGGCCTACATACTGTGCCTCACATTTGTTACATTGTAGTTGGTAGATAATGTTCTTCGTTTCACAAGTGTTGAAGCCTCGGATGTTGTAGTTTTCTTTGGTTGTGGAACTGGAAAATGTTTGGCTGGGTTGATTTATTTCACATGTTTTACATCTCTTGTTTCACCCCAAACCAAATTCATATCCAACCCAACTAGCAGGCTTACATATTTATTTATATATATATAGTGCATAAAAGATAAACTGAAACTGTGTTTTTTGAATTCATACTATTGGCAACACTGACTCAACAACTCACTGGCCACCATTTTGGACATCTAGAAAACTATCTCTTCCTCTTCCTTAGTTGAAAATGCTGTCAGTGACAGTGAAATATTCTAATGTTTTGTGTATATAGTGTAAAGTTTTGTTTTGTGTTTCCTGTGCCAGTTTGGACTCTTTCCCATTCAGGTAAGCCTGCTATCCTCTCAAAAAATCCTAAAAAATATAACAAATAATACTTTTAGACAACGTGTACTAACTTATGACGAGCTATGAGTTGTTTTTATCTAGAACTACAACAAGAATTGATCTTGTGAAAACTTACTCTAATTTCATCAAGGGTGAGCCCCATTTCCTTCTTTGATTTAATCAGCTGTTCAATCTCCACAACTAACTCTCTATCCACTCCTAGTATTTCACATATTTCCGTCACTGTTTCATTGATGGGTGCGTTTCTTCCGGGAAATAGAGCTAATCTGCAAAAATTACAAAAACCTTTACGTTAAAGATGCTAAGAAAAGTTTCTACTCAAAAATAAATAAATGCAAAAAATGTATTGTAATAAACACACATGTGGTTCCTTTTAAAGCCACCAAAGACCTAAAGTCCCCCTTGAATTATCTAAACCCCCTTAGCCTTAACTTAATTCTTACTCAACGCTATAGTGTACGTACCTCTTAATCCTACTTAGCAAATCCTCCTTAACTGTGGGCCCCAAAGGCATAAGCTCTGCAGGAACTTCATCATCTTTAATCTCACAATTAAATCGGCAAAACACCTGTAAATGAAAGTTTTTAAATATACGGTTTATTTTAGTAGTATTAGGATGAATTGATACAGATTTATTTGTGTATTTTATGTAATGTTGAACAAATTTAAGGTATCTATGTTCCAACGTTTTTTTGACTCGGCTTTATAGCATTAGGTGTATTTAAAAAAAAAATCTGTTTGTTAATTACTGAAGTCTTTTTTGCTTCCTCTTCTTTTTCAGCAGGTTAAATTTGGTTTTGGTTTTGACAGTGTTTTGTTTAAACATTTTAAAACAGTATGTTGTTGACATGAGCAGGTGGATCAGTTGTTATTGTGATGGACTTTGGATTCATGGCAGCGATTTCGTGGGTTCCGATCCTGGTACCTGACATTACATTTTATCAGAACAACTCATGCACTGTACCAGCTCAACCCTTGCTCTGGTGGATAAGCTACACACACGGGCCCAAGGTCTATCTGAAAAGGCAAAGATAAAAGAAGCCATCAGCCTCTTACTAAAGAAAATATAGAAGTTACACAAATTAAATTAGTTATGCTCAAAATTGTTAAAGAGATAGGTAACTGGTGCAACATACTTAGTAGAATATCAACTCACAGAAGAATAAATAGACTGCAGCTATTGTGTAAGTAACAGAGTAGTTTTGATGGCCTTCAGGTTACTGGTACGATCCCAAGTGGGGACTCATACGTCACATTTCATTGGGCTATTGATGCTATCATACAAAAGGTCAGGTAGTGACAAACCCAGGATTTGCACCCTTGTTGAAACAACTAAATCAAAATTAATAAAAGATATTCACTCACTCTGGTAGCATTGACCACAAAGAAGTCATGTGCGTGTTGGATCTCTTTCTGCTCCATTGTCTTGTCACACTCTTCTCTGGTCAGGTACAGAGCAATCCTGGTGGCAGCCTTGGCCAGAGTGTTCTGTGCCGGGGCCGCCAGCTCTTCCTCCATCATCTCACTGTCACAGACAGAGGTTACCCTAGCCCAGCCACACTTTTATCAAGATTAAAGAAAAGCGTCTTTACAGATTGCGTTGCAGAACATTCTCAAATTTGCCGCAACTGCGACAAATGAGGTGTTTGGTCTCAGCAGGACCAAAGGAGCCTTTCTAGATTTTGCCGCAACTGCGGAAGATTTAAAGATTTAAAACCAAATAATTAATTGTGCGCAAAAGTTCTTACACAACATACGAGATAAAAATTTTGTAAGAATAAGAATAAGAATCACACATCACTACAAGCAAAAGAATTGACAACAGAATGAGAGACTCTCAGACTTGTAGTGTCTAAAGTCAACTATGCAGCCTTGTGTACTAAACTCACATTTTGAAAAACTAAAACGGAATGAGGTTACTTGAAATTAGTCTATATTAATTAATTTACTCACGTATCTTGAGAAATGGAAGAGTAAGAGTCGTCGAATATGTGAGTCATGGTAACTTGTGGCTCCTTGCATTTCGTGAGGATATCTTGATAGCGCTGAAAAAATCAAACTAAACAATAAGGTTTAAAATATTACAATTATTTGAAAGTTAGTCCTTGATAGGACAATATGTAACAACCTTACAACTCACATACATTACTTGGAATCTCTTTCATGAAAGAGACCTCCGAAAAAAATACCAAAGTGTTTGTTTGGAAAGCAAAACTTTACCTGTACAATCCGAGTGTACGTTTCATCTTTCTGAATCACATTCGGGTCCATAACAATTATTTGGTCAGGGATATCCAGCTGGAAGTCAATCTGAAAAGTATTAAACTGTAATAGTTCACTTTCAAATCATGTCAAATAACTTAAAAATTATAAATTTTAACTTTCAATAACCTCTTAAACATATAAACATATATAATATTAGTAAGGTTCCTGAATAATTATTAGTGACACAAATTAAGTCATAAAATCGACAAATTGATAAAATGATGATGATCTTAGAGGCTGACCTAAGAAGAGTACAGACACTGTTAGTTCAAGAGGCAGTCAACCTCTTTTTCAATAAAAAAAGTTAACTATTTCTTAACTGAATAAGGACCATACAAATTTGATCCCAAGATACTAATTTCTGGTATAATTTCCTGTTTCAAGGAATTAGTTAAGAAATAATCTGTGCAAATCAATGGTTATAGCATAGCTGAAGGAAAGTGTATTCTTGGTTGAGGAATATTTTAAGAAGAGAACCAATAGAAAGAGCTCTTTGTGACTTGGCAACTTATGACATTTTCTTTCCTAAGTAATTTTTTACCAACAATTACAGAATGAAACGTTTTTAAATGCATTTGATTAAAAATTTAGTTATGATAATATTATCCAGACCAATGGGCTACAATGAAGGATTCGGCTTGAATACAGTACAAAGATAAAATCATTGATCAAAGATACAATTTCTGTCTCAAATGTTATTGTTAAGTAAAACTTCAGAGACAGGGTTCTATTCACAATCCTCACATGAAAAACTGATTCTCACAAAATTTTCTAAAAACAAAAGCAATTTTTTTATCCAAACTGGATGCAACGTTTGACTTAAAGATAAAATACAAGGCTTCACTCGTGTTAGGAAAGTTTGGTATTATGAACTTGCAAATAGAATGACCTGACTATGAACCAGCTTGGAAATTATTTTTGAATAAATTTTTATCAGGCATACATTGTCCTGTGTATACAACTGTATTTTCTAATTATAAAACACACTGTCTTAAATGCCATCTAACCTTGCCTTGGGTAGCAAACTCTACGACACAAGCAGCTATCCCTCCCTTGGCAGCAACCACCTCCTCAAAGTAGTCAGCCTCTCTGCTGGAGTCCACCAGTCTGTGGTACATCTCCAAACAATCACCATACAGCTCGTACTGGTATCTGGTCAGCAGCAGGTTGATGTAGCTGCAAAGGAAATCTACTATAGTACGTTTGTGGGACCTCCTCAAAGTAGTCAGCCTCTCTGCTGGAGTCCACCAGTCTGTGGTACATCTCCAAACAATCACCATACAGCTCGTACTGGTATCTGGTCAGCAGCAGGTTGATGTAGCTGCAAAGGAAATCTACTATAGTACGTTTGTGGGTCACAATTGATTTGTAAACATCACGTCATCGTTCACTGAGGGAGAACTAGACAGATGCAATAATCTCAAGTGGATTTGAGTTTAAATTCTGGCACATCAGTCTGCCAACGTTTATTCTGCCGTGTCAGTAAACCCCAGTGTGTTGCTCAAAGTGATCTTAGCTTTATATAGAGTTTGGACAAGTACACTGAGGATTGATGTTTGCTATCAAGTAGTGCCTCATGATTGTAATTGCATTAACGAGAACAATTGTTTGTATTGTTAGTCAAATGAATACAGAGAATAATAAATAAAAAGCTTTAGATGTAACATGTATGGCTTGAAAGTAAATTCTTCAAAATCAAGCGGTGAACAAGTTTTCAACTACCATAAATTAAAAATAAATGTATACAAACCTGATAGAGAGTTGATAAGGACTAGAGGACAATGGAAGATAATCACCCTGAAACAGTAACAGATTCTTTCAACTGATTTCAAAATTGAAGAACAAATAAATTCAAAATAAAACTAGAAGGAGCAAGTTTATGTTTAGTTTTGAATGTGTTTTTCTCACACAGCAAAATTAATCCCTTTTTTAAATTGATGAACTTAAAGATTTTACAATTATTTCCAATCATGAATTAAAAAAAAACCCCTTTGGAATGGTAATTTGCCCTCAGATTTTATAGCTTTGTGATTATAGATTCAAAAACAGTTTGTCTGAAACATTCACTTGCTGACCAACTCTAGCAAGGAAAAATGTGAAACCACCAATATACATTACCTGGCGAACATGAGTGCGGAGGTAGCGTTTACGAAGAGACACCATCTGGTCTGCTCGGGTCTTGGACATGACTGAGCGCAACAACTTGTCAGGGTATTGCTGGTATATGTTGAACAGCTGGTAGGACCATGATGTCTTGTCACCAACACAGTTCAGAGAACTCTGTAAACCAAACAATTACTCAGACATGACTGAGCGCAACAACTTGTCAGGGTATTGCTGGTATATGTTGAACAGCTGGTAGGAACATGATGTCTTGTCACCAACACAGTTCAGAGAACTCTGTAAACCAAACAATTACTCAGACATGACTGAGCGCAACAACTTGTCAGGGTATTGCTGGTATATGTTGAACAGCTGGTAGGAACATGATGTCTTGTCACCAACACAAGTCAGAGAACTCTGTAAACCAAACAATTACTCAGACATGACTGAGCGCAACAACTTGTCAGGGTATTGCTGGTATATGTTGAACAGCTGGTAGGACCATGATGTCTTGTCACAGTTCAGAGAACTCTGGAAACCAAACAATTACTCAGACATGACTGAGCGCAACAACTTGTCAGGGTATTGCTGGTATATGTTGAACAGCTGGTAGGACCATGATGTCTTGTCACAGTTCAGAGAACTCTGGAAACCAAATAATTACTCAGACATGACTCAACTTAACAACTTTCAACGTAATAACAGTAGTGACCCAATGAATTATCTGGCCCTCTTTACAGAAGATTGATAGTATATTTAAAATACTTGTGTGTCGGTAGAAGTCAATTATTGGATAAAATTTTTATTATTGTGAAGTTTACCCCAAGAAGGGCATCTGATTTGTAAGTGGCAGCAGATAATTTAAAAACTGACATAAGCAACACTAAATCCTTGCCGAAGAAACACAGCTCAGGTGTGTGATATAAATCTAGAACTACTACTAGAGGCTTACCAGTATTGTGGCGTTGATCACTCCAGCATGAATGTCAGTGACAACGTGGATTGGGTTGAAACTCCTCTTCCTGAATTTTTGTGGTCTCAATACTCGGTAGTTCTCACTGTGGAATAATTATCATTTGAAAGTCAATTTAAGATCTTAATATTTCAAAGCTGTTTTCTCCAAAAATATAACACTTCACAATAATGACTTGGTTAGTTTCAAATTGATTTAGTGGTTCAAATGCTTTGTTGTACATCATCTGAATTCCTCTAGAAATTATGGCATAAGAAAAGTGAGGCTTTTATGAAAGAAAAAAACAACCAAATAGAAAGATATAGCTATGGTTGGTTTCAATTGATTGCCAATATTAACGGCAATAGCCAAAACTGGGCTTTGGGCTGGTACCCATAACCAAACTGAAAAAAAAAAAAAACGGTCAATAACTGTCTGACTGTCACACTTAGGTAGTTACGTACCCATGCCAACACTGCTCTTCTAATAAGTAACACGGACGTCAGATAATATAACTTAATAAAAAAAAACATTTTTACACCCATACCGGTACTATAAAAATATTAACAAGAAAGTGAATATAACAAATTTATAGCTATCGATTTATAACCAGTCTTGCTAATCAGTAGGCTTACTCTCAAAACGAGCTTAACATTATAGGAAGGAGTTTGTGAGCCAAATTTAAAATACTAACTTATAAAGGTGAGTAAAAAAAAAACAAAAAAAAACTGGAACTATTTTCATTTTGATGTTATACTTACAACAGCTGATCAACTGTGTCAGGCAAAGTGAAGCCTTCACCAACTCCACTCAATTCTTGACTATGCAACTTCTTGTAGCGCTCTTGCAGCAGCAACACCAACTCCTTGAAACTCCTGGTCCACTCCTCCTCCCTCTTGGCTGCTGGCAGCTTGACCTTGGCCTCTGACTTCATCACCTCTACTAGACCCTGCAGTGACATATAGACAGCTGTTACTGCAGCAGCAACAACAACTCCTTGAAACTCCTGGTCCACTCCTCCTCCCTCTTGGCTGCTGGCAGCTTGACCTTGGCCTCTGACTTCATCACCTCCACTAGACCCTGCAGTGACATATAGACAACTGTTACTGCAGCAGCAACAACAACAACTCCTTGAAACTCCTGGTCTACTCCTCCTCCCTCTTGCCTACTGGCAGCTTGACCTTGGCCTCTGACTTCGTCACCTCTACTAGACCCTGCAGTGACATATAGACAGCTGTTACTGCAGCAGCAACACCAACTCCTTGAAACTCCTGGTCCACTCCTCCTCCCTCTTGGCTGCTGGCAGCTTGACCTTGGCCTCTGACTTCATCACCTCCACTAGACCCTGCAGTGACATATAGACAACTGTTACTGCAGCAACAACAACAACTCCTTGAAACTCCTGGTCCACTCCTCCTCCCTCTTTGCTGCTGGCAGCTTGACCTTGGCCTCTGACTTCATCACCTCTAGTAGACCCTGCAGTGACATATAGACAGCTGTTACTGCAGCAGCAACAACAACTCGTTGAAACTCCTGGTCCACTCCTCCTCCCTCATGGCTGCTGGCAGTTTGACCTTGGCCTCTGACTTCATCACCTCCACTAGACCCTGCAGTGACGTATAGACAGCTGTTACTGCAGCAGCAACACCAACAACTCCTTGAAACTCCTGGTCCACTCCTCCTCCCTCTTGGCTGCTGGCAGCTTGACCTTGGCCTCTGACTTCATCACCTCCACTAGACCCTGCAGTGACATATAGACAACTGTTACTGCAGCAGCAACAACAACAACTCCTTGAAACTCCTGGTCCACTCCTCCTCCCTCTTGCCTACTGGCAGCTTGACCTTGGCCTCTGACTTCGTCACCTCTACTAGACCCTGCAGTGACATATAGACAGCTGTTACTGCAGCAGCAACACCAACTCCTTGAAACTCCTGGTCCACTCCTCCTCCCTCTTGGCTGCTGGCAGCTTGACCTTGGCCTCTGACTTCATCACCTCCACTAGACCCTGCAGTGACGTATAGACAGCTGTTACTGCAGCAGCAACACCAACTCCTTGAAACTCCTGGTCCACTTGGCTGCTTGTCATCTCTTGCCTGCTGGCAGCTTGACCTTGGCCTCTGCCTTCATCACCTTTACTAGACCCTGCAGTGACATATAGACAGCTGTTACTGCAGCAGCAACAACAACTCGTTGAAACTCCTGGTCCACTCCTCCTCCCTCTTGGCTGCTGGCAGCTTGACCTTGGACTCTGCCTTCATCACCTCTACTAGACCCTGCAGTGACATATAGACAGCTGTTACTGCAGCAGCAACACCAACTCCTTGAAACTCCTGGTCCACTCCTCCTCCCTCTTTGCTGCTGGCAGCTTGACCTTGGCCTCTGACTTCATCACCTCCACTAGACCCTGCAGTGACATATAGACAGCTGTTACTGCAGCAGCAACACCAGCTCCTTGAAACTCCTGGTCCACTCCTCCTCCCTTTTGGCTGCTGGCAGCTTGACCTTGGCCTCTGACCTTATCATCAACCCCAAAAAAAACCAGTCAAATAATCTACTCATGTTAATTAGCTATTCATTCAGACGAATTACAAATTATTCATAAGGGCACATACAATTACACCATGCTTAGACTTGAATATTTTGTTTTGCTCATACAATCTAATGAGAATATTCTCCTTATCCATTTTAATTCTCGTTACAGGTATTAAAATTTGTTATTGGAGTAAAACAAAAAAACTGAGCGTGGGACTTTGGTCACCGAGATCCCAGAATTTAATCCCGCTAATACCCAATGGATTTTGCCCAAATGATAACGCCCCCACCTCAAAGCCTAGCTTGAAGTAAAGTAAAAAATATTGCGGGCTGGAGCCTAGGTTCGTACCTGCAGTTGATTCATCACAACATTGTCTTGTTTCATTTCCTCCACACACAGGTTCACGCTGCGTTGCGTCTGGCTGTTTTTCATTATGTAGTTGAGTCTCCTCTGACAAGCTCTTGACGTTTTGTCAGTAGATTCCTAGAAGAAAACATTCAATAGAGAACCACACAGATAATATTTTATCAAGTAGAAATTACAATGAGAGCCAAGTAAGTATACTTTTGAGAATACTTAGAGATTAGTTTAAATTATTTATTAAAACCATATGTTTACAAACAAAAAGAAACTGAATATTGTAGGTTTACGGTTCAATATGATTCGGAGCTAGGACGGATCAGAACTGATTCGGAGTTGAATTAGTGGTAGTAGACGTAAAATAATGTTGTTCACACCCACAACAAAATATAGAAAAAGTATTGGTAGTAATCCAACCTAAAGGCAGGCATTTTTATTGCTAATCAATAAAACAGACGTTTCAAGAGGTTTCAGTATTTATAGTTGGACTCCATCTTAGAATAAGAAGGCACCTAGACTAAACTAGTAAACTCAAACAAAGCAGCGACAATAATCAGATAAAATAACAGTAATTTTTAACAATACACAAATAATGATTCTTGATTAAATCGTTCAAGTTAAGGAATTGTTATTATCAATCAATCAACCATATTTAACCCCTATATGTGTGGGGGTTCAGTATAGAATGGAGTAAGATGTCTTGTGAAGCTTTGTAAGACTTAACTGAACATCAGGACATGACCATTTATTATAAGCTCAGGATTTCTGTTATATGCTATATGTAACATCTTCCTTCAATCTCCAATCCAAAAATACCTCATATTTTATAATTTTGGTTAATTTGTTGTCTATTTGTGTCATGTATACAATTTGAGTTAAACTTACGTTTAGTTGGAATAATTTCTAAAAGAAAAAAAGAAAAACCCAGTAAAATATTAGATATTAAGTTAGGCCATTTTAAACGTTGATTCCTACAATTGGATTATTTTAAAAGGTGTTGATTTGAGTAGAGACGTTCAATACAATTAGTTATCTTCATCTGGGATCTATAATTCTGATATAATTTGCTTGGAGGGAGCATTTATTTTCCCTAACATTGGTATTGGTTATTATGACAAAACTAATCATTGCACAGCAGTGGTAACGAGATCAGATGGAATATTAGTGGATGATGATGAACATGGTACAGTGTCAGATTGTAACTTGCTAGCTACAAAAAAAAAAAAAACTTACGGGATATTGATCATGTAGCAACTGCCTCACAGTGATGAGGTTCTGATAGCGTTTGCCGATGTTCTGGAATATCACAAAAGCCACTTTGCACAGCAACAACAAGTTGTCTTCTTTGGGCGACCAATCAACACGTCTAAACAAAAAACAACATGACGTTGTAGCCTATAGTTTACAATAGTTTATGTGAGGCATTGAAAAACACCCAAGCAAAATAGTAAAATATAGATAGTGCTGAGCAATTGACTAAATAAACCAATTTGGTGGTGAAAGATCAAGTGTAAAATAGCTCTTAAAAGTGAATCGAACATAAACAAAATACTTTTACATACAAGTATTCTTAAGCTAGTGAATTTATTTGTTATAGTTTAAGTAATTAAAAAATCTAACAATAAATTGTAGGTTTACATTTATTTTTTGTACACAAACAAGAAAAAATTATACAAAGTTGTTGAATAGTGATTAATTTCATTTGCACACTAAAAACGATTTGAAACAGTTTTTACCAGGTCTCCACAAATGACTTATACAATTACGCTTGCTGTTAAAAAAAAAACAACATTGATTGTTAAGCTTATTGTGCATTGAAAACACAAATTAGGCCCCTGAAGATCAGGGCTGAAGGGACTAAATAAACCAATTTGGTGGTGAAAGATCAAGTGTAAAATAGCTCTTAAAAGTGAATCGAACATAAACAAAATACTTTTACATACAAGTATTCTTAAGCTAGTGAATTTATTTGTTATAGTTTAAGTAATTAAAAAATCTAACAATAAATTGTAGGTTTACATTTATTTTTTGTACACAAACAAGAAAAAATTATACAAAGTTGTTGAATAGTGATTAATTTCATTTGCACACTAAAAACGATTTGAAACAGTTTTTACCAGGTCTCCACAAATGACTTATACAATTACGCTTGCTGTTAAAAAAAAAACAACATTGATTGTTAAGCTTATTGTGCATTGAAAACACAAATTAGGCCCCTGAAGATCAGGGCTGAAGATTAGGTTTGCTCAAGGTCTACAGTATATTGTTCCCGAACACTACACCAAGAACATGGTCAAGTTCATCTTTGTGTTTTTCAGTTTATCGGTAAACGCTTGAAAAAGTTCTTCTACAATTATCTCTTTTATTTCATCCACATAGATTTTAGTATAAGAAGAAATCACATCCAATGTTAAAAACGTCACGAATACACTAATCATGGGAGCCGATGATGATCTTTACATGACTGCGGGGGAGTTCTGCGATTTGGCCACGATTGAGGAGTGGGGTAATGATGTCTATATGACCTTGGGAAACATTCAAGATTTGACTATGGAAGTGAAATGGGATGAGGCTCGATCTTTTTCCCAAAGGCTCGATCAATAATTTGAGGTTCACACACCTCCAATACACAAATCGGTCAACGATTGTTGTTAAAACTGAACCTAACCATGTGGCCAAGCCAACCAACACACACAGGATTACATGAATATTAAACCTTTGTGGACACCTGGTACTTCATTTAAAATAAGTAAGATTAATACCTACAGTTTACTCATCTTCAGCAGAGCCTCTCGGTCGACCTGGTCGTAGTATGGTTTCCTCATACTGGCCCGTCTGTTTTGTAACATCCGCACAGTCTTCTTGATCAGAAGCTTCTTCTTCATCTGTTTCTGACTTCCCTTTGGCTCTGACTTGCTCTCCCTCCTCCCTCGTCTCCTTGCACTGCTGGTTTCTGAGATCACCCTCACAGTTTTCAAAGACTGTTTACGGTCCTCTTTATGCTGGAAAAGGGATTTAAGTTGGTAAACCGTCTGTATGGATCTTCGTGTATAAGGTGTTTGTGTACTTTCTGAGCCAAACTGAAAATATTTAAGGTACAAAATATTTGACGTGTTCATTTAAGTTAACATGTTTAATTAATAAAGTAAAAAAATAAAACTAATATACATACTTTTCTTAAAGAAAGTATGTGATTTTGTGTGTTCTTTTTCTATTCCACTTTTGGTTTTATAATGAAGGAGAAATAAACTCCACTGGCCCTATCTGCAGTACTTCTACTCTAGCGCAAATTTCTAGAGAAATAACCTTACCTTGTGTAGGTTGAGTACTGGTTGAAGGTCAGTAGTTGGTGCCTGAAAAATATAGAAAACATATCAAAAATAAAACCACTTCCATTCAAGTACAGACAAATTTGAAGATTGTCCAGTAAGTAAACAACTCAGTTTTATTGAAAATTCTAGAAAACCATATATATTTATATTCATGTTTGAACATAATTTTAGACAGCTCAAATATAACATTATTTTGTACAGTAGAATCAAATAAGACTTGTTTTAAGGTTGACTTCTTCTCGTGGTTTGCAATAACATTTGATTAGGGGTAAATCAAGGTTGACTTTTTATCGAGGGTCTTGTTATCGAGGTTCTACTGTACTTGCATATCTGTCTCATACAACAATCCACAACCCTTAATATGATTTGCTTCAACAACTTATCAACGTTTTTCTTTAGTTTTATTCATATTTAGTTACTTACGGGTGCAGGGGCAGATCTAGGTCCTGTTCCAGTTTTTGATGTGTTCCAGTACCAATTCCGCTTTAAGTGTCTGTTAACAGGTATAAAAATAACTATTGAAGAAACAAACACAACTTTCATTTATAATTTTTACAATTTTGGTTTTGATTATATATTAGTGAAGAATGGAGTGTGAAACATGGTGAGTCTTTGATACTGATTAAGACAGCTGTTTCATTAGCGAATACCATTTATTAAAATACCCAGTAATCAGGGACAGCTGGGTCCAGTTTCAGAAGATCTACTAAATTTTTATCAGGATTGACCTTTAGATTTCCAGGCACTATAACCACTCAGCTATCCAGCTGTTGAATCACAATATAAGAATTGCGGAATTGTTTCAAGGACAACTGTCTATGCCACTTGTGTGCTTGGAGATTCTCCATACCAAATTCTTTCATCAAATCAAAGATTTTGCAAATAGCCAATTTTTAGGCCAGTGCTTCTGGCCTTTAGAGCAGGATCCAAGGTGCAAGGGCAACTAATGTACAAATGTATTGGAGCCAATACAAAAGATCGTAGCCAGTACAGCTAGCCTCCCAACCAAAAATATTATTTCCAATCACAAAGAGTCAATTTTGAAGAAATAAATACACATATAAACCAATAGCGCATCACAAGAGTACTCACGCGAACATAGCAGAGTCAAAGCCAGCTGCTCCTAGATGATCGCCAGGCAGATAACCAACATCTCTCTCCACCGCCTCCTCCACTGATTGAGACTCCACTGCCTCCACCATCTCAGGTTTGTTCTGAAGTCCTTCCACTACAACCTCTTTGCCTGCCACACACATCCTACCTCCTGCCAACAATAGTTACTTAGCTACCAAACCACTGACACCCAATGTGTCTTAAGTCATACTTCCATTCCATTCACTATCTTATCTTATCTTACCTAGCAGGGGCAGGCCGAGACCATAAAGCACTTCATCCGAAAAATAGAATTATTGCACACCCCAAACAATTGTTTCCTTAATAGACCTTACAAATTCAGGCATCCGATGAAAGCCTGCAGTCTTCCAATTAGTTCCTCCTCAGGAAGATGTCTACCTCTTACCACATTGCCAAGAGTTACCTTCTAGCATCAGAGGGATAACTCTTGGCAATGTGATTAAGATGTTTCGTTCACAAAAAAGTTCAGATGATTGACGACAGAATTCAGCACAGACTATGAAATTGTAAAAGCCTATAAGACAAATGGCTTTCACAGAATATCATCCAAACCCCCAAAATGCACATCTAGAGGATAGAAGCTTTAAATTAATATTCAATATACCTATAGAAATAAATATTTAGGGCTCGATTTGCTGCACACAAAAACTGAACGAATTATTTTAATATTGAGACATTATGCAGCTAAGTGATAAATAAATGGTGAATAGTCTGTACACAGTTACAAAATAAATAATTACATAATAATTACTAGTCAAGCTTACCAAGCATAGTGTGCATACAGAAGTTCCACAGGTCATACCAATACTGCTCTACATCCACCAGAGTCTGCAAGTGGTAATGGTGTACAGGGTACTGCTGTTCCTTATCTATCTGATGATAGCCACAAGGAGAAGACGTTGTGTCCCACAGTAGAGCACGACGGTTCAGGTACACAAAAACCTGCCACAATCATCAGTCAGTATAAGTGGACGATTATCAACATCTACCAGAGTCTGGAAGTGGTAATGGTGTACAGGGTACTGCTGTTCCTTATCTATCTGATGATAGCCACAAGGAGAAGACGTTGTGTCCCACAGTAGAGCATGACGGTTCAGATACACAAATACCTGCCACATTCATCAGTCAGTATAAGTGGACGATTATCAACATCTACCAGAGTCTGGAAGTGGTATTGGTGTACAGGGTACTGCTGTTCCCTATTTATCTGATGATAGCCACAAGGAGAAGACGTTGTGTCCCACAGTAGAGCACGACGGTTCAGGTGCACAAATACCTGCCACATTCATCAGTCAGTATAAGTGGACGATTATCAACATCTACCAGAGTCTGGAAGTGGTATTGGTGTACAGGGTACTGCTGTTCCTTATCTATCTGATGATAGCCACAAGGAGAAGACGTTGTGTCCCACAGTAGAGCACGACGGTTCAGGTACACAAATACCTGCCACATTCATCAGTCAGTATAAGTGGACGATTATCAACATCTACCAGAGTCTGGAAGTGGTATTGGTGTACAGGGTACTGCTGTTCCTTATCTATCTGATGATAGCCACAAGGAGAAGACGTTGTGTCCCACAGTAGAGCACGACGGTTCAGGTACACAAATACCTGCCACATTCATCAGTCAGTATAAGTGGACGATTATCAACATCTACCAGAGTCTGGAAGTGGTATTGGTGTACAGGGTACTGCTGTTCCCTATCTATCTGATGATAGCCACAAGGAGAAGACGTTGTGTCCCACAGTAGAGCACGACGGTTCAGATACACAAATACCTGCCACATTCATCAGTCAGTATAAGTGGAACAGATCTTTAAGGTAAATAATTAAAAGTTTAAATTTTATCGTCAGCAGTTTGCTACAGAGGCCTCCTCACTGTAAAAACCACTGACTGCAATTAAATGAAATGTTAAAATATTACCTTCTGACATTCGGCTATAACCTCTGCAACTTCAACATAGCTACATATTCAAGCATCTGTTTACATTTTGTCAATGATTCACAACCAAAATCATTATTATTGGTTTGGTCAATGATTTGTTAATGTTATTAATTATTTAATAATCGTTTACAAAATTCAAATAAATGGTAAAATTAATTTGTTGTGTTTAATAACGTGTTAAGTTACTGCAGAATGTATTTTTTTATGTAAAATTATGTTTTAGTGCAGTAAAATAATTAAAATATTATAACATATACTTATTTTTCTTCATGTTCATCGGTTATCTACTTTTTAATAAAAATATTAAATTAAATACAAATATCTTTATGCAGTACATATAATGAGAACATATTTTGAAGTTTTGATTCAAAACTTCAAAACTTTAAGACACACCTAATGGGGAAGACCAAGCTCTTATATTAAGGACTGATGATGGCGATTTAACATCGCCGAAATGCATATCCTGCAATAGGATTCTACAGGATCGACCGGCGGACACAGGTAATTTAACCTTTTATTAAATACTAGCTGTACCCGCGGGCTTCGCCCCGTTTAACTTCATAAGTATTCGCATGGCTCATTCACGTCCTGGTTGAAGTTTGTTCGCTACGCTCACTCACCTTTAGGTTGGAGCTCGTTCGCTGCGCTCACTTGCCTTCAGGTTAGCTCGTTCGCTGCCCTCACTTGCCTTCAGGTTAGCTCGTTCGCTACGCTAACTCGCCTCCAGGTTGAAGTTCGTTCGCTACGCTCACTCACCTTTAGGTTGGAGCTCGTTCGCTGCCCTCACTCGCCTTCAGGTTAGCTCGTTCGCTGCCCTCACTTGCCTTCAGGTTAGCTCGTTCGCTACGCTAACTCGCCTCCAGGTTGAAGTTCGTTCGCTGCGCTCATTTGCCTTCAGGTTAGCTCGTTCGCTGCGCTCACTTGCCTTCAGGTTAGCTCGTTCGCTACGCTAACTCGCCTCCAGGTTGAAGTTCGTTCGCTACGCTCACTCACCTTTTGGTTGGAAATTAGCTGTTGTCATATATTAAAATAAATTAATAGTGCTGCACCCTGTTGGTAATAATGGTAATCCTTTTAACTTTTATGCTATTGAACATCATAGAACAGAACCAACTTGTTTAATTGAAACAGCTGTTAAGATTCATTAATTCCTTTTAAATATGAAAAATCATAAGATTAACATGGGGAACTACAGAGCCACTGGGGCGGAGCCCGAAAGGGTTTTTGAAATAAGAATATGCTTTAATGTTAATCGGGAATGTGAGCTATCATCATGCCAAATTTCAGCCCAATCCGTCCAGTAGTTTATGCGTGATTGAGCAACACACACACAAACACACACACAAACATACACACAAACATACACACAAACTCACAAACTTTCGGATTTATAATATTAGTAAGATCTTTATTTATTTCAAGATGTTTCATTTGTATGTACATTGTACAATAAATAATCCCTACCTTAGACTCCCTCTTACCCAGTTATCTTTTAACTGGACATCGGGGAATGACATCTCTTTAACCGGACAATGATTATCAGAAAATCGGTTTAACCGTACTAGATCGGCAGGAAGTGGGTGGTACTGAAACGACTATTCTCGTGGGAAAGATTTGAGACCAGTGATCACGTATACAAATACAGTGCTCTCCTAACTTTAAGTTAAATATTGTATACAGTATGCAATCCGGACTGGCCTCAGTCCCGAAGAGTTCGGATAACAGAGAGTCTAATGTAGTGTCAAAGATAATCACACAGTTTCAAAAGGATATAAACAGCAAAACAACAAACAGCAGTATTAGTTTGGTCAAAAGGATTACGCTCATTTGTGTCTTTAAGACCAATGCGCCCCGGGAGGAGGGGGGGGGGGGGGGAAGGGAAGTGGGTCAATCTACTGAGAAATTTCAACACAGTTTGGTCACCTGGTCCTTCTCCTTCAGTCGCTGAGGTCCCATCTGCAAGAGTCCTGTGCAACAAAGCCTGATCACCTGTTCGTGTATGGTGAAGATGTATCTGAAACAAGTAATGAAATATTACTTATTATACGTTGGGTACCGTACTTATGTTTTGTACTATTACAGTAGAATCCCGGTTAACCGAAATAATACAGGGGGGAGAGCCGTTTCAATTGTCATATGCTAAAAATAGCCTAATCATTACCACGGTGTGTAGGAAAAATTAATTTAAAACAATTTCAACAATTTTAAATGGGTTATATAATGATTTAAACTAAACAACTGGGGTTACTGAGACATTTAACAGTACATATTAAAACATTTTAGCCCTGTATTATTTTATGGAACCCTTTCAGTTAACCAAAATTCGGTTAAACGGAGTTTTACTGTACTTCTGAAATTTAGCTTTGGTTGATTGAAATTGAGTTTCAGTTGAAACTTATGAAGCTAAGTAGCACTCACTTTCAGACTGGCAGGAAGGAAGAATTCAAAACATTCTAGAAAAAGTGTAAACAGCTTTCAAACTACTGTGTATTTAAACTGTAGCAAATTTAGTTGAGATGTATAATTGGCCCCATAAAAAGTCAATCAAAGTGTGGATGCCTGAAATAACATTGAGGTTAGTTTGATAGTTTGAACTAAACTTGGTTGAAACTATAAATGGCAACAAAAAAAGTTAATTGAAAGCGTTCCAAATAAATATTCAAATAAAATAAAGTCTACTGTATAGCCTAAAACTGTGGCACAGTAAATCAGATGTCACACCACACAGCATTGTTGTAGGAGGTTGTATTTTAAAGTGACAAAATAATTCGTCGTAAAACCGGTTTACAATTTGTTTAAATCCATGTTCCAAAACTTCATAAAAACATTACTTACATATTACATTAATAGTACGGAAAATAGGTGTTTACAGGACGAGTACAGTTGTTCCCGCACTTATGGGCGAGTGATGTACAATTTTGTTCACGTTTCGTCCAGTAGAGAAAATTCATTTAAGTACAGTAGTGCGTAATGAAACCCTATTCGATTAAGCGGGCGGCAAACAGCAGTTTTTTTTGTTTTAACTAAATTCATGAGTGGGGACTGGAGATTCATTTAAAACAGTGTTGTAGTGTGGCAAAAAATTCATTACAGTGTAAGATTTATATTTTCTAGTTGTAATAATTCTACAAGTTTAATTTGGGTCATATTTTTTTTATATAGTAGGTAATAAAGTAGATAGTAGCTTTGACTAATAGTCAATGATAGTACAATGATAGTACGAATAATAATGATTCATAAGGATAATTTGTATTGTTTCTGGACCTATTTCTCAGGACATTTATTTAGTTTTAAAATGATTGACAATATAGTAATTACTACAAAATAGTAAAACTATAAATTCAAACTTTCAAATAAGGTAGGTTAAGCATTCATATTAGAAATATAAAATACACCTATTAAAAATACACATGTTAGGGTTTCTTATATAACCAATTGTAGACGGTACGTCGGACAAGAATTATTTTACATCCATAACTATTAATTTATAAGATGTTATGCAAAAATCGGCGTGGGTGTATGTGGCAGTTATTTTCAACATTCAATACTGTGTTGAGTGGAGATGCATTCCAAAACAGGTAAAAACAGGTTTGAATGTCATTGATGCAAACTTACTGGTCATCTTACTGCCATAAACTTCCTCTGGCTTGTTATTCAACAGACGTTTGAATTCGTTAAAACATTCCTTTTACTCAAGTAAACAAAACTATATAAAAAAATCAAGTAAATAAATTGGTTTGAGTGAAAATTAAAATGATCTCCTTTGATTGAGTACTTTAATTTTCTAAAGAAAAATTATTTTTTATTAATTCGTTAGTTTAATTTCCAAAGTTATTTTTTACAAAAATAAATATAAATTTTTAAAGTTTGGCATCGTTTTTTAGTTTTTTTTTTTTTTTTTTTGTACCCATACTGTTATTATCAGTCCCATGAACTAAATGTTTTGAAAAAAATCAATACGGTAATGAATTTCAATTTGTTTGATTGTAAAACATAGGCTATTCATGAAAAAAAAAAATAAATAAGAAAAATTACATCCTTTTTTTAAACAAAATTATAACAAAGAAAAACAAAATCCCCAAGTAGTTTAGTTTGGATGAATAAACACAGACATGAAACTGAAATGATGAATGCATGTGATCAAGAGAGAGCCTGCTGTATATTTGTGATGGCAGCCTGCCTTGTCCTTGGACCTGTCAAATTGGGAAAGAGGAAACAAGCAGCAACAGCAGTCTGGTCAGTGATTTACCCAACCCAGACAAAACCTGTTCTTAGCCATTGCAGCCATGAAGCCTGCTGTGCTGTTGTTAGTGTTTGTCAGCTGTGAAGGAATGGTGAGTTTACCAAAAGTTAAAAACATGGGCAAAGCAATTAATCAGAGTAAACTCCTGTGTGACGCTTGTGAAGATTCAGTGAAAGAAAAAGATACGGTTCTAAACAAGGGGAACTTTCAAAACGTACCAGGGAAAGTTGAAAACGTGAAGGTTGGAAATATTACAAACATTGAAAACACAACGAAGAGTGAAAACACCACAAATATTGAAAACACCATGAAGACTGAAAACAGCACGGAGATTGAAAACACCACAGTGTTTGTTGACATTGACGATAAGTTTTTAGGAGATGCTCCAACACGATCCTGTGAAGACAACATGTCGAGAAATGCTGCTGGACAATGTAGACCAAAAGTGTAGTGAAAGTTAAATAAAATTTTATTTTTTAACAGAAATTATTTAACCTGACCTTGGTGAGTTTCCATAGATGATTATTGTCTAAACTTGAATAAAGAATATTTGATTGATTGATTGATTGATTGATTGATGAAATGAAAAAAATAGCTGAAACATTTATCTACACAATATACAGACAAAACTCAAATTTTAATTTTATTTATATAAATATTTACCGTCTTGTGAGTTAACAGTATAAGCGTAAATATATGTTTTAAGTGTTATTAGACGTATCTTTTATTTACTTGCCGTTGATTATATTGTATCGTATGCAACATTTACTTTTTTGTAATTTAATGGTCGTGGGCAAATCCACGACGGATGTGCTAGTTGATTATAAATAAATTGCCTTATTGGTCAAAATTAATTTCAAGTTGGATGAACGATAAAATATAGGCTAAACAAAAACAACTAAGTGCCCTCTACATAATCGGAACAAAACTACAGAATGACCAATCTATAAGAAGTATATGTTTTAACGGATTGGTGATTTTTTTCAGCCAGGAGCGAAATTCTTGGATGGTTAAATAAATTTCTCACATGTAAATAGTTTCAAAACAACAGCATGAGCAATTTATGTTTGGTCTAACTCGCTCGTCAAAAACCTATAGAACACAAAATAAATACTGATACTCAATCTGTATGTTGCCCTCCGAATTACTTCATCATTATTTATTTGCAAGGAGCCAAGTTACCTTTACTGTCCAAGTAATCTTTGAAACGTCTATGGCAACCGGTTTTGAGTCATAGCCTGGTAGTCTAAGCCTGCACGCTGTATCATCGCTCTCACATGCGATAATTAGCCTAATATTTGTATGGCATTTGACCTCTTTTGTTTATGTTTGTGTGTGACTGTATGCGTTAGGTATTTTCAAACTTAAACACCTCCTACATGTGAACATTTGACGTCTTTTGCTAGAAAATGATGCCAGATGCAACAAAACCAGTCACCATGGATGACTCGAGGATTACTTGGACCTAGGAGAGTAAATGTTTCTGTAGGCTAGAGGTTGGACTTACTTGCGAGCGTACGTGAGAGCGTATCTGTAGCTGAGTGGTAGGTTCTTGACCAGTAGGTGTTTCCTTATCGGATGGTTCAAGTATTCTTCGATGCCCGGTATCTCATACATCACGTTGACCAGTTGAATGAAGAGAGAGAGCGGCAGTCGAAGCAGCATGTCGGACATTAGCGCCCAGCCATTGGTGTATCCTGAGGAAAAATCAATGTATTGACTGAATATGTTACTTGCGGTACCTTACACCTTTGACTATTGATACCTCCACATTCCATCCTCATGTTAATGGTGTCGCCAGTTTTTAATAAAAATTGTCATAGTTGATGTGAGGCAACAGATTGTGCTGATCTAAATTACTAATTTCCATTGAATTACACAATTTTTTTTACCAATTGAATTCCAACTGATAGACTTGTAGTGTGCTATAGCAACTGTAATGACACATCAACTACGTTAGCGAATTATCAACCAAAATATGGTCGATAATGGAATTTTATACACTAGCACATTCTGTGACTGGCTCACACAACTATTTTCTTTGTTAATAAAAGTTGGCAAAAGCTGGTCCATATTGATAGGATGTCTACTCAGCATGTCAGTATTCAATACTCAATAGTCAATGCTTACACTATATAAAAATAATTTCAAGAACTGATAAGAAAAAACGTCAAAACAACTAACAACACCAAATTAAATATCATTGTACCGCCCGATAATGGCTTGTAAAAGCTGACACTATTGTGTCGTCTAAAATTATTTGGATTGCGTAATAGTAGGTATTCAAGCAGTATTTGGCTTTTTTTTCTTTTTTGGTTTTGATTTTGGTTAAATTACGGTCACATCGTGTTGAAAGACACAAAAAGTTACAACAAAACTCGTGAGAAATCATAAAAAATATATAAAATCCTATTCACCCCTCTGATCAAAGGCAGGTGATTTTACAGACCCGAGGTGAAATGAAACAGTTCTGATTGAGCTCCTGCTGAAAGTGAGGCAGTTCCTGTTCCTGCAACTACAATACCACCAATGTTGATGTTTTGATGAATCAAGAATCTAAATCACCCTACTTTATTTCAACTCAATAAATTTATAGATAAATAGTTAAATGCAAACACTTACCGGTGTGGACTGGTAACGGAGGAAGGAACATTTTCCAGTCCATGGTCGTAGAGTATATTTGGGACATTTCACTCCTGATACTATCAGTGATCTCAACGTGATTCTCTATTTCCCTCAAGGCTGTCTCCTGGTTGAGGTCAACGTCGCCTTCGTATCCGTAGATCAAGTAGAACATGTACTTGTGTAGCACTTGCATCCGCATATATTTAGGCTTGAAGCCGTACATTCGGCCCAAGCGCTGAAAACATTGATAAATCTCAATTTTTGAATGCCTATACAGTGTTGAGTGAAAAACTAATAAGTTTTTTTTTTCATTTACGGTAAGTAATATCATATATAAAACATACCCCCTTAATAGATTTCTCATCCTTATGGAACAGCTGAAGCCAATTTTATTGTTAGTTCTGTACGGTGCACTGCAGAGGTCAGGTTTTATTTACAATTTGTTTCTTGTTATTTCATTTAAAAACCTCATTTAACCAAATAAAACAATCTCATCATATACAATAATCTGTCCCCTAGTGTATACATCTCAACAGTAAAACACAAATCAAACAACAAATACAAATAATACAAACAAATCACAAATAATAGAAACAAAATTTGTCGTCACTAGCGATCAGTATTACCAGACATGAATTAGACACAAAAAACAAGCTTTAAAATTTCCAATGGGATTAGAAGTATATTTGTGTTGATTAGTCTATGGTATTTAGGTAAAAAAGCATGCTCATTGAAATTAAGTATAAAATTGAGTTTAACCTTACTTAGAGGCAGTGAAATTTTGAGTGAAGGATCATGTACAATGTCGTGTTTTGTGCCAGGGTGGAGTTTACCTTACTAGGAATAGGATACACAATAGGAATAGGATTACAGGAATAGGTAATCAATCCTATTCTTAAAATATCCAAAACCCTTGTAATCTATGTTACATCCTACCCCTGACTTACAAAGTTATACTTGAGATTGAAGTTTTCAATATTGCACGTGGGAGGAACATCGGCATACAAACTTTCCCCCTCTGGTTGTTTGGGGGGAGGTGGTTGCGGCTGAACTGGTTTCTTCAGACGAGACTTCTTCCTTAGAGCTTCTCTCCCCAGGATGTGGAATTTCATTTTAGCTTGATCGATGGCGGATTGAATGACAGAGTGGTCTGTAAAGCACATAGAGTGTTAGTGGTAATATGAACAATCTTATGATAATAATATCGTAAAAAATAATAATTAGCAGTAATCTTTGCAAAATTTTCTTTTAAGTCATAATTTTTATATGAAAGGAGACACAAGTACTGTGTCTGTAAGCACACAACTTGTTTGCTAGCGGTGTGTGCGGGAGGAGAGCGGTACCAATCTCCCACCACAGCCAAAGTTTCCGTGGCATTGGTCGGACTCACTTTCTAAAAACATTCGACCAGCGCTGTTCACGTTGTTTGCCTTTTTTGCGTACATTTTTTAGAATTTAAATTTAAATTTAATTCAAGTACCATGCAATGTAATTACTAAGGGCTCTAAATTATTGTTTTGGTAGAGTAGTAGAGTAATTAATTTTCATATAACTATGTTTTTACTTATTCAAATGTACACCAAACGGTAAAATCGTTGTATATTCCAATTTAATTGTAAAGTTTGACTTATTAGGTTTAGTATTTTATGTAAAAACACATAAATATACCTATAAACAGAATCATAAGGCTTAGTATATATATTTATGGAAACTTTTTGCTTATTTTCATATCATGTACAATAAATAAGACCTCAAAATATCGGGCGATTTTCCGAAAACCCTGTAAAATGGTTAAAGACTTGCTATTATTTATTTTATAACCCTAAATTGATAAAATGAAAGTCTGTCTCTTAGTGTCGTAAATTATTTTATGACAATATTTTATGACCGGATGAGTATTGTATTCTATCGAATGTCAGTTTATTGGACTGTGTTGTGGAGTTGAGTGGTGTGGTTGAGAAATTATTGAGTGATGTTTAAGCTGTGGGTTAAAAAAGTGTTAGCCTAACTTAGATTAATATCATGGAAACCGACCGTAAAAATGGGCAAACCATTCACAGTGAAGCGAGGGAAATTAAAAAACTAACAGGCGCCGTGCCGTGTGCTGGTATAATGCATCCGCTGGGAGTAGAAGTAGTATAGACAACATTTTTAGGGCGACTAGTAGCAGATTGCAGTGCTCCGTGCTGTGGTGGGGGCCCCTCCTGGCCGCGGGGACAGTGGAGGGGCCACGCGCAAACAATTTGTGCGCTTACAATAACTCCCTTGAATAGAGTCAGTTTTTAGACAGCACACAACTGGACCCACATGTCCAGGAACATTGTGCTTTCAAAACATTATCCTGACCAAAGAAATAATTGGTTATTGCATAAAGCGGATTTTAGTAACAAAGCCAGACAAGGACTTCCACTACATTCTACACATACCCTTCACTCACATTCAGGTGAAACTACAATGTATTGTAAATTATGTCAAAGATTTCCATGAAATAATTTCAGAAGCAAATTTTTAACACAAAACAACGGTTAAATCATTGAGGTTCACAGTAAAAAGGCTACACTATATAAAATGCTATATAAAGGCTACTATATAAAAGGGTATATAAAGGCTACTATAAAAGGGTACCATTATCAACTGAAGGATGGCAGATAAATACAAGTGTTTTCTGTTTATCATATCCTTTCAGTGAAACTTGTAAATGTTTCACATGTCCTTCCAAGGCCAACTTGCGGATAATCCTCTGTAAGGACTTCTTGTCCATCCTTACATCTAATCCTTCTTTTGTTTCTTCCTCAAGGATCATCTAGAACAGAAAAATTTACAATTTCAGTTCTGCGAATTAGCAATCCTACAAACAATACTGTCAATACGATAATGTTCAATCTTTATGAATTAGATGTAACCACAGTTATTTAAAAATACATTGAAGTAATATTCAGATAAGGGTATCAATTCCAAGGCTTTAATATAATCCAATCTCGGTGTTTCAGGATTTTTCTAAGAACTTCATAATTATTCATAACCAAAAGTTTTTTTTTTTATCAAACTGTCGATTTTAAGTCTATCTCAGTTTCTCCAGTAGTTGCTTGACTCTACAGGACTTAGTATTTGTATCAAAAAACCTAGACACAAGAAAAAGTACCGCTAAATAAATCTGCAACCGAAGGTTGTAAGCTATTATCAAAGTTTTACAAAAATAAATTCAGAAAATTGATCTTGATAATTTTGATGGTTCAAAACTGGACACAGCTGTCCTTCATCATTAGGTTTTTAACAATCAGTCCTGGATATAGGAACTATAGAAAAGTAAAAAAGATAGGACTTGAGGTAAGTGCAGAGGAATCAAAATATCTAAGTGGGAAGAATTCAAAATGAGGATGAGGGACAGTTAAATGTTAACAACCTGACCTATGAGAGAGTATTGGAATTCAAGTACCTGGGAATTGCAGTTAATTCTATAAACAAAAGAGAGAATGACATGGAAAAGAGACTGATTAGTGACTGCCGCAACTAACTGCTTTCAAAGCATGTCTATAATCTTGGAATCCAAATGACTATAAAATCCAAAATAATAAGAATCTATGAAACCATAAGTGAGCCAGTAGTTTTGTATGGATCAGAGGCCTGGACCCTAACCAAACAAAGTAAAATAGATTAATAATTGTCTTTGAGAACAAAATATTAAGAAAGATGTTTGGGCCTATAAAAGAAAATTAAATATGGCGGATCAGAAAAACCAGTGAGTTTCGAGAACTTAATGAAGTCCCAGATATAGTAGCTATTGTTAAGAGAGGAAGATTTGTTTTGAGCAGGACACATAGTCTCTCGAAGTTAGCTACTCATGGACATCTATCTAGTACCCCCAAACTACAGTGGGGTGACCAGGTTCGGAAAGACCTTCAGCGGATGGAGATATTAATTGACCAAGCAGCCAGACAGACAACAGTGTTAGATAAGTGAGGTTATAGTAACAGAGAGTTTGATCAGTAACAAAGCTACAAGGTATTTCATTTCATTCTACAATCAAACTTATTATAGTATTTTTTTAATTGTTATGACGACACTCCTATCCTTGTACGTTGTACTTTTTAAGATGTTATGAGTGAATAAAGAATTTGAATTTGAATTTGAACTTCACTCATACCTGGGGTAAAATACGCGTCCCCACCTCAACTGATAATAATATTGGTTGGAAAACTAGAAACCACTTACTTTTTGCAGTTTACTCGCGTCGAAAATTACTTTCTGTTTGTGTACTGCCTCCATGATCAAGTTTGTGCGTTTCAACATCCTGAAGGTCACGCTGGTGCTTTCCAACCCAGGTATGGTGGTTGGTAGAGCTAAGGGTTTGGCAGTGCTGGAACAATTTTATTTTATTTTAGTACTCATTCAGAACTAATTGTAGTTTTCATATTGTAAACAGCCTTCCATGGGTTGGCTTTTAATCTCTAACTTAAAGTTTACTTAACTCAAAACACCTAAGTAAAATCTGGCTCGCAGGTAAATTTTGCTAAAAGGAAGGAAATACTTTCTCAAATTTCTCCATGTGTTTATTGGGCGGAGCAGATTTGTATTTCCTCAATGGCTATGCAAGTATAACATGAATACAGTGTTTAAATACAGTAAAGTGTCACAAACTTGGAGATCTGGTTTTCTTGGGTAACCCGCAAAGAATGTGTACATGAGTGGTACACAACTCTACGCTGGTTTTATTTACAACCCTGAATATGTATTTTTGTCCATACAAACTATTAGGAACAGATAACAAAATAAACAGTTGTAAGCTTTTAACATCAATGACCTGTTGAAAACAGTCATTACATACAAAAATACTGCTCAATGAATAAAGATCGATTGATATTTAATATTCAACTGCGACTAAAACTGTAATTTCTAAAAAAACTTCTTACAGTGATCTCCCACAGGTATAGCTGCTCTTGATTTCTACAGTTACATTTGAGGTAAACGCTTCATCTGTTGGTCCCGGACTTTCGACTTTAGCAGGTACCTGAAAAAAATTGAATTGAAATTACAAAAACAATGGCAATCCTAAGTGTGTTTACTACTTACTAAAGAATAAAATCATATTCAAAATAATGAAATTTAATAATAGGCGTTTTTATTGCCAGGATAGTGGAAACAAGGAAAGCCGACATAAAGCCTAAAATCAGGTTGAAAAGCCACATACCATCACTGCTGTGTACACCCAACCACAACTGGTTGCCATCAAGCCTCTCAAATCCTATGGTTGTGCTTTGAAGGCTTTTTCAATGAAAAATAAACTCTTTAGCACTTAGCCAGATTATTGAATGTGTCAGATTTGTGGGGTTTTACTGTAGTACACCACTTCCAGAGACTGGAGAGCCTCATTAACCGAAACTAATTGAACCGGACCCTATTCATGTGACCAAATTGTGAGGACTAGCCAGGATTGTAAATCACAAATATTCAAAAATCAAATGAAGTCTTTAATTAACAGTAAATTTTACTGTTTATTAAAACTGTATTTTACTGTACATTTTATATTGTACTGTAAGGCCCGTGTACAAACTACTAGCGGGATGTGCTAGCCAATTAGCACGCTACTAGCGGGGTGTGCTAACCAATTAGCGCGCTACTAGCGAGATGTGCTAGCGAATTAGCACGCTACTAGCAAGGTATGCTAACGAATTAGCAAGCTACTAGCTGGGTATGCTAGCGAATTATCACGCTACTAGCAGGGTGTGCTAGCGAATTAGCACACTACTAGTGCGGTGTTCTAGCGAATTAGCACGCTACTAGCGGGGTGTGCTAGCGATTTTTTTAAAATGCAAATACAGTAACTTCCCCCCCCCCCCACCCACCTCGAGTCCGAGGTGATGTACTTTAGCTGGTTGTTCTATTATTTATTGGAAGGTTTAGATTGGCAGAACTCTGGTGTATTTTTATTTTTCTCGACTAGTCTTTTAACAGAAACTTGTACTACATAAAATACTATACAAACTAATCACAATATTTTGAAAATACAACAAATTTATTCCTACCTTCTTAGCACTTTCTATTTTCGCCTTCTTCTCTGGTACAGGTTCACTGGTTTTTTCCTCATCCACTTTACCTTTGCGTTTTCTAGTTCGTTTTATCTTCACCCTGATTTTCTCGGAAGCAGGTGGATTGTTCTCCAAAGGCAGCGATTCTGTTACGTCCACTGTTATAGATTCCCTCTGTTCACTACTCACTTCCCTCACATCCACTTCGCTCGGTATGTCAGTAGCTGTTGATGTTGAAGGTGAGGGCAGTGCTTCCTTCTTCTTTTTCTTCCCTTTCTCCCTCTTCTCTGAGTTGGACGTTTGTTTACCACTCGATTGATTCTTTGAGCAAGAAGGTTGAGCATCTTCTGTTGTCTTGCTTTCGCTGACTAGTTTGATCAATTTGTCTTTCTCCTCAATCATTTGTTTCTTGATGTCAGAACATTTGTCAAATATCTTCAAGGCAAACCTGAAATTAAAATGTATTCAAATTGAGAAGGAAAAGACCTAATATACACCGTGAGCTTATTATAATGGCTATCAGAAGCAAAAAGTGCAAAGAAAAAACACAAAATCATTTGTGTTTTTGTGCCAGGGTGGAAGGTTTCCAAAACATCATTTTTAAGAAAGCATAATAAAAATACCCCCGCCGCAGCAAACCTGCAGACAAAGCAAATTTCAACTTGTCTGATTATATTTTTACTAAAATATTTTCATAAATAAGACATAAGTTATTTATTCCCTATAAATAACATTAGATTTAACGAGTGCTTAGGTTTGCTGCTACGGGGAAGGTAAAAAGTGTTTTTGCCCATACGTCAATAGTATAGGATGAAATTAATAAATTTTAGGGATGGACGAGATTGGATTTTTAGTTCGAGACGAGACGAGACGAGATTTTTTATTTCTCATAAAATTTCGAGACGAGATCGAGACGGGATTTCCCTTCTCATACACAACGGGAAATGCATGTTCGGAATTTTTACCTGATTTTGTAACATTGTTAGATGACTGTTTAAATACAAAAATAATGATAATAGGCAAGAATATTTACAATCTTTTATTAAAAAACATCAGCATAACATTTTTTTATTAATCACGCCTAACTTATTAAAAATGCCTACGATTAGGAAACATAGTGATATCAGTTAGGATAGAGTTCAACTTATCTTAAAATAAAATAAATCATAAAATAAAATAAATCATAAAATAAAATATTAATTTTTATAAAATAGTTACTTGTTTTGACTTTTTTATAGTAGGCCTAATAAAACATTCCTCACACTGCTAACACTTAACAAAAAAATCTTCAAATGTTATTAAAATAATTAAAGTAATATTTACATTTGAAGAATTAATTAAATAAGAACGCCTTCGCAAAGGAAACGCAACTACAACACGCTCCTGTATTGCGGGTATTGCATTGACTTTCTGCAGGCGTTTTTAATTTTTTTTTTTTTTTTTTTATTTTTTTTTTTATTCTCGTCTCGATAAAAATCTCGGCCAAAAAGAAATCTCGTCTCGTGTAACGAGATTTAAAAATTCCCGAAAATTTCCCGAAATTTCGAGACTTGACCATCCCTAAAAATTTGCATAATGTTGTCAATATATATCCATAAACAAGTAAAGTACAACAATTTTCATTTTCTCCATAAGAATAACATGGGAATTTTAAATTAAACTATTTTTGAATTTTCTCCGTGACCGTTAGGCATACAACAGCGCTTCAACATACTAAATTATTTCTTTTTTTAAGCTCTACAAAACGGTATAGAAAGAAATTGCAAATTTTTTTGTTTTTAGGGTCAAAAATGGGAAAACCCCATTTTTACCCCATAAAACCCTGTTCCCTTGGTCCGATTATACTGGATCGCGAACTCGTTCGAATAAATGTAGGTTTACACGTTTGTACCAAATTTCATGAAAATCGGATCATTTTTGCTCGAGTTATCGCACTAACGGACACATATATATATATGAATTTGAACGGATGGTGTTTTTGGCTTCTAGGGACCTCAAAACTAGAAAAAATCGGTCCTGCGTCCAGGTCTTACCATGAGTACTACGGTAATAGCTTATTCCCTATATGCGAAATTTGCTAATTCCCTATATGCGAAATTCGCTAATATTCCCTATATGGGAAATTCGCTAAAAGAATATTTATTTGTTTTATTTGGAAAAAGATCCAAATAAAATTCCTTAAATTTGGTCAGCAAATAAAGAGTAAACTTATACTCTGGCTATTAAAATAATCCATCTGGCTATTAACTCGACCCAATCTTTGTCCCTTGAAAAATCACCAGAACATCCAAATATTTAAATATTTACGCTCAATCAAAAATCAAAGACTATTACTGCACAGCATCACAGATAAAATAACAAATAAATGCTCCTTCATTGATACTTTGAAAAGCATATTTGGTAGCATATAGAGTGTTTGTTTGATTTTTTCCTCAAAGAGATTGCTGGATTCCAAGCGAGGTTGTTTCTGGACCCACATTCCATTTCCCTTTGGGCTTTGAATTACAATGATGCTAACAAAATGATCAACACTAAACAGTACTAAGACCAAGGTTTGGAACTTTTCCTTCATATCGTAAAAAAGTGCCATTGGCGTAGAAATGGACACAAAAATCATAAAAAAACATTGTTAATCTTAGGTTTAGGTTCTAAGGTCTAATAACAGCTTGTTAAATTTGGGGAAAATCGGGCACATTAGGAACGCCACTTTGTACTGGTAACTTCCAGCCCCATGATCCTGCAAAGTACTGGACTAGTGCCAGACATTTAAATCATAATTAGAAAATTTCAAACTTTCATTAGATTTACGGATCTGGAAGCTAATTCCCATCTCAGATGCCAAAACCAATCCCTCAACTAACAAGCGAAATCCATAAAAAAGTACCTTATCTCAACAAGAAATCATTTCTCTGACTTACTTGGCTGTTCGTTGACGCCCCTCGTCCTTCATGAACATGGTGACCTTGTTGCTCTTGGTGAGGTTGCGTACGATCATGCGAGAAGCCAGTTTGGACGCGCCCAACGATTCGCCCATCTGCACCTGAGTGACACCTTCAGGCCCAGCCGCCTCTAGTATCTTGTATGCCTGCGCCATCACTGTGCGATCAAGTAGACGGTGGCCTTCGTCCAGTAGACCTGTTCAGCGTCGCACTAAATATCTTTAGTTGCTTTAGCAATTGACGATTGCAAAATTTCCGTTGATAGAACCTTTTAAAAACTTTATGTTTTGTAAGCGCATATGATTTTTATACGGTATGGGTTACTGGCTTAAAGAATAACATGAATAAAATTTTGAAATAGAAAATATATTAGAGGTGTTCCTTCTTATCTTGAAACTCAAACTTGAACACACGTTAAGAACATTTTTTTAATAATGGCAATTTATCTAATTTGTATGAACCAAACTATTATACAACTCAAAAAAGCGAAAATACATTGAGATTAAGATGGCCCTGCCTGATAATATTTACTAAAATATTTCCTTAAACAAAAATTTGCCAAACTTGATCAAATTATATCATACTTCTTCCTGTACCATATTCTTAAACAAGCAAACTTCAACAGTTTAATTATTCTCCATAAGAATAACAAAACAATATATAACCATTGAGCCTACAACAACGCTTTAAGATAGTACTATTAAATTATTTGTTAATTAAAATCTACAAAATAAAAAAAAAATTGTATAAAATATTTCTGAAAAAATTAAAATAAATATTTCAACTATAATAAGTGTAACCCCTTTCTAGAAACACTACAATTTTTGAACTTTACTAAACACAAACCCCATAGTGTTGTTCATGATAAAACCCCGACATACCACATTTATCATCATCTTCGTCATCATATATGTCATCATACTTCTGCCAAACGTCTTTAGGATCTGTGGAAGGGTCTATTAGACAGAAAACTCTGACAGATCGCTCCTTATTTAGTCCTTTATATTTCCATTCAGACTCTGAAGCCTCTGGATACATAACTCTGTGAAGTACCTGAAATTTACACAAAATTAATTATTTTAAAACGCTTTTATTAGCTCGCTTTCTTGTCTGTTTGGTACAAATTTTGCAATAAATTGTAAACTACCTTCTTGATGAGCTAGATACTTGAAACGTGAAACATAGCTCACAAATGGATGACAATGCAATATTAAATTATTTAATTTTCTTATTTTCCTTTACGCCCCATGGGCTTCCAAAGTTTCAATGTTTACATTTTGGAAGAATGTAAATAATATATCAATTAGCTGTAAATAGTTTGATTTGACAGTTTGTTCAAAAAGGAGGGGTTAAGAAGTAAAGGTTCTGCTTTTGAGAGATTCTGTTTTATGATGATGAGAATATTAGCAACAACATTTGATTACAGTTGAAAGGAATTTGGTTTGTATTAACAGGCCATATAAGATATATTTAACAAAGACATTTGACTAAAAAGTATAAAATAATTTATAAATATTAAATCTTTTTATAATACCTACCTTTGTTTTTAAACGCATTAAAAAATAAGAAAATAATTTATAAATATGTGGAGATAATAAATACTTTTACGATTAAAAGGAAAAAGGTATATACAATAAATAATAATAATTTAATAGGTTAAGATAATTGTGAATTAGCTATTGCATGCACCCGACATTTTTCCATTTAATCTTATCCTTTTAATCTTAAAAGTATTTATTCCCTCCACATATTTATAAATAATTTTTTACTTTTTAGTGCGTTTAAAAACATGCTTCTGTAGAGTCCGGCAAACTCTGTGTAATTTGGACTGGAAGGGTGCCAAATTTGTGAAATGCCAGGTTATCGGGAAGCAGGGTTAAAAATAAGAACAATACAATTTTTAAGCTTCTTAACCGCCTTTTTAATTTATATTTATATTACAAGTCAGCATTAAGTCATCAGATATTGTACAACAAATTCTTTGTACGAGTTGCGAATAATTTGAACTAAGCTGGGTTGAATACATGATTAACTCGGACTCAAAATATCATTAATTTTCTGAGCCTGGTGATGGCTGATTTATCCAGACTGCCGGGTTATCGAGTGCTGAGTTTGCACCTCTGTTGTGTCATGGGCCAATGAAAAGCACCGAAAACGTTGAGTTTTAACTCCCCTCCTTAGGGTTAGCAAGTTTATTCTGTTTAAGCTTTCTAAATGGGTTGCCTCTGACTTTTTGAGGCAAGACAGGCAAAGAAATAAATTAACAGTGGAACTGATAACTGGCCATAGGCGATTCAGGGAACATTTACAGCTGATTGGGCTTGTTTGATGGTGAACCGATCTGTAGGCACGGCGGTAGGTCAGATGAGACAGTCGATTACCTGCTCTTTGATAGTTAAAAGCTCTCTGATGCTAGAAGGAACACTCTTGGCAATTTGGTAAAAGCTAGATACCTTCCGGAGGAGAAACTAATTGGAAGACTTCAGGCTTTCATCGGATGCCTGAATCTGTAGGGTCTACCAATAAAACAACTGTTTTGGGGTGCGCAATAATTTGACTTTTCGGATGAAATCTTCATGGTCTCGGCCTGCCCATAAGATAAGATAAGAAAAAGGATAGAATATTGTTAAGTGTGTAGGAGAGTTCTTTTACAAATGATATTTTAATTATATGATATTTTATGTATTAGCAAAACCTGTCATCAATGATCACTCTAAGGAACTGTATTAATTTTTTTTTAAGAGGTCGGCAACTTCTTTTAACTTGCATTTGCCTGTCCACATAGATCAACACTGCCCGTGCGTGGAATGTATCCAGCAAAGCAAGGGGTGAGCCGGTACAGTACGAAGGTGAACTGTACTGATAAAATGTTTACGACAGTGACCAGGATCCGAACTTACGACATCGCTGCCTTTGGCCCGAAGTCCGTGACGCTACAGACTGAGCCACCGACTCAAGTTGAGATAGCTACTGTAGTTTGTTATTTATAAATACTTAAAATTACATAACAGCAAACTTACCACATCTGACTTGATGAACTTTTGAAAGTTGGGGGTTTTGCTGAGTTTTTTCAGAGTATCTTCAATATTAAGTTTTGTACGTAGCACATTATGTTCTTCCATGTGGTTTGGTTTGTTCTTCAAATAGGCCACAACTTTCTCAGTCATAGTCAGAGTTTTCGGCCGTCGTTCCACAAAAAACCTGGGTAGATGAAGCAGTAGCCCACTGGTGTTTTGGGTGCCCAACTTTTGATGGAACATCTAAAAAAAGTGATTTGTATTTTCACTGTATGACTGTGTGAAAGTATTCCAGTCGACATGTTATAATCCAATAAAAAAATAAAGTAATTATAATAAGCCTAGACGTTATACAGTATACTGTACATATATTACTTTGTTACTTATTAAAATGTTGCGTTCACAAAATTTTGGTTTAAGGGGAATTTGCCCTCTACTACTTCTTTTTATTTTTTATTTTGGCACACCTGATAATTATATTTTGGCAAACCTCAGCTGTTGAGCTATTATTTTTAAAAGTAGGTTCAAGTGGAGGGGATAGATTTGTTCCCCTAAAATCGCCTAAATTTTGTGAATGGAGTAAGTAAGTAGGCCTAGTGTTAATTGCCTATCATTCTACTAGCCTGTGTTTCATTTTGAACAGATGGGAACTTTCCAAACTTGTAAGCCTGTTTACAGCACCTGTTTGGTGATTAGCCGGTGCTTGTGGAGGACTTTTCGCAGATAGAAGATTGCTTTTGCGTCTTCCCCGACAATCTGCAGACTGTCTCGACCCTGAGTGATTTCTCCCAGGTAGCGACTGCGGCCCACCCTCTCTAGGACGATGTACTGCATAGGAGTCAGCTCTAGGTTAGGGTTCACGTCGGGGTTCTGCAAAGCCCTGCGTCTGGCAGCAGCAGAAGCGACTGCTACCAGCCTGTGGCCCCATCTGTGGACAAATGTGATTTAGCCTTGAACATCAACAACTCCGAAAAAACTGGCTTCCAATTAATCATCCCCTGTTTTTTAGGAGTAAAAAATTATAAAAATGAATAATGAAGTATGATTAAATTCATGTTGACTTTAAAATCAAAACTGGTACAAGAGACACAAAACTTTACACTATTTACACAAAACATTAGAATATGTTCACTGTCACTAACAGCATTTTCAATCAAGAAAGAGAGAGTTACCAGTACTTTGGTATTATATAGAGGCCACCCTTATACAGCGTGCTGCTATGTTAGGTTGGGTTATCATAAATAGTAAGTATGACTCATCTGGGATCTTTCAGTTCATAACAAAACGAGGAAGTCCTACAAACATATTTGTGATAACCCAGCCTAACATAACCGCCGCACCGCGCTGTAAAATAAGTTGCATCCGTATAATACCAAAGCACCATATTTTCTTCGGGTCCCTTTCTTCCTTAGTTAAAAATTCTGACAGTGACAGTGAAATATTGTAATGTTTTGTTTGCAGTGTAAAGTTTTATATCTCTTGTGCCAGTTTGGACTCTTTCCCATTCAGGTAAGCCTGATATCCTCACAAAAAAAAAAACAAGACTCTTGTGTTCTATGCTACATCCTTAATTATAAAACAACTGATTAAATGTTTGACAAATGTTGTAAATTCAATTTCATATATAATTTACAACGTTAATGTAGTTTGATAATAGACATGTGGGTTAAAACAAAATGTATAAACAATTTTGTGTTATCTGTGTATTTTGAATGCCTATGTAATCTTGGCAAACATTGGAGAATGAGCCGGCAGCCGATAGCAAACTATTTAACCTCGTGCTGATGATGATACATAATCAATTTGAAACATGTACAGCAAGATGAATAACTCAACCATTTGACACCAAACAGATGACGTTACAACGTAAATCAAACAGATACAGATGTAATGATTAAATTTTCCAATAGAGCACTATGTAGGCTATAACTTCAAATGGGAAATTAGGAAAGAAATACCTACTAAAATGCCCTGGTTTATTATTTTATTATTTAATTATTTTTTTTATTTTTTTTTTTTTTGTTTTAACACCAATTTTATTTGTAAAATTGTTGATAAGGATCTTCTGTTAAGACAGCATTACTTGGAGGCACAACGACAAATGGCATCGTGGTCTGAAAACAACCTGACTTGGGATCAAACCAGTAACTTTCAATTTTAAAAAGAATGCATGGAGAGAGAATTTCCACAAACATAGATAGTGAAGATATTTAAGTTCAAACCTGAATGTACATATTTTTTCCTCGACAGTAGAGGGTGGATAAAGATGAAGGGGATATGGAGAAATGTAGATAGATGGTAGATAGAGGAACTGTTGAAGGTTAGATGAAGGAGAGGATCAATACCCAGACGAAATAGTATAGATGTGTAAACTGTAAAAGCCCGCTAATCTGACTCCTTGCTTAATCAACCGTGACATTGCCGTTTGGTTACAATGCTATCACATTAAAATCGTGACCATTTCCGATGGTCACGTGGACATCATCCTTGTCTTCCACGATCGTGGAAATGACATTGTCATCACCCCTGGTTGCAATTGAATCTAGGACCTCTCTTGCAGTAACGGAAACATTACCATCGTCTACCGCGGTCAAGGAAAATCCTCGACAAATCGGGTGGCATCGTGGGGGGGGGGTATCATCATAGACTCCAATCAAGGAAACCTTATTGTTGTTATTTGCGATCGCGACAAAACCTGAGTATCGTCTGTCGTAAAGGAAACATGATTATCGTCTTCCCCGATCAAGGGAAAATCCTGAACTCCTCTGATAATCCGATCTTTGCAGGGTGGGGGCCATGGTTCCACTCCTCCACGCGACATAGCAGGTTCTTTGAATCAGGGTGTTTTAACACAGAAATGTTATTTCCATTCAATAGCCTGTAACTAACTTGGACAGTTTTTATAAGCTCACCTCTTGTCAACCTCTTCATATGATAAGCTCCGTACTTCATCAGTTATGTCTTTTCTCGTGAAGTATGTGGAACATGATCCTATTATACCATTAGCTGGATCTTCAACTTTACAATGAGGATAGATGTTCTTGGGCATGTTTTCCTTAAACATTGTGACAAGTTTTTTAGTAGTAACAAAATAGTAAATTTGTTTAGCTACTTAGCCTACTAATTAGGATAAAAGTAGTCAACAGACTGAAGTGCTTAGTTCATTCATTCGGTCAAATCTTAATTTATTCTTTAGCAACTACAACACAAAGTTCTTAATCTGGTGATTAACTTACTGTCTTTTTAAAGCATTTAAAAACGTGGATGTGTTTTATTACAAGATTGCATATTTTGATAGTTTGACAAAAAAATGCATAGTAAATTAATCTAAAGCTATAAACTTAGATTTACTGCACTTATTTGTATATCAGTATTATTCAATATTAAGATCCAAATTCAAATTCACTTTATATTCAATATGCATATTGTTTTGTAAATTAATGGCATCAAGACTAAAACTAAATAAATATGAATTTACACTAGGCCTACTCAGTGCATCATTTCTAAATATAATCCAAAATATTACAAAATATTATTTAGAACAAATAAACCAAGTTATCTGATCATCTGAGTTAGTAACAAAGTAAATGTACACATATTTGGGTTTTCCCACTTTAGCCCAATCAGTTTAGATAATCAAGTCTGAGAATGATTTTTAATTGACTAAGATATCTTGAAAAAGTCTTCAATAGAGTATACTGGATGGTCTACAAGAAAGTAGTAGCCTATAATGTTCTTTTAAAAAGTTTAAGATCTGTTAAAATTTTAATTTCACGCGGTAAATTGTTGAAAATTGTATTCTAGCATATGCTGGTTGTTTTGAATATAGACTAGTTCTGTACTAATTTATTTTTATGTTTAAAATCCCCAGAGGAAAAAAAAACTCCATCCATTCATATTCATTTCAGCCATTCTTTTATAAAGTACACCTTATGTAAAAAAATTAAAATATTTATTTTGTTCATTTTAATTACTTGTCCTTATACATAAACATCCATACAATTCATAATTACAAATAAAACCATGAATTTGTCATGTTTTTCAGTTTTATTATTGATTGCAGTTGGTACTGAAGCAGCTGATTATTGAATATTGAAATCAGCTGTTTTCTAGTCAGCTGTGAAATAATGAGTTGATATTTTTGGCCACTTAACCTACAACACATCTGAAGTAAGAAGATCAAAGAAGCATTCAGCAAAATTTCCAGACTTTTAGGTAACTATTACAATACTTTATTCAAGATCTTGTTTATTCAGTTGCTGTGTCACGTCCGTTACAAAAATACTACGAAAGTTTAAATATCACTTAACCTATAACTAATTAGTAATTTTAAACCCCAAGAAAGTAAGGTTAGGTTGTTTCCATATTCAAATATATGTTTTTTAGACATATTAAGTTAAATACCAATTTATTAAGTGTAACGGACGTGACAAGTCTTTATATGTAACGGATGCGACATAATTTAACAGGTGTTTATTTTGTGTCTTTATAGTAGGCCTATCTAACCAAAATATTTTTTTTTTTGTTTCAGATCATGGCTCCTGCTAACAGAATGGCAAAATGTAGGGAAAAAATGAAGAAGAACCCTGAAATATGGAATAATTATTTAGAAAAAGATCGTGAAAGGAAGAGGAAGCAAAGAGAACAGGAAAGAAGGAAATTTAAAGCTAATAAACTGATGTTGGAGCAAAAGAGACGCAAGGACAGAGAAAGACAACAACTTTACAGAAAGAAAAAGGCACAACTAAAGAAAAATAATGATGAAAACGCCAAAGCACTACTTGGTGAAACTTACCTTGGAACCTATAAAAGTCCACGTACACTTGGCAAAGCCCTAAAAAAAGCCAAAGGCACCCTACCCTCAAGTCCGGCTAAGAAAAAAGCAGTTCTTAAAAGATTAATAGAAGAGAACTTTGGCTTGTCTGTTTGTAAGGGACTTTTTAAGAAGCAAAAAAAAGGCCCACGACAGTTAACCGAAAACTGTATTAAGAAAGTAATTGACTTTTACAACAACAATGAAATCAGTCGCCAGGCTCCAGGCAAAAGAGATGTGAAATCAATAAAAGATCCAGAAACGTCTAAAAGAACAACATATCAAGTACGACACATGGTTATGAGTATTAGAGAAGCCCATGAAGAGTTTAAGGTCAAGAACCCAGATGAACAGATTTCGCTGTCAAAGTTTTATGACTTACGACCAAAGCACATCTTGCCTGTTAGTCAGATGCCCCACTCTGTGTGCGTTTGTATAAAACATGCAAATTTCATGTTCCTGGTTGAGTCTGTTTCAAAATCTATCCCTGGTTTTCCAGACAACCACAAGGACCTTCTTAGCCTAGTTTCCTGTGACATTTCAAGTGAAAAATGTATGATGAATGAGTGTGATGATTGCACTTATGACTTAAAAACTCTCCTTCCTGAAAACACAAACTTAAAAAATAAGTACAAATGGAAGGAATGGAAAAATGTAAACAATAGGCCAAATCTGGTGGAAAATTTCACAAGTTTAGGAAGAATATTGGCTGAACTTAACTCTCAATTATGTGCTTTCAAGATTCATTTCTACGTGAAGAAAGTTCAGTCTTCATATTTTGATAAGTGCAAAGATTCTTTGGGGGTTTCAATAGACAAAGCTATAATGCAAATAGATTTTTCAGAGAATTATGCACTAATCCACCAAGATGAGATACAGAGTGCTCATTGGAGCCACTCACAAGTTGCGATTTTCACTTGCTGTATATGGCATTGTAAGGAAGTATATAGTTTTGCCATTGTCAGTGACGACTTGAGCCATTCAAAAAATTCGGTATGGTTGTATATTAAAACTCTACTTAATGAAGTGAAGAATATTTCTTCTGAAATCGACCATGTACATATTTTTTCAGACAATTGTGCAGGCCAATTTAAAAGCCGCTATTCTGTATCAAATGTGTGTTTCTCAGAAAAAGATTTCAATATCACGGTGGACTGGAATTTCTTTGCCTCTGGACATGGAAAGGGTGCTGTTGATGGGGTAGGGGGCTCAATTAAAAGAACTGTTTGGAATGTGGTTAAAGGAAGAAGAGCTGTGGTTAGCTCAGCTGAAGAATTTTACCAAGTAGCAAAGGAAAACTGTACAAACATTAACGTGCTGTACGTTTCTGAAAAAGAAGTAAGTTCTCATTCCAAAAATCTTGAAGCTAGATGGGATAACATTGAAAAAATTGTCGGGATCCAATCGTTTCATCACTTCCGGGCCTATGATGAATGTCATATTCTAGTTGCCAAAACATCTGAGTCACTTATGACTAAGGTTTGCATCGTCCTAGAACCAGAAGAAGAAGACCTTACAGAGCCTGCGCCTTCAAAGCGTTTGCGGTACTCTGATGTGTACACGGACTCTGAAGAAGAAAATATGTGTGATAGACGCTACCCAGATGAAGATGAGTATTTGAATCTACTGACATCTACTGATATTTCTCCATGTGATATTGTCCCAGGAACACACGTACTGGTAAAAGTCTTCAGTGAAAAGGGAAAAGAGTTTAGGTATGTAGCGGTCTGTCAGAGTTGTGTTAAAGAAAATAAGGATGTTGAGGTTTCATTCTTAAAGTCATACAACAAAAGTCATAAAGTGTTTAAAATTAATGAAGGTGATGAAAGACTGGTCTCCGTTTCAGACATCCTCGAACTACTAAAAGATCCTGTGCTCAAACCAGTAGGTGATCGAGTCCTGTATGAATTTGAAGATGAAATAAACATCTTAGAATAACTGGAAGTAGAGCATATAACATAGCACAAAAGAGAACAGTTCAATTCCTGTGTTATAATTTAAAACCCCCCTAACAAAAGTGTGTTTTTCTTAGATGCGGAAATGTTTATGGAAGTTTACCATCTGCCATATTATGATTGTGTTCCAGCAATAGGCTAGTATTTAATTATTTCTTATTAATTTATCCTATATAACAAGTAATCTGTTTATGTACTAACATAATATTATTATAATTACAGTGCATAAATAAAGTGTATTTCCTCAAACTACGATATTTCTCCTACCTATCACCATACTTGTCACGTCCGTTACAAAACCATGTCACGTCCGTTACAGCAAATTAAAATTATTTTCTCTTAACTGAAATCAAATAATAAAAGCTAGTTGTTATGGCTATATAGATATTATAATAAGTAATTAAATTTGATTTTTCCAATATCCTAAATGTAAATACTTAACAGAATTTTTAACAAGACGTGCCACATCTCAGAAGGCAGGTGACTTAATTGTCACGTCCGTTACAGCCAGTTAAAGTTGCATAATATTTACATTACTTAATCGTAATACATACAATATTCTATGAAATTAAAAACCCTAAATTACTATTGACTTAGCATAGAAATTATTCACTGTAATTAATTTTTCCTACTTTTACTCCACTTTAAAATCATCTACTTGTCACGTCCGTTACAAAAGAATGGCTGATTTATGTATGTGCTCGTTAACAACTTGAGTAAATATTATATGATTTTGATTACATTTGGTAAAAACGTGTAATTCTACTTGTATTTGAACGAGTTAGCGAATCAGCATAACCGGACTATGAGAACAGGATTTAGTGGAGGGTTTTATGGGTTTAAAATACAGTAGATCCTCTTTAATCCGAACGTCCACTAATCCGAACGTCTCATTGCTGTAGGGACTCTATACATAGTACAGTAGTTCTTTATTGTATGCACTGTATTTATTTTGTATTTTTTGTTCAAATCCATACTTTGCAGGTTTGCTGCTACAGGGGTATTATAACAAAATGATGGTTTAATTACTTACGGGTTCTATTATCATTCCAAGTTCAGGGTCTATGTGTTGGAACCGATCAAAAATAACCAGTGGTGGTCTTGGCTCGGGTAGTTCGTAGAAACAAACCGGTTTGAGTCGTTTGACAGCATCCCACAAGAATGATCTGGCAGACTCATCATTCGGTTTTATCGTAAAAAATGGTCGGTTATTCAGTCTCAACCACAGATCTGTAATGTCACAATGTGCACTTTAATCATGATGCAAATGGATTAAACCATTTTAAAAACTAGGCTACATTCTGGAAATGTATTTATTTTATAAAAAAAAAATAACTAACTTAACTTATAGGCTAACAATGATGATACTGTATATGTTTCTAATAACGTTAGCTAGGCTTATTTGAAATAATAATTTGTACAAGGCCATCAAAGAAATATATAACAATAAGTAGGTCTAGATAAGTTTAAACCAGTTTTAGTTAAATCCCTTACACTGAGTCCAAACATACAAGTCTGCAGTATATCATCGACATTGCAAAATGACTCAGAAAAAAAAGCTTGCACAGAACGCTACACTCTTACAGACAAAATTCCTGCCTGATGATGCCTAGGTTTTGGCAGGTTTGGGTTGAAGTTGAAGAAACATTGGGCAGAATTTTGATATATACGACTCTCCCCCAGAAGAATTGATTGTTATAATAGAATTTTAAGCGTTATCGATTTTAAATGGAAGCAGAAGCTTTCTTGTTTGAGTTTGTCACTAATTGTCAGTTTATGCATGGGTTTTGCCCAGCTTTGTTTTGCTTTTTCTCTCTCTGTGTTTTTTTATCTTTTTTTGTCTGTTTTCTTAGTCTTTATTCTTAGATAATTTATCAGTTATTGAGGGGGGCGTACACTTGCCCCATGGGAAAGAGTACACTTTCCCCTAACATGTTTTCACACAGGTTCTCATGCTCTTTCCATTTATGATAACCCAACCTAACATAACCGCCACAGCACGCTGTACAGTATAAGGGTGGCCTAATACCTAGAAGTACCTAGAAACTTTGTGGCATGGCGGTTTAGATTATTTAGGGCTAGTTTGAATACTTATTGATCAGTATGGAAAGAGTGGTTCAATAATGGAATCAAAGTTAAGCTTATCAAAGTGTTTTCAATTATTTTTGTTCATAGACTCTAAGCCCTATGTCTAACTTACTTTGCTGTCAATAAATGGTAGCCTAAGCTAGACCTACGTTAAGTTACTGTACTTACTTAGGCTTACTTGTAACTTCCAGTAAGTTAAATTGTTTGATAGGAATATTATATTTAGGCTAGAGGGTCGCCGGAATTCTACCCCTGGATATTTACCCCCATGAAAAAACGCCTAGGGTACGTCATTTTGACGTCACGAGGGGCGGGGCCTATACACGGTCGAGAAACAGCCCGCGACTGGAAATCTACCCCCCCCCGGACATCTACCCCCGTGGTCAGCTACGCTAGGCATCGGCCAAGATGCATTGTTGTAATTGATATCATTAATTTGTTTAATGTAAATCAACGGCTCTTCGGTTATTCATTAGCTTAGGCCCTATTATGCAAATTAAATTTTTTTTTTTAAACGAAAACTCAAAAAAAACTTTATTCTTCTTGGGCAATAATATAGGTACCCCAAGTCGTTGCCAACACAACAGGTGTGTCACCAAATCGATGATATCATCAAGTAAATAATAAGAAAGCATATTCATAATAGCATAGGCTATCTAGGAAAAAATATTGATTTCAGAATAGGGTACCTAGTTTTTTAAAACTGCAGGATCTTGTAGTTGTTTTAATCCCTGATAAATGTTAATTGTTATAACCTTATTTAGCTACGTAAATTAAATATGTAAAATACTGTAGGCCTACCTATTCGATCAGTGATCGTTTCCAGATTGCAACTTAAATGTTAACTAGTGACATCGATCTCTGTAGTAATAGAGATCGATGACTATAGTTCGGCCGCTTAGAAAACGACGAAGTAGGTCGGGTGAAAATAGACTGTTACAGCTTATTGAATTAGGAAGATAGATAGATAATCTTAAACATGACAACGACATATCGCAAGCTTTATACTGGATATTAGAAGCTAAAGAATAACCGAAGAGCCGTTTATTTACATAAAGCAATTAATAAAATCAATTACAACAATGCATCTTGGCCGATACGTAGCGTAGCTAACCACGGGGGTAGATTTCCGGGGGAAGATGTCCGGGGGTAGATTTCCAGTCGCGGGCTGTTTCTCGATCGTGTATAGGCCCCGCCCCTCGTGACGTCAAAATGATGTAGGCGTTTTTTCATGGGGGTTAATATCTGGGGGTAGAAATCCGCTGCTCCAGGCTAGGGACAATTGCAGCTGTTAACTTACACTTTTGTAAGAATTATACACAATAATTAGGCCTAGCCTAGATATTCACATTTATAAAATACCCATATGGGCACAATCAAGCTTTCTAGGTAGGCCTAAACCTAGGCTTTAACCATGTTATCTTTAGTTTCAACTACTGTAGGCTTAACTTACCATTAGGAGTTATACCGTCAAGACCTTCTAAAGCGATTTCATCCAAAATTCCCTTGACAAAATTAGGGATGTAACCTGGAGTTTCTTTGAACGCAAACATTTTTAAAAGAATTACCTATTTTGCAGAATTAAGCTTAAGCTAAGGAGGATTGTGTATACTCAATGGTATAACTTATATGTTTAGCACTTCAAGAAAAGGTTTGTGATGATTTTTCAAGAAATTTATATTTTTCAACAACCATTTTTAAGATTTAACTTAAAAGATTCTTGAAAATAACTTTGCCATTACTTGAAAGTGTTTAAACAGAGATTAGAGATATGACACTGACATTAGTGGCTTCAAAATAATAACAAGAGTGAATTACATGACATAACCTAAATGTATGAAACGACAGTCTGTTTGTTTATAAAATAAAAAATCATAGAAGAGAAGAGAAGACAGACGAGCCTGACAGCCTGGTCCACATCCGTTTCAATCGCGGATTACTCCTCTCATAATGCGCAAGCGCGAGTAAACTGTTCCGTGGAGCTGTGACATATCAGATATCAGATCTATATGTTACAACGTTTAACTTACAATGAATTGAATCATTGACTATATATACCTGTAGGTATAGTCAATGATTGAATACAGCACACAGGAGGTTGTAAGTTGTGTTGTAACCTAATGGTTACAACACAACTTACAACCTCCTAACCAACTATAGTCAAGGCCCCACTAGAAAAAACAGGCCATGCTGCAGCACGGGCAGCGCAACTCTACGTCACAGTGGTGGATGGTTGTACCATAGACTAACCAAGTATGTTTAATCTATGGTTGTACCAAGGATTTACAGTCAACGGTTGTACTAAACTCTTACCAATCTTAAAAACAGCCAGCTTGTTTATTTACCTAAAACATATGGGAAAATGGTGATGGAAATACCATAGACTTACTATAGTCCGCGCTTTGCTTTTACCATTGACTATTGGATGCAGAAGACTTAAGTCTACTTTCTCGTTCTTGCTCATCCGTTTGTTTATTTTTACCCTAGTGCCTAGACCTATCTCAAAATATGTAAACTAATATTATGTAAGTTAAGTTATGCTAGTTAAGTATTTACAAATTAATTGATACTTAAGTTATTTTATAGTTTTGTGCTGAAACTATAAGCACTCAATCACTTCACGCTGTATGTTCGTCAGGCATGAATAAAGTAAATTCTTGTTTATGTCTCATGTTTATCAAATGTACTAGTGATTATGGTAAAGCTTTTGGAATAATAAAAAGGAATGTGAGAAGTTAGGTTCCTTTGTAACACAGAGATGAAGTTGGCCTGACCTATAAGGTGGTTTCAGTCTAGCTGTTAATTTAAGAATATACGTATGTTTAAGTTACTCCGTGTTTTGACTGCATCTATGTTACCTTCTTACGTAACGGATACAAATGGCCGAGTGTAATTGGATTTTTCCAATTGCCTTACCTGTGTCATCATCTTGTATTAATATGGGTTGGTTAGGTTAAAAGTAGACATATAGTTACAACCTGTCCTGTGTGCTACATTCAATTCCTTGTAAACGTAAACGTTGTAACAGATAAATCTGATATATGTCACAGTTCCACAGAACGGTTTATTCGCGCATGCGCATTTCAGAGGAGTAATCCGCGATTGAAACGGATGTCCTGGTCCTGGTCTCCTTTCCCAGTTTCCCCGCCCCATTTGCCAGTACAGTGTTGAGTTCACTCCACTCGCGGATCGGAGTCAACCTAGCTAGACTGATCCTATGATCACTTTACTCAACTAGTTCTTGTTCAGTTCCCATTGTTCCAGCTCAGCTCAGACTAGGTAGGACGAAGGCTGAAGAGCGACTGAAGCTGAAAGTTGTTACTGCGCATGCGCGGAATTGAGGCTATATATTGCGGCTCCACGGCCTCTTTCTTTTCAGTTTGTTTGTGTTTGTGCTGTGAACTTGGGTCTCGACGGAGTCTACCTCAGGAAGGAATGGTAAGTACTTACTTTAAAATATTAATTAATTAACATTAAGTTTAAGCTATCGTAGGAACTAATTAATCATTATCTTATCACGCTCTGAATTAATTTCAATTTTACGTCTCTAATAAATATTAAACTTTGAAAAGAGGCATTGATTTTTTTTATTCTTCTCACCAACAACCGGTATGAATATTTTTTAATGTAGGCACAGAGAAGTAATGTTCTCTGTGATGTAGGCTTACATCTACACACAGAGCACAGAGTGCATCTACGGTATAGTGGAAGTCCAAAGTTCAGTTTCAGTTATTCTTTGCTATTGCATAATGCATTTAGATCAAGTATAATTTGCCTTGTCCTCCACTTGTAAGGCTCTGACATAGTGCATTTTAAAAGTATGTTCCATATGTCCGGCGGTATATCTAGGTCACGTTTTTATCAAATTAACCAGGGCTAAATGCGTCTTATGTATTGTCTCTGGATTTAACCTATTTAACTTAATCAGAGTTAAATTGGTGTAAAACTTTATAATTGTCGGAAACAAAGAGACTCAATGTCACTGTTTTTAGTGAAGAAACAAAGTTTAGGATTAATTGAGGCGTTCAAACCTAAACATAAATTTAAATGTAGGTGAAATGAACCGTGTTTATATTTCAAGTTAGTATGAAAGACCGTACATCATTATACAATTTTGTACATTAAGTTATCTTATTCGTCAGTTAAATTTTAAACATGCGCCTTGTTCTTAGGGATGTGATAAAACGGGCTTTTTTCCCTCTGTAGGTAGGCAGATAATCTCTATAATACATACATATAAAGAATAAGTAAAACAAGATTTTGGATTTGGTCGTGTGGACACACTGAATATAAGCAGCTGATTTTATCCTTTGTTTTCTGTTTGGTTTGTTGTTGTTAGTTAGTGTAAGTGTGTGTGTTGTGGTGAAATTGAGGTTGTGTTTGTATTGTGTAATAATTGATAATTTATTATTGTTTCTAGTTGCATTTGATAGAATACTTTTTTAAGTTAACAAGACCTAACTTATTTAATTGTCACAGAAATCATGGAAGATTTAACAACATAACATCAAAAATTAATTAGTAGTCAAAAGGAGACGATTGGCTATAGCTTAACCATAGAACACAACAAATAGGCCTATTTTTCAACTTTATCGTTACAAAAGGTCAGTTTTAGGCCTAAGTTATTCCTATTTGCAAATGTTGACTAAAATGTATTCATTCAGTGAAAACTTGATTCAACTTAAATTGTTGGCAAGCCTAACATAAAAATTACGTTTTTAGCCTAGGCTAGTGGTCACTAATCTTGGATTTTTTTAAAATAGCATTTTCCAGTGTCTTGCCCAGTGTTTTAATTATAACTTAGGATTATAACTTAATTATTAAAGTCTGGAGATAACATTAACTAACAACTTGGTTCATTGTAACCTAAACTTTACCTTCCTAATCTAACCTAACTTCTAAACACTAACACTTATCTTAATACAGCCTCGAATCAACATACAGAACTAAGTAACCTCCCATCCTAACATGCCTAAATAAGGACTAGGCCTAGGTGTAAGTGGTCAGTCAGCCCATTTCCCTGTAATAAGACAAAATGTTCTCTAAAGGAAACTTAAGTTTATTGACTAATGAATCACTTTAGAAGTGTTTTTATAGCCTAGTCAATTATTTTAATCAAAAATAAGTTAGGGCTGTTCTTAAATCTTCGCATCATTTCTCAGCTTGCTTCACTTCACCTTCACTTATTTTAGCTAAAAAAGCTTGACGCCATTGTTGATTGACAGATGCCCTACATAACTTAAATTAGGCTATAATATTTGATCAGCTAGAAATATTCATTTGCGTTAAAAATTAGGGTAGGTACTAGGATTCAGGAGGTAGATAAGCAGGAGTTAAAAATTTGCATGAATCCAATGCTCCATCTAAATACCTAAATAGATGGCTGCATGAAATGTATCCATCTAAATACCTTGTAGGCTGCTAGTCTTTTGTCTCTTCCACTGAGCTATAATTCCAGCTGGAGGTAGCACTGAATGTCAAAGAAGCGTGTCCCCAGCCGCCGTGTTTGCCCGAGGCGTGTATCATTAGAAGCCATGTTATTGCTATGACAAGAAAACTCACTGCTATACCAACCTAGTTATAAGAAGCTATGTTATTGCTATGATAAGAAAACCCACTGCTATGGCCTACCAACCTAGCAAAATCAGCGACACGCTTTTGACAGACTTCTGCCACTTGGCAGTGCTACCTCCAGTTATAATTTTAGCTCAGTGGTCTCTTCAGATGAATAAGAGTAAGAATAAGAATGTTTATTGCCATTGACCAAGTTGTACATGGTATACGCATTGTCAAAATACATTAAATAAAATATTATTATATTACTAAACATGTTCATATCGATACCGTAACAAAGATTGAGAATAACGATTGAGAATTCTTAATTTACAGTATGAAAGATCAAGAATTCTTTAAGAAGGATGGATGCTTAACTTACACGGTTTGACCAGAAAAATAACGTTACACAATTGAACACATTCCTAACCACATTTCTCACGCTTAACTATATTGCATATTGCTGAGAATACTTTGTTCTATCTCATCTTCATTTATTATTCATATAATATGAAGACTTAATGCACACATTTCACGGCCCAGTCACTTAACTTATCTGGTATGAGGATTGATGAGGATGGGCAAGATTAACGTAGTCAGGGCACTGAGCCGTTGTTTCATCTTCATTCCCCCTATCCTATCTGGGAGAGCTGTACTTTTAGCACGAGTCTTTTAGTAATATGTAAGTAGGCCTGATAAGTTATTTGTTGTAAAATATAAACAAGATATGTAAATGCATAACTTTATAAGGTATGTAAATCCATAACTTTACTATATAATATTAATTTTATAATGTCCGAAGAATAGTATAGGTAGGCTATACATTGGGAACTGAATATTGTGAGGTAGGCTTAAATATGTTGAGCTAAAAATGGCAGGTAATTTAATAATTGGGACAGCCTTAACTTTTCCGGTTGGTTGTATCCATAGGGTATCCACTAGAGTGCACTTTGTATAGTCTATCCGTCAAACATCGCAAATGTAAACAGTTCCATCTGTGAAACATGGCAAATGTAAACATGACATCCATTACCTAAAAAAGTAAAAAAATCACATTTTCCTTTAAGAGTGACGGGGAAAAATAATACAGTTTTATGATCTAGACGTAATTCTACATAACCTAACAGCAATAAGGTAAAATCTTCTGTGTCCGTAATCTAGGAATGTACTGGGGTAAACTATAACTTAATAACAAAGGTAGGCCTACATATTTCGTAATTTTTTCAAAACCCTAAAATTTTGTTTTAATCTTCAACCAATAAAAAATGTAAAGTTATTGATTTTTTTACAGGAAAATAATACTTCATATGCTTCTCAAAATAGCCTATGTTTACAAAATTTCAAAAGGGGGCTTGAGGCACACATCCTCCTCTCTAGGTTAGACCACTGCAATAAAACATTTTGTTTTTGTTTCAGATTTATGTCGCTTTGAAAGAAAAATCAAATGCTACTGATGAATCGTCGAACAAGACCAAAAATACTGAAAGAAAACGGCATCTGAAGAGGTAATGTTTGACATGGTTTGAAAAGCTTCACAAAGCATGTTAGGAGGATGTTCAAAACTATTTTTAAGCTATTATAAAGATAGGCAACTTTCTTCCTCATTTCCCCAACACATTGTTTTTTAAGGAAATGCCTCTACAAACAATACAATTTAAAACCTGTAAAATCTTTTTCAGTCTCCCCCTCCTGCGGGAAGTAGCCTAATTTGTGAATCCAGTAAATTTGTAAAATTATTTGATTAAAATGGTAATGAATTTTTAACACGTTGGGTGCTGATGACGGGAATTCCCGCCATTGCTTAACATTGAAATAAATGCAATTTTCATGTTCAAACATGTCAACGGCACTTTAAGTGTTAATGGAGATTTCACTCTATAATGCCCTGTCATTTTTATTGACTCAACCCCCTCATTTCTTAAAAAAATATTTTAGTTTTATGGCTTTCTCTTAGTTATGAATTTTATAACATATGTTCAATTTCGTCCAGGGGAAAAACTACTCCAATTGGCCTTGGATAGCTCTCTCAAATGAGAAAGTCCAGGGTTATTAGGCCTAAGAGACAACTATAGTTTTAAGTTATATTTGAATATTTGGGTTCAGATGTCGTCAGTCAAGAAATAGCATTAGGATGCAATAATGACACATTCATCCTAGCCCATTAGTCCATTTTAAATTACAAGCATAGGAATAAATTTAGAGGGATTAATTCTTACTTTTATTGTCAAATACTGATTCAAAATGGTTACTAAAATGATGGACCTTCGTAGAGGAATTGTTATTTCCCAACATATGTTTGGAAGGATAAAACCAAAATATCTTTTTCCTACATTCTTTTGTTAAAGTGGCCTTTCTTGCACTGATTATAGCACAGAAAGTTAGAAATTGCTGCATCTACTTACTTTTGCCACAGTTTTAGCGAATTTCCCATATAGGGAATAAGCTCTTACCGTAGGTCTCATGGTAAGACCTAGACCCGGGACCGATTTACTTTTTCACTTTGAGGTCCCCAATTAATTATTTTCAAAGTCCAGAAGCTATTTGGATATTGTTTAGACCCCTCAAACAAATATCATTAGGCCTACCTCATTTCAAGATTATTTATCATTTATAGAGAAAAATTAAGTATAATTAATCCAACATCTTGTTTGTGAATATTACAGTTACCATTAAATCGTAGAACAGTTTATTTTATTACTCTGCATGATTTCTGCTACAGAAATTATTTGTTTCTGTCAGTAACAGTTTAAAACTAAAGGACTATACGGTACCTGAGGAACCACCTTACAATTATCTGGAATAATTTTAGAATGTAGATATTTAGTTAAAAATTTTTAGTCTGGTGGTTCATTTATTGTATAATTGTGTCTGCAATTATTTGTGTACTTATTCTAATAACTGTTTACTAATACAATAACACTTTCAGGATGGCGAATGAACCAGAGGAGGATCAATCCAGAAAACGGAAAAAGTGGTTGGAAGATTTGTCAGTTCTTTCATCTGACGATGAAGATAATTTATCTACAATATCAACTAACGGAGGATTGAATCCTAACACTTTTGATAAAGATAAAGTCTACCTGCGATTCCCATATTATTTGGGCAGTGACAGTAGTGAAGATGAGATAGAAATTAAATGTTTCCCAAAAGTTCCTAAAGTAAAAAGGGAAGAAAAATCTATTCTTTCTTCTTCAGATGAATCTAGAGATGATACAAATAGTAAAAATCATAGTTACAAACATACCAAGAGGAAACAAAAGTCGGATATAAATTCTGTAAAAAATACCAGAAGTCAAGATTCTGCAACTAAGAAGAAACCCCATAAAGAATCTAGAGTTGCGAAAGATGAGGTGATGAACAGGAAGCAACTAAAAAAAGCTTTAAACTCTTTAATTAATTGCTCAGGAATCGTTGACAAGGTTAGACCCAGTGAAGATAAAGGAGATTGTCTTTTAGAAGAACAGCTGTTTGAGAATGATCAACTTAATCCGTCAAACAGTAGATTCCTGGATTCCAGTTCAGAGAACTCAGATAAAGATGTATTTGTAATCAAAACTAAACCAACCAGGTACAGAAGGGTACATATTTTGTCCACCAGCTCAAGCAGTGAAGAAGATTCAACAAAATCTAGTCTGCCACTGAGTAACTTAGAAAAACCAAAAGACACTCAATCAAAGGACACTAAAAGGAGAAAAAATCACAGAAGTGTTCATTTAATGTCCTCCAGTGATGATGAAGAGTCTGAAAATGCTTGCTTGCTTGAGAACTCTAAACAATCAGAGGAACTTGCAGGAAGCACACAAGAAAATATCTCCCCTGAACCTGATAAATGTGCATCTCAAACCAATTTTAGGTTTCTAGATCCAATAAAACCATTGAGTAATGCGAATGCCTGGACTAGCATAGCTGACATCAAATCTCAGAATAACAAACAATCAAAGGTTCAGGAGTTGAAAAGAAAGTTTGTGCCGTCCAATGCTTCTTCAGTCGCAATATACAAGCAAATACAACAGAGGCAATCAACTAAGAGTAAAGCAAATCCACCAAGGCGTAATTTGAAACACCAGCCAAACAAAACCCATTTTGGAGTAGGTAATGAAAACAAGACCACTTGTGATGTTGAAGTTAATGATGGACTTTCCACAAGTACATCTCAAATACACAATAAATTTGAAAGCATATCATGTGATGCAAAAGAAACAATTAGTTCTGAATCATCAGTTAATCAAGAAACAAGAAAAGATAGCCTTATGGATAATCGTGAAAATAGTGCTGAAATACCTAATATAACAACTTCAACTTCGGTTAGTAGCACAAATCCTTCTGTGTTTGGGAAAAAAATACGCCAAGCACACCACAGAGAGATAAACAAACTTGATGATAATAATAGATTGTATCAAAATAGTAGGCCTAAACCACCACATTCTAAATCAAATAAGAAGAAACTGTCTACAGACAACAAGTCACTAGAAGAGCAACAATCTTCATCAAGTTCTTCCACAACCTGTGATGTTCTTGGAAATATTATGTCTCAGATGGATAGCAACCCTTTTAAAGTCCAATCAGTGCCAGTTAAAAAGACGGGACCTTCACAGGATAAGCTTGGATGGTTTCCCCCAGGTATTTACCCACCGGCTTTGTGTGGACAACCTCAAAATGCAGTAGGAGTCCCACAAATCAGGATGTATGGTACAATAAAGTCAACTACTGGATCCATTATGCCTGAAGCGAGCAATCCAAATAGCACACTTAGGAATATTCCTAACCCAAGCTACAACCCTTTGTGTTTTGCTACGGGAATCAACATTGCCAATCAACCAGTCGTTCGGACTGAAACTAGTCGTTTGGAAAGGAGTAATCAGAATCTTCCTCAAGCCAACAAACTTACGACTGAAGCGAGCAATCCAAATAGAACACTTAGGTATATTCCTAACCCAAGCTACAACCCTTTGTGTTTTGCTACGGGAATCAACGTTACCAATCAACCAGCCGTTCGGACTGAAACTAGTCGTTTGGAAAGAAGTAATCAGAACCTATCTCAAGTCCCTAAGCCCCAAGGGGAAAAAATCAATGAAAACTCTTGTGGTTTCTCATCTGTATCATGTGGTGGACAAAAGTTAGTTTCGTTTTACTCAGCTCCTCAAGAAGATTATATGGGTAAACTTATAATATCACAGGATGAAGTTGTAAACAATCTTAAAAATAGTTCTACACCATCTGAAAAATCTGAAGCCAATGGACACCTTAAAAGTACCCACACTACATTACTTCAAAATAACAAATCTGACAACCTGACATTAAAACATAATAAAAATTCCATAACTCAAGACTCAGGCCTTACTGCTGAGAGACAAACCAATGTTTCCTGTAAAATCCCTCAGATTGTTAATGAAAATCACACCCTCCAAAATATAAACCAAAAAGACAACTGGTCCATAAGACCACAGACTCCATTTACTTCAAGGGGAAATGGTGAAGTTTGTAAAACTTCCCAAGAAAATAACAATCCTAAAGGAATCAGAATAAGACTTTGTGGTGAAGAGTTTCGATTATCTGCAAAACAACCATCTAATGCAAATACAATTTGCAATGTTTCTAAAAAAGACGCACCTGGGACAAATAATTGTGATAGACAGGGTGATAATGTTGAAAATAATTCAAAATCCCCAAAGAAAACTTCCCCTGTTTCTCCCACTACAAGTTCGTCTTCTTCAAGTTCATCCGATGATAGTTCTTCTGATAGCAGTGATGAAAGTACAAAATCTAGTTCTACGGCAGATTCAGACTCTTCAGTTCGTACAGTAAAGAATTTAAGTTTAGCTCATGTTGACTCTATCAATGAACCTAAACGTTTATTAACTACAGGAGTTTTGTGTACTAAAGTTACCTCAAAGGAACAATCCTATGAAAAGGAAAACCAATTGGTACATCCAGAAGTGCCATCATCGTTAACAAATATGCCTACCCTAGAGAAAAATATGGACAGCAAAACATTTTTGAAAACACCAGAAAATGTTGTCTACACTGATGTAATCGTGCTATCAGATTCTAGTGATTCTGAAAGTGGACAGCTACATGACAAGGAAACCAACACTCGAGATTTAGATGCTGATAATCACATAGAAATCCCTTGCAGTGATACAGGTACAACACCTTCTAAGTCTGGTCCACCAGCATCAAACAGTGTAGGAAAAATTAGGGTGAGGAATTTATTAGAATTAGGCGTTATTCCCAACCCAGAAATTGAAAATGCACTAAAACCCACGTCAATGGATCCAGTTATTGTGGCTCAAAACAAAGAGTCCGAGATATTGCAGACAGAAACTTCATATTCAAATAATACAAATCAACAGGCAATACATCCAGGAAGAGAGGATTATGTTTGTAGCCTACCGACTAAACCTGCTGGGTTAAATTCTAACAGTAATTTAAATGCATCTCCTGATCCAATGCCTACTATTGTTGAAGTCTTATCCCTAGCTCAAAACAATGGTACTGCAAATCCCAGTTTTGGTGAAAATATTCATACAAATAATTCTCAAATGACCTCAAAAGATTTGAACTCCAGCAACGACAAACCTGTTAACAATACTCCTAATTCAAACAGAGTTACCACAGAAAATCTTTCTCAAGTTCAAAGCAAACCTGATAAGCAAAAGGGAAAAGCGAAAAAACTGCTAGGTTGCCAGTTGCTGGCAAAAGCAAGTTTTCGCATTAAAAATTCAAATTCCAGTTGCAAGAGGTCTGCTAAAAACAAAAACACACCTACTTCAAATAGGCCTACCATAGAAAATAGTCCTCAATCAGAAAGCAAAAAATCAGAAAATAAAAAGGACAAGAAATTTTCAGGGGATATAAATCAACAAGCCCAGCCCAGACAAGCCAACCCTCTTAGACCATTTGGGCCAAATCAAAAAACCCCACAAACACCTCATTCAGTCAATAAAAATTATTCAAACAAATCAAAACCCACAGTAGGCCTATTGGTGCCAGTTATACCAATAGCACTAATAAAGCCTGTAAATGCAGTAATGCCCACAGTATCAGGTATGAACCTAGAGAATAGCAAAAGAGCTGTTTGCAACACGGAAAGTAGGAATTTTATTCGTATTCAAGTTCCTAGGTCACATAACCTACCTTCTGAAGTGGGTACATCAAGAGTTGAAAGCAGTGAAGCATCAAGTCAAACCCCTGCAACTGTAGTTACAATGCCAGATTCGTCTGAAAATGTACAAAAACTATTTTTTACTCTATGTGATAAGCTGTTCACTGACGTTGTTAATTTTAAAATCCCTAAAATCGCATACGATTTATACTTATTAATTAGTTATGACGTCATGAAAGAAGAACGCTTTAAGAAAATCAATCAGTTACTATCTTCAGAAACTGTTGTCAGTGAAAAACATCGAGCTGAAAAAGAATTTGCCGATATGATCAAAATCCGGGCTCAGAGTTTTGTCCCTTTATTCATGACAATTGTAAATAGGATTGATAGTGATAACCTCAAGGCATTGCTTACTGCGGTGTATTGTAGAATAGTTCAAAAACTCGAAACTATCGATCCTATAACCAGTGCCTACCGGTTCAAAATAAGGAGCATAATCAAAACTATGCTGGAAAAACACGGCTGTAAACAGCCAGAGATCTTAGCATATTTTGACACGGAAAATGATACAAATTTTCTTACAAACTTCTGCTTCATAGAAAATTTATTGAAGAAATATGACACAGAGCCAAGGGAAGTTGGTACCACTCTAAGGATACAACCAAATACTGAAATGACAGCAAGTTCAACTTCAACAGAAAGAGATAACCATGCTGATTCATCTGTATTAAACCAAACAGAAAAAAATCCCGCTCAGTCCACCCCCGATTGTTCAGTCCCTCAAAATCCCGTTCAGTCCACCCCCGATTGTTCAGTCCCTCAAAATCCAGTTCAGTCCACCCCCGTTTGCTCAGTTTCCCAAATTCCAGTTCAGTCCACTCCCGTTGATTCAGTTCCCCAAAATCCAGTTCAGTCTACCCCCGTTTGCTCAGTTCCCCAAATTCCAGTTCAGTCCACCCCCGTTTGTTCAGTTCCTCCCAGTGGGAGTGGAATGGGATCCTTTCAGACCAACAAACCTACACAACTTCCACCAAGTATTGGAAATTTGGACGATGAATTTTTGAAAAATCTGACGAGGAAACACTAATTACTGTACCAAAATCATCTATGAAGTTGAAGTTTTTCAACTAAGGTTAGTAAACTTTTCATATATTTTTATTTTACTCATAAATTTTTCTTGTTTTTAAAATAATCCACGAACCTGTTGCTTATCAAAAGATCATTTTCACTAATCCAGCAGTCCAGAAAACAGGATCTTTTAATTATTTATTATATTAAAACTAACATATTATTTAAAGCTAGGAAAAGGACTGTAAATTGTGGAGGTTGGCTAAAAACTCTGTTATAAATGCTTAACAAAAATATATATCTAGATGAATAACAATGAAACAATAGTATATTTCATTTCATAACAAGAGTAGAAAGCAAATCATTACATATTTGAGACCATGTTTGAAGTGTGAGATTTATCGAGTTACTTTTTGCTACTACACTACAAAAACTAATTATTTTCTTAAATAAAACCAACATTGTAAGTTAGGAACATTACAAACCCATAGCACTTATTAGGTTATGCCTTCAATTTAAAGTAAGTACTTATTTTGGTTGTTGAAAATTAAAACACTTGACAAAACAATAACAAATCTTTGTCTACTTCCGCAAAAAAAAAAATAATAATAAACATTAATTTCCCATGGTAAACATTCTTTTTAGAATACTGTAATAATTTTTATTGATGTAGGTACAATTTTATCTTGTGGACTTGTATGAAAATGGGAATGAGTAGTTTTAAATAGGCCTAAAGAAAGAAAATATAATTGATTAATAGTTGTTAAACTTTATTATTAACTTTGTTTACAGAAAATGTTTTAAGATATAAAAACAATCATTCACATGATTTAATTAGTTATAAACCATATGTGATTGTAAATAGACAGTGAGCAAGTTAGTTTCTTTCAATAAGTAGAATAGCCAGGAGTGGCTCCAGGATGGAGTTTGGGCTCGGAGGGGGCCTTTTCCTAGAATTTTGAGTTAGCCTTTTCCCCCTTCCTTCCACTTAAGTTTCAGTAACATTTAATGACTGAAGGTGTACATTTCAGGCTTTGAATTTTTTATTGTAAAATAAAGTTAGTGATATATTAATAATTTGCAATGTGGTAACACATTTATGTGAAACACCTAAGCTCCAGGCAAGAATACCTCTCGGGGGGAATAAGGCTATCTATTATAAATAATGGGACGGTTAAATCTTGATTGCATAGCACCAACTAGATTTACCGGTATTAAGTTTTTAAATTATTTTTTGCCAAACTACATGGCAAGAACTACTATCTGTACTCTTTGTAGACTCAAAAGTCATTGTTTATAGAAAGGGCTCAGTAAAATCATCTGGATTTTTAAAAATTATGTAGTAAATCTATAAATCACTGAACAGTTGCATGTTTTTAAGCCCTAATATGAGTTAATGCAGTAGGCTTTAACTAAGCAAAGCTACACAATAGGTTGGACAGGTGCATTGCATTATTACAACAAATATTGGGGATCCTTTAAATTTTACCTAAAAAAGTTTAAAATTTTGTGTTTGAAAGTTTGTATTAAACAGAGTTGTGATTGCTCCTGTGAGTTAAGTGACCTGGTCATGTTGCAACGTTATCACCTGGAAAGATGTTAAAGGTATTTGAATTAAATTCCGTGATCGGCAAGTCTCAGGTAGGAACATCATACACACTTGTATACTATAAAAACTTACTTTCCGTCCTTGCAGATTAATATACTATTGATATGTATGTTGCAGTTTTGTGGCTGTCTTTCTCCAAGCTTCATCACGACTGTTCAACGATGGAGCTAAGGAAACAGTTGGACCCGTACCTGATTTCTATGTTACGTATAATACTCGTTACGTAGGCTACTAAGCTTAAGTTTATGTCAATATTGTAAGCAAATAGAATATTGTATTATTTTGTAAATGAACTGTGAACATACTTTGTACATACCACTAATTAAATAGTATTTTTTTGTTTTTAACGACAAATATTTGTTGAATTAAGTTTTAGATTTGTATCGTTATTCTAGTAAGCCAATCTAATGAATGTAATTGTTCTGTTAAAGTTTTAGCCTTAGCATTATGAAGATAGTTTCGTTGGAAAATGCATATTCTTTTTTTTAAATTGATGTTTGAAAGCAGTTTATTTTAATTTTGAATGCCTTTGATAGAGTACCACTTGATTGTTAGCACATTGTAGCGTAAGCCTTTGTAAAAAGATCTGTCCAGGAAATCTAGTGAATAGAATTTGTTCTTTGGCATGTTCCTTATTTACTGTACACAAGATCAGCTGATCCTAAAAGTCGATTGTTTTTTTGCTTTAGTTTCAAACCATCCTTATTGGTCGCTAAATAAAACGAACACACAATCTTTAGTAGCATACAAAATTCAAGCTGGTTTAAGTAATCAATGTGTTCAAGTATTAAGTGTGCGAGCTCCCAAATGTAAAATTGCTGCAGTTGTATAAATAAACAGTATTATAATGTGGTTTTAACTGTTAATTATAAACAAATTAGTTATATCCCCTTTAAAAATTGTTACGTTGATCTGAGCATCAGACTAGTTTAAGTTGAATTTTCCTGATTGACAGAATTTTAGTATGTAACTTTGATCATATTACAAAATTGTTTTTTGTTAGTAAGTTTATTTTTTTTTTTTTAATAGTTTTACTGTTTTATATCAAGAGCTTGATTAAAGTTTAATGTTTTTGATGAGTGGATTTTAATATTGAAGTGTTCTTAAATGTACAGGTCCACTAAAGGATATTTGTTAATTTATTTAATAAAAAAGATTTTACCGTAATTGTGATTAATTTTTCATCCCTAACCATTCAGTGTACATATAATGTGTAAGAATAACATTTTCTATCATAAAAATCAACGCATGTGTGTCGTGTATATTATGCTGGTTATGAGCAATGTGAGTTGAAGGAGAATTAACATCTATTTAGCTTTACTTCAAAAGCAGCTAATTCAATAATAGAAATAATTTGCAAACAACATTAGCATGCATAGTGGGCAATAAAAAGAAAACTTACGAGAGCAAGGGAAAATCAGTTTGTTTAAAAAAAGAGATTGGGAAACACACTTTCTTTTCATGTTGCAGTTGTTTTTTAGGCCACTTTATATGTTACCTTTACAAGACCTTTTAAAAAGGACCTTTTTTTCGACAGGTTAAAGTAACCTTTTTATTTTGATTTACACTTTCTTTGATCACCTGTTATCGAAAATAGCGTCTTCCAGTACGTATTGATGAAATATTAAATTATATGTTACTAGTCTGGAAAATTGGTGTTTACCAGACGAGTAAGGTAAACACATTTTTGACGATTGATGTTAGTAGGCCTACGATATTTTTTGTCATACATGTTCTAAACTAACCTAACAAAAAAAAAAACTGCACAGATCTGTTATATATTTTACGCCACACTACATTATTTTGACGAACTTCCCACGCAAGGATTTAGTCCAGAAAACAGCTGTTTGCCGCCAGCTTATTCAAATGGGGTTTCATTGCGTACTACTGTTCTGCAATGAGTTTTGCCGGACACCAATCAGCTGATTATACTTGTATTTGCGTGGCAATGAGTGGTTATAAACAAAAACATAACCTCTCTTGAGGTTCTGACTAGTGATTTTTAGTCCTTTAGTTGGTAGAAATATATAATGATTTGTACGGCAGCGTGGTTCTATTATGCACGTAACTTAATCCGTGTACGCGCGGAAATAGGCGCGGAAACCACTTCAAATTACAAAAACATACGGAAGTATATTCTCAAAATGCGGAGCACATTTCTTGCCGAGGAAAAATAGCGGAGTGATACGGACCGCGGGTACTACTTTCTCTAGGACACCATTTGTGTTGCCAGCTGAACCTAAAAACGTGTTTTAAAGTGTTTGAAAGACTAATTATTTATATGCTTTATAGTGACTGTAGAAAAAATATAATGTGTAACACAAGTGCAAAAGGCCTTTGCTGCACTCGAGATCATTCCGCACTCACCTGCTCTTGTGTGCAGCAAAAGTGCCACTTTGCCCACTAGTTACACAAATAACTATTTAAACTGTAGCTTGTACAAAAAGATCTTGACTTAGTTGTTGAGCTAACAGAAATAGTACTGGATGATGTTTCAAATCCAACAATAAATCTTCAAGCATTTTTAGTTGTAGTGGTTTTTTTGTCAATTCAATGATGTCATCTGCAAGACCAAGAGTAGAAAAAGGCTCTAAGAAACATTTGCGCTTACCGACAGTTTATTCAAAGAGAAGAACTATTTTGAAAGACATATACATATAGGAAATATACAGTTAGAATACTTATATATATATATAAATAACAGGAAAAACATGGGCTGCGCCTTTGTAAGAACTTTGCAAAAATCCACAAGAATATTTTTTTTACAGAGCAGAATTCTGGTAGCCCACCTATCTGGAAGAATAACTTTCATCTAACACTAAATAGCTCCAGTATTTTATTTTACAAAAATTAAACACACAAAGTTGGTAAACTTTAAAATTTTATCAACTGATGAGGAAACAATCTACATCTCAGATGCTTGATTACGTAATATTTACACATTAAGTTAATGGTTTTGATGCTTGAATACTCACCACTTAACTAACAGAGAATCACAATCTGCAGTGTTTCATTTCTTTACTGAACTACTGTTACATCTAATAATACTTCTTGTTTATTTCTTATATACTACTTGACAATTAGCAATCGACAATACAATTACAACAATGTACATATTAACAATAAATAGAATCCTACATACACAAACAAAATTGAAATATAAATGTACAAAATTTCTGTATAAATTCAATATCTTAGCTGTTTAGAGACATTTATTCATGGCAGAGTTTTGAATAAAATACATCAGTCCTTAAAGTTACATGATGCCCTTCTTGGTGTTTGCTTTGTTTAATTTTTACATATAATTATTTTTAATTATTTTTTTTTGTATTGGTTGATACAAGATTGCCATTAGAAAGTGAAGTAATTTTGAATTTTTTTAACAAGTTACTTTTATGATGTACGGTAATGATAAACTTTCAAGGCAGGATTGACAATATATCTTACTATCTGTAATTTTTTAATAGAAACCAACATCAGTTTCCATTTAGAAAATTTGATTATTGATGGGGTCTGGGGGTTTTATTTGTTTTTACATATTTTTCCATTAATTTTCATGTTATAAACAAACTAAAACAAGATTCTCAGGATTTTGTGGGGTTTAGCAGGCTTGCCTGGATGGGAAAAAATCTAAACTGACAAAAAAAACCAAAAAAAATCCTACCCCCAGAGTTATGTGGGAAAACTGCGTATTCAGACATAAAAAACAAAGAGAAACTACGTTTGTTCAGTCTCCTCTTGGTAATTTAATTATTCGTGGGTTTAAAAAAGGCTAAGTTCAAATAGAATCACTTTGAAATTTTCAATGTTTTACCATGCATTGATATACTTGCTATTTCAAAGTTTAATCAGAGGGCAGGTCTTTAGAAACATTTAGTATTTCAAGTTAATTAATATACATGAAATATGTGGTGAGTTTATACATTCGCCCTGTTAGGCACAGAACTTGATTCTTTGGTACTTCATTTTCCTCATGAAGGGATGGAAGAACTGAAGGTCAGATTATCAAGACTGTATATAAATACCACCTCATAAATATATCAGAGAACAACTAATAATATCTGTTGTGCAGAAAGATATTTTTGTTCCGATCAAGAATCTTAACAACAAATCTGTACATAAATAAATACAGTACTTAAAACTGCCATAAATCAACTATCAACAATCAGGAAAGTTTTAAAATGAAATAGTCTCATTTCGTATGGCGTACCAGCAAAGTCATACAAATGGTGCCAATTCTACACATGATGATGAGTTTGGCGTGTGAACTGATACGAGCTCAACACTGAAGTGGCATCGTGGTAATGAAGCTTCCGTTGTGTTGGTAACCCAAATTACAGCTTGTTGTGGCAAGACTGGCAGCAAGAAGTTCTGTAGTACTTGTACTTACATAACCTCGCTTGTACTACTAGGTGACAGTTGTGGTATTGATCTTTACATTCTGGATCGTCTAAAACATAGCATTTTAATTAGATACCTTTTTTGTTGTTGCCTGTGTTTTGTAGTGTGTATGATGTTGGTTTCATGCAATCCAGCAGCTAGAGTGGCATCTTCAGGGGTCTTCTTAATTTATCTTCTTATCACTAGTTTATAGTCTATATTTACAAATTCTTGGTCACCAGCATTGTTACATGGTTGATTGGACCACAAGACAACGTGTCTGCAGTGTCACGACGGGAGGACTTTCTTCTTCCATGAACAAGGACCATTTGTCAGTTGAGCTTGGTATGGTAGAGCGGGTGCTTCGATTTCTATAGTGTTGTCGGTTTATCGCTGTGTTTCTAGTTTGGTTAGTTTCAATGTTGTATATTAATGTGAAAATGGTAGAGCTGGTCTATTCTCCTATTTTTTTTTCAAGATGTTTAAGGGCTTTTAAACATCTATATTTACATGTGTGTATATTTTATAGCTTTCTTGTACATTTGGGTAATGGATTTGAGTGGGTGGATCAGAATCCTGAGAGAATTGGGAAAAGTTATTGTGTGGGTTGGATTTTGTTTTAGGTGTTTGACTACCAGTACCAATATTGATCTGGGGGGTTTTATGATGACTTGTGTTATATTCTTTAAATCGTTGAAAACAATGTTCTGTTGGTGTAGCCAATGTATTGGTTGTTTTACAGGATATTTTTCTTTTTCTTAATCAAGTATAGCTAAGTGTTTTACATTATGTCAAGGATTCTAGGGAGAAAGGAAATTTATTTATTAGCTTATTATGCCTCACAAGTGCGCCTAAATCATTTTTGAAACAAAAGAATTGTTAAGTGTAACCGGTAGCAAGGTTTGTAATTTGCGCCCGTCAAATAATCAAGCAACCGGCACTACTAATTGTAACCGGTGCTACTGCAACTGTGTGACCGGCGCTTTTGTAACTGATGAGATGGAAATTAGCGCCAGTCATACAATAAATTTAATATATCTATAAATATCATATAGCTTAGAGTTGTACTAACACAAAGTCTTCTTTCTACATACAATAACAATACCATAAAAGCAAAAAAAATATATCAAGAAAAAAGTTATAAATTATTTTTGGAACTGCCCCAAATAATTTTTTTCTCTCTGAAAAACTTCATCATTCTACACAATGTGAAGACACAAAATTGTGATTTTATTCATATATATAACTCATGTACAATGAATATCCTCAAAGATTATTATTGATAAAATGAAATTATTACCTTATCCAACCACAGTTGTTCTTATGAGGACTAGTTTCGTTCCTTAGAACTTTGTCATCAGGTCATTAGTATGCAACCACATCATCAACGTATTTTGGTATGTCAATAGATTCTTTAAAGTACTGTCACAGTCACAATAATTATAACTTGCCATTTTGAAAAATAATTAAAATGCAATAAAAATTATAAACTGATTAAAACTGTACATGCACAGGCTACCAGCACTGTCTCACCACTGCCACTGACTAAATAAAACTTACTGAATCATGATGTTTCTTCTCCTTACCAGTGCCATCTGTATTTCAATTTGTTTTGTTCTTCTTATTTTATACTTTCTTTGATTTTTGTAACTTGTCAATATATATATATTAAATATAATATTTGACTGGAAAGAGGTCTGATCATTAAAATGTTACATGGGTTGAGTTTTTTAGCTTTGTAGATGGTGAATTTTTTTGACATCAAGCTTGAAACCTTTTGTTATACTTCAAGCAACTATTTTCCATGTTCTTATCAATAGATAAAGTTGTGCGTTGTGCAGTTCTGATATTAAATGTTCGGATACTGGATTGCTGATGTTGTGATCTTTTAGGTAGGTATGTTCTTTAAATATTTGTTTGAAAGATCTTACAATTTGGCCGAAGTAGTACTTTGGACAGTCGTGACAGTTAATTCTATAGATAAGAAGTTCTTAGGAACGAAACTAGTCGTCATATGAACAACTGTGGTTGGATAAGGTAATTATTTTATTTTATTTTATGAATAATATATTCTAACCAAGGGTCACAATGATATATCTTCTCAAGGATTAGCCCTCAAAGTCTTTATTTTATTTATACTAACAATATTTAGATATTCAAACCATAAAAATATCATGGTAAACAATAATATTTACAAATTACCATAATTAATTATGTTAGACAATGTCTTTGTATTACTAAGTAACGATTAGGACCGTAAAACCATTTTCCTTAATAGAGGAATTGGCTAGTAAAGCATACAATCATTTGCTAAAACAATGATATATCACAAAGTGATAAATCAACGGATTATATCATACTGACAAATATCAACATAAAAACTCGAGTAGTTTTGGTCTGATTATGGTGAAATTTTACATAACGTTGGGGTGTTATGGAGGGTTTAAAAATTAAAAAAATTAGGTTTTTTCATATTTTTACCCTTAACACATAAAAATGCCTAATTATCATAAAAACCATCATACAGAGCCAGAAAAACAAACAATTTTCTATATTGAAGCAATAGGCTACTATAGGTATCATTGAAGTTTAAGGAGAAAATTCCAAAAACTGTACATATAAAATCATGTTGTTCAAATGAAGAGAAAGAAAACTATTAAAGTTTGGTCGCTTAGAAAACGACCTGCGCGCTAATGCTAAACCAATGCTGGAGGAGGTCGCTTTCTAAGCGGCCGAACTATAGTAGTTTGCTTATGGATATATTTTGATCAACAACATTTGCTGCTTTTCTTCTCCCCCCTAGCAGCGAACCTAAGTAATTAAATATGATGTTAGGGAATTTATCTTGACATGTTTGGGAATATGTTAGTAAAATCTAATCCGGCAAATTAAAATTCACTTAGTCTGCAGGTTTACTGAGACGGCGGTTTTCTTAAACAGGAATTTAACTAATCTGGTTTAACTTTTAACACTTGCCTGAGTTTTGATGTTGAGGTTGATCTCCAGGACTGTGACCATCACTTAGAGTATTCTTCTGTAGTCCGGGGTCAATGGGGCCTGTGACACCAGACAAACAAATCAAAACAAGAATACAGCACAAGACAACAATCCTCTCTCTCCCTCCCTCTCAAAGATCCTATGGTACGTTTAAAGACAACACATTTTGAACATTTCTAAAGATGATATGTGCTGGTTCAATATTCTATATTACAAAGCTCAGAATAACATATTATAACAGACACAATGTTGAGTCTTGAATCTATATCACCATCTATATAACTTATCACTTTTACTGGAAATGGGTTATTTACTTTTTAGAATACAGGAAGTCAACTTAGATAATAAATTTTAATATATAAATTGTATCAATACCTAGGTCCACTATAGAAAAGCAATAGCTAAATACACAACTAAACTAATTTAGGGGAAGACAGTCAAGAAATGGTGATGAATGAGGAACATTTATTGTCCGATTGGTTAGTTCCAGTGCCTCAAGTACATCCAAGCCCTGGGTGAAAAGTGTGTCACCACAAGTGACGTTGTCCTAATGTAAAATGTAAAATCAATTTTAAATAGACCCAACATCATAGTGACAATTGTAACACCTAATTTATTCGACACTCATACTTCACTCCATTCATCTGCCTACCTGCGGCCGAGCATTTGTGAGTATTACAGGATCTCCGCGTTGGAGGTTTGAGATGTTGAGGACATCTTTCAGACATCTCCTGATGTTCATCTAAACATCGGACATCTCTTCTCTGCACTCCGGTGTCACACGACCTGGAGCACTGTGCAAAATATAAACATCAGAATCTTAAACTTTTTCTTGTCAGCCGGCCCAAAAAAGCAAAAAAGTTCACTTTCATAAACATAATTTTGTGCAAAACTTTTCACTTCAATGATTACAAACACAAAATTCATAACAGTTAATTTTATCTGAAATATGAATTCATTATCGTCTAAAAATACAATAACAAATAACTAGCAACCAGCATCACTTTGTGACTTCAAAATCTATGATATTTGAATTAATTTATTCATTGCTACAAAATGTAATGAGTATAGCCTAATAAAATTAAGTCTTTTTCAAGTTTTTTAATTACTATTGTAAAGTGTATTTTATATAAAATGAAAATAAAAGAAATTGTCGAAAGGGTAATTAGCAAGTTTTATCAAAATCATAACATCTACTGTAGTTATTGCAAAACCATAAGGACATTACTAGTCATTGATCAAGAAGCTATTTAGTCATTGATGTAAGAAACACATAAGTTAGTATGAATGATTGTACCGAATCTTTTTTTTTTTTTTGGGGGGGGGGTTTAGGATTTAGTTAACCTCATACAGGAAACCTTCCGTCTCATGATCCCCCACCTCTACCTCAATACACGTTCACTGTCCAGTACAGACTGCCAATAAGCTATACATTTCAAATCACAGTTTCACCAACAACTAGCCGCCCTAAAAACAACCAGGACCTGAAAACTTACATTTTACCCTTTTTTACAATACGTATAAAAATGTTTGCACCAGAGTCAAAAAGTTACTCATTAAATCAAAAAACATTCTATAAAATCGTAAAGATGGTCAAGTCTCGAAGTTTTGGGAAAATTTCTGGAAATTTTTAAGTCTCGTTAAACGAGACAAGATATTTTTGATTGAGATTTTTTTTATCGATATTTTTTCGAGACTAAAAGAAAAAAATCAAAACGCCTGCAGAAAGTCAATGCAATACCCGCAATACAGGAACGCGTTGTAGTTGCGTTCCTTTGCAAAGGCGTTCTTATTTAATTAATTCTTTACATGTAAATATTACTTTTATTAGGTATTTTATAATTTGAGAATTTGTATTAAGTGTAAGCCGTGTGAGGCATGCTTTAAGAAACAAAGCTAAGTAACTATTTCATACAAATTAATATTGCTTTAATTTTATGATTTATTTTATTTTAGGATAAGTTTAACTCGATCCTAACTGATATTACCATGTTTCCTAATTGTAAGCATTTTTAATAATTTATGCGCAATTATTATACATTTTTTATGCTGATGTTAAAAAAGGATTGTAAATATTCTTGCCTACTATTATTATTTTTGTATTTAAACAGTCATCTAACAATGTTACAAAATCAGGTAAAATGTCGAACGTGCATTTCCTGTTGTGTTTCAGAAGAGAAATATCGTCTCGATCTCGTATCAAAGTTTTATGAGAAATAAAGAATCTCATCTTGAACTTAAAATCCAATCACGTCCTTCTCTAAAAAATTTAAAATGTAAGTCAAATTTTCTTAAGCATCTGCACAAAGGGTCTCACAGTTGACACAACTTCCATGACAATAAACATCATGTTTGTTGTAAAATGATGTTTACAGTAATGTAAGTAGAACGACAACTCCTGTACCTGTAAGATGGCACTCCACGGTGAACGTAAAGTAAAGTCTTGGGAAGTTTTAACTAACTGCAAGTTCACCTGGGACCAGTCAGCTGTGTACCACTCAGCTGTGCAGGGCTGCGTCTGACAAGGCTGTTCCGAGACAGGACGTTGTTCCGCAGCGCAACTGTCCTCCGGCAAGATGGAGTAATGACCTTGTGGAGTTGTGCGGGCGATACACAGAACACTTCGGGATTGTCTGCCCCATCCACAGCCTACGGTACACTGCCGGACAAAGTACACATGATATGTTATTGTACCTATCACTAAAAATTAATATGAGATGGGGACGTATATGGTGGTAATAAAACTCAAATATGAATTGGAATATGAGTGAGGAATTAGGTTTAGCATCTTTTATAGTGAGCGTGTATACTTCTCATTTGGTAATAATACTAACTAACCCATAGACTTACTCGGATAAGCTATTTGAACTCTATAGCTTCACAAAGAAGTAAGGTACAGAGAGAGTGTCTCTCTTATGGGACAATTCCTTGCGAAACTCCTATAGCACAGGGTCTTCCTCCACTGTGAGCGTTGTAGTACATGACGGCGAGTGGGGCGGTGTTGGACTTTTTCCTAGACACCAGTACTAGTGCTAGACACCAATTGAGTGTGCCCTCTGTTTCTTACTTCTATGTGATCACATTCAAAAATAGCCAAGGTAACCTAACCTCTAAGAAACCTCCCATACACAAAGGCTAGACAACATACATATAACATCTTTGTTGTGAGTTTTCACAGCTTAAATGAGAAAAGTTAACCTCTAATATGTAGTACACAAGGTTGGGAAACTCAAATACATACCAGCCCCCACGGCCCCGCATACCACTGGCCTCCGCACAGCTTGTCACTACTACAAGCTCTGTAACTGTCTGGTTGTGTGTCGGCGGGGCAGTGGTGGGGGTCTCCTGTAGAACAGAACACCTTTCTGGTCTGTACACCTGTCCCACACCCCTCGGAACACTGGAACACATTCTTACTGATAACACAAAGATGTAGAAGTAAATCTAGAACAAGTCACTGATTAGTAAATGAAGATGTAACCTGCCAACAATTGCTGAAATTTTGATTTACATAAGATATTGATTTTGCTCATCCTGCCAACTGTTTTTTTTTCACAAACTTTTACCAAATATGACTGAGTTTAGTTCTCGTCAAACTAATTACTGCAACCTGAGTATGGTAAAGATTTGGATTATTCTTAAAACTAGTTTCTTTTTCCTTACCAGAGAATGTAATTACAGTATTACAGGTTAAATATGGAAAATAGACAGTTTACATTCTTGAAAATAGACAATCTTGAGAATGTGGGTCTCAAACTATATAGAACACATAATCTTTAACGTATGGTAGAATAACATGGGGATAATATATGCTGTCACAATCCTTTCACTAGAAGGAAAATATGGCCTGTATAACACATATTAAACAGTTTTTTGTGGATGGTTTGGATGGAACAGATTGTTATGAAGCTTGCCTTACACTAGTGTTTTTAAGATGGAATTGTTTTGATGTCTTGATATACAAGTTATTGATTATTACAATTTCTTAACTTGTCACTGGAGTACTGAAACATATCTGATACATTTTTTTAAAGCTAATCAACAACAAAAATGACCACAAGTCAGGTTACATTAGGGTCTACCTGTTGAGACCACTCTGTGTAGAACCACTGTGGCTGAGAGGTGTCAGACGAGGCAGCGGCTGCCGGGGACTGACACGGGCCAGTGTCACACACTGACTCTGCGGACGGCCGGTCTGCGGCGGGGCACGCAGGGGAGGTAGCGGGGCAAGCTACAGTCCGAGACCTCACCCCAAGCCCACACGTCACCGAGCACTGCGGGGGATAATACTCAGTTAGAAATATAGCGGATGATTGAGAAGTGGAGCCTCCCCATTTAGGTTCTTGTTATTCTTCAGACTTAGAGGCTAACAGGCTTAGAGCGAGTAATGCCCTGGTCTGCTAACAACTTTGGCGTGCTTCTTCTCCCTTCTGTAGGGTCAGGGTGTCATTCCCAAAATATTTTGGGATGAAGTAGGTAAAAATGAGTTTTGAAGATATTATGAGGTTGAAATACTGATTAAAAATTGTGTGTTTTATATGCGTTATAGTAAACTAATCAAAACAATAATGTAATCCGATTTCAGATCATTGACCACCGTGAAAACATTGTTTTACTAATCGCATCGAAAAATATTTCACTATTTTCTTAGATAACACAATTCAATTTGCTTACTGTACTAATATGAAAAGAATGATAAAAAACGTTAGTCAAAAGAAAGAACAAGAGTAACAAGACTTAACCTTTTTTATTCTAAACTCTGAATCATGTCAAACAATAACAAAACAACATCTATATATCTAATTCCGTAAGCCCAAAATTTTACAATGAAATTGTGAGCGAACGGGAGGCCGTAGAAAGCTGGGAGAGGTCTCATTTTAAAGGTCTCGGCATGAAGTTTTGGGGAAAATTATTCATTTTTCTTAATTATGCACCAAAAGGTCGTTACGTAATAAAATAATTTACATTTAAATAACATGGGAATCCAGGTCATGTCTGCTTTGGTTACTTAAAAACATGTGGTTTATTTAATTTAAAGCATATGGTAATATGTACTGTAATATGTATACTACTAGTTGCTCTGCCCGTGCTTCGCTACGGGGTGAGAATGGAGAAAAGAATAATTTGGTTTTACTTTAAGATACTATAATATACTATAAGAAACAGTTACAACACACTTACCAGGGAACATATAGGCAAAGGCTCAATCGTACTTATTAATTATTTAAATGAATATCTATTACAGTACCATCATTTTGTATAGTGTATATCATTTAAAATAATGCAAAAGTATAATTCATTGACCACTTGGCTCCAAGAAACAATTAATTCTCTTTGTAAACAAATTAAATTAAATAGCAGAACAGCATTTCTGACAACAGCTGGAGTTTCATAACAATGTTTGTTTACCATGTTAATCTTATGGATAAATAAGAAACTTTAAAGGGCCCTAGGGCCTCACTCTCTAATTATTTCCTTATAAAAAAGTTTCCTGCACAACTTCACGTTACGCTCTTTCCAATGACACCAAAAACATGTCAATCGGTTCAGTAGTTCCGGAGGAGTAATTGTCACAAAAAACCTGCTTGCGTATTAAATAAGTATAGATTATAAAGCTGAAATATAGACTTTTTCCAGGGTCTGGATTAGTTAATGGAATAAGATTAGTTGTGTTAGGTATGTCTGAAAAAAGTGTAAAGTTAGAAGTAATTACTGGAGTAGGCAAAGGGAACATATTTTTCATGCCAAAAATAAAACTAACATCTAAAGATCCTAATATGCCGTTTAAGTTTAGGAATTCAATTCCTATTGCGATTAGCTTTCGATATTACTATAAATAAAGCGCAAGGCCAAACCTTCAAAAAGTTGGCATTTATTTGAAAAAAACCCGTGTTTACCCATGGTCAACTTTATGTAGCTTTTAGCCGGTTAAAGTTGCCAGATGATGTTAAAATAGTACTAGAACAAAATAAAGACCAAGGATTCGATTAAAATGGATACTATACTCTGTTGTTTTAGAGAGATTTTGTTATAATTAGCATTATACAATTTGGAGGATGACATTATCTCTATGTGTTTTATTTAAGTGAATTTGTCTATATTCAAAGGAATTGATAAATCTATCTATATATTAATAGGCAAGCATGTTTCTTTAAAACCTTTTTTCTCAGCTCGTGTGCATCGTAGGTAAAATCTACGCATACCGTTAGAAAGCTATTTTCCTCTAGGTGTGCAGAATCCCTTTATAAATTTAAATAGGCTCAAAGATAAGCACGAAAAATGAGTTTAAAAATTTGAAAAAATTAACATGGATCTTATGCGTTGCTATGGTGACGAAATAACGAAATATAAACAGAAAATCAAAACAAATGGAAGAAACTCCAATCACATGTTTTATTTACAGTGTGGGGTGAAAATAGAAGAGTGAGTACTACAGTACATTAGATATTTTTGGTCGAGTTTCGACCACTGGACGACCTCTCGTATTTAATTAATAGTCATGAAGATTATTATTGAAAATCTTCCTTAGATGTATATCATGATTAGAAAGTTTGTATTATAAACACACTACATGAACAGTCCTTTGGAATCTACATTTTAAACAGAACAGACATCAAAAAATTGCATTATGCAGGTATGTAATAACTTTTATACATATTATAATATACAAAAATGTTAAACGATAATTCAAGGTAGGGTAACCCATGAGACTAATAATTTGTACAAAATATTTACTAGAATATATATATAGGGGCTATTGCCCCTACAAGCCACTAGTATGTTTATAACATCATATGACATCCTCCCCTTCGGACGATTATTTTACTGGGATGATTTGGGATCTACTTCGTCGCAGTGTTGGTCCGTTGTCCTGCTCAATTAGGTAAGATCTTGGCTCTTGAAGTTTAGCCTTCACCACACATTTTCTCCTCAGATCCGGTACCCAAACTGTACAGCCGGGATGAAGATCGGGAAGGACCCTTGCCCGTGGCGCTTGTCATATCTGGCCTTCATCCCCTCCCTTATGAGTTTTTCCTTAGCTTGGATCTTCGCATTGTCTGGCAAAGAGGGACGTAGGTTTTCCGTCCAGGTAGAGACGGTGCTTCTGATCTTCCTTCCCATGAGTAATTCCGCTGGGGAATATCCATTTTCCAAAGGAGTTGTTCGGTAGGAAAGTAGACCAATTTCAACATCTTTACATTTTGACAGGATTTTTTTAGCAGTGCTCACTGCAGACTCAGCGAGACCATTTGACTGAGGCAGTTTAGGGCTGCTGGTGATAATTTCAAACCCCATCTCTTCAGAGAACTGCTTCATTAACATCATATGACACTTGCTACTTAGCAAAATATCAAACTAATTGTATTGTGAAATTTCTGTGTGCTCTCAAATGCCTGGAACTCTTTTTTGTGTGTGCTATCTGTTTATCAATTCCTTCATCTTTACCAAAGAGCAAAGTGCTCTTTTTTCAAAAAACTATAATTTAATTTTTTATTTTGTGCAGTAGAAAAAGCGCCTCTGTACAAATATAAATATTTCACTCACCTCGCTCCAAGGGCCGACCTGCCACTGTGTTTCTCTCTCCGTGCCTTGGTCAGGCGGGGCACAGGGGGGTCGCTGACACGTACGGATGCGATGCAGCAACGGAGACGGCGGGGTCAGACACGCCCCGTCAGCCACTGTCATAATCAGTGTGGTCGTGATCTCCTGACGACAAAGGATCTCTCTGGTTTGCACTCCTTCCCCGCAAGTGACGGAGCACTCGCTCCACTCACCTCCCACCCACCTGAACAAGAGAGCTTGCTGATCCAGGGGTAAAAATGTTACATTACCTATTTTACTTTGTGATCTTTAAAGGTTTTACGTTTTGATCCTTTTGTCGTGGGACAAAATGAAGACAATATATAGTTCTATGATATAAAGTTTATAGCTTAAATACTCACTCAGCTACGCATGGCTTCAGATTACATCGAACAATTTGCGGAGGCGGTTTTTCGAAAGCAGTGCATCGTCGGTCGGATACTGTCAGCTGATTGTGTTCTCTCACACAAGCTATCACAGCTGTTTGGATACCTGGAAAAACATACACAATTGACTTTGGGTACTTCAATTAGATTTTTACTGACATTCCTGTGGGTTAGGTATACAATGAATAGTTACAAGTGTAGAATAAAAACACCATTTGATCTGTGGTTGAAGGGTGAATTTGCTAAGCTCCCATCAGACGTGTTACCAAAAAATTGGGATGACTGCCTATGCAAAATATCATTTAAATATATACTAGTTAAAACTATAACAGAACATTTGCGAGGAGTTGTGCCATCAACTGCCTGGTCAAAAAGATAAATGACTGGTGTTTTCCCAGTCACATTTTAAACACAATCTCATTCATACAATTTATTATTTAAAACAATTATAACAACAAAACAATACAAAAACAAACAATCAAAACAATTTATTATTTTAGATTCTACTTTTCTAAACATTTTCTTCTATTCCTACAGCACTGTCAGAGATTCAACTTACCTCCACCACAAGATCTAGAACACTCTGTGAATCCGGTGATCTTCCAAGCAAATTTTCGTTTTCGCTTGGGTCGAGATTTGACAGCTTCGTCTCCTGCGTAGGCCTGCATATCCCCCCCTCCACCTGCTGTGGTGGTGCCGTATGGGAAGACTGGACTGCTAGGCCTGGGAATATCAGGGTAGAGACTTAGAAAAAAATCAAATCCATAATAATTGTAATTCATTGCATAATCAGTTGTAATGATTAGTATGATTTAGATTGGATAAATAGTTAAGTTGTGGAATAACAGGATGGTAAATATTATTAGGAAAATGGAGTTAATAATGGTATGAAAACCGAGAGGAATCCCTTGATAAAGTGGGTAAATGACGTGAAGAAGGATAAGTGGATGAAATCCGAAGAAAGGAGGAATTAGGCGCTTGGTTGAGGAAGATATATCCTGGAATAAATTAAACAGAAGAGGATATGTGTAATCCTGGAGTGCTGGAAACTAAATACGTTTTAAGTAAATACTAAATCAAATATTTCAAACAAAATTATTATAAGTTTGTGAGGAATTGAAGGGATGGTAAAAAAATAAAAATTAATATAAATTTCTTTGGCTGTTAATTTAAGTAGGACCAAACAACTACATATTTACCTTGTATCAACCCCATTTTCTAATGCTTTATGATCTTCTGGGATATGATTTGGAGCTGGAAACGATCAAAAAGAGTATTAATCACAAAATTTAGAATGCTCTACAAAAACTCTAAACAACACAACTAAAAGAGGACTATTAACAAATATAATCCATTAAAAGGGTTAAGTTCTTTACAAGCACAACTTCAATAAAAACCTGGGACTGCTTTTTGGAGGTTTATCTCCTCTGGGGTTTATTAACTCTCGTCATGAGCTTCTAACTTAGCTTGTAACAAAACACACGCTGGATTTGTATCTTCATGTTCATATATGTAAACCTTACTCGTATGAAACTAATAATGTTTTTTAAGTCAACACTCACAGAAGTTGGAAGACTAGTAAAAATTCTTTCTGTTATTGCGGATATTGTTTGATAAAGGTGTATAAAGAAACTTCAGGATTTTTTTATTTGAGCCACACAGTACCCATGTGCCTAAAATATTTGAAACGCATATCTGAAGCTTGAAAAATTAAAAATATCTGATAAAATATAATAGGTATAGCTGTAGCTTATAAAATATCTGAAGCTTTTTTTCAAATAAGTCCCCTAACTTATGATTGAACAAAGCTTTTTCATGTCTTTCCTTACAAAAACACTAAATTTTTTATATAAAATGTTTAGAAGGTGCAGAAGACATCTTACACGGATGCCTGGCAAGCGGAGGTGCAATCACCGACTCCTTGGCGGAATGTTCAGACCTGACCATGGGAAGCTGGTACTGGTACTTGATACCAGGGTTTGGCTGCTGGTAGATCAGCTGGAAAACACATTGATTCTGTTATGTATTGTTTCCTAATATTTTCAACACTTTGAGCTCTTAACTCTTGAACCCATAAAAGTTGTTGTCAATTTAAGAATTAAAATAGACCCACACAGGGATGAATTGAGCTATTGACTGAGAAATCAATAAGTACTGATTTTGGTTAAATATTCCAGTTATTGTGACAATGTAAAAATGAAAGAACAACTTTTGTGAACTACGGCATTTTTTATTTCACTTGCAATTTTTTCATGTAACTGTTAGAACACAAGTGCCTATGGATTTTGTATACGATTTATGGATGAATCTTTTTGTTGAAATTGCTAGTAACAGTGAACTTCTCTAATTTTTGTCTGTTGTGTAAACTTTATAGGTTCTTGGGTGGGCCATGGTGGTAAGTCTACTCTCATTAAGGTACGCCTGCTGTTCAATTCGTTGTTAATTTAGTGTAAGTTACTTGAAGGGGAAAAATTTTAGGAGAAACCTTGAAACCAAAAGGTCAAAACAAAAATACTTTGTTCATATTACACTTTGTTCGTATTACGCTTTCAATGCACACTTTGATGGGACAACCTTTTGTAAAACTAAACCATAAGTCTAAGTGTCTCATTGAATCTACGACATTAATTTCTACCATGAGATCTAGAGGTTCCAGTAGAGGACCGGGGGAGTGTATAGACTCTATGTGCTGATCATCGTCTCTTGTGTACGAGAATGGAGTTCCTCCTGCGTTGAAATCCCCGGACCAGTTGATGGCCCAGTTGCCGTTCAACAAGAAACTGCCATCAATCCGCCGTAGAGCTGGAAATCCAAAAGTTTATGTTACATTTTCATCCTACATAATCCAATGCTCGTCATATGCAAGTCTGTTTATGTACTACAGAAACCGTAATCTAATTGTTGTTCTCTATAAATCCAGAGGGTTTGCTAAAAAAGCATCTCGGCATCTCTTTCCTCCTTCAGGAAAAAGTCAGTTGGCAAAGCTGGAAGTAGAACTAAACAGAGAAGAACAACAGAGTTTTCAATATTCTGTAGAGGGTTTGGTCTGCCAATTTTGCCCAAAGGGCAAATAAAAATGAGCTGGTGTGGAAAACAACTATAGGACATAACAGAATATTCTTCTAACTTAACATTTTTTTGCTCATTTTAAAGCGTGCGAGGGTTAAATTGAATTTAGAGTCCTTCTATATTCACCCGGGGTAAAAACTACAGCATTTTTTTGGCAGAAAAGTCGATTTACACCCTACTGAAGAATAATATAATGTTGTTAGTTGTATTTATTTTTCATTGTTGGTTTGCTACCCTATTGAATACCGGTACAAAAGCTGTATTAATTTAGAGTTTGTATAAAAACACTCACCAAGATAGTTTCTGCTCTGCTTAAGCTCGCTGATGGTAAGGTTGCATGCAGACTGGGGCAGTTGTGTGATGAGGTTATAACCCATGGGTAACTGAGGCCGGGTGAAAATACCGGAGACTAAGCGACAAGTGGAGTTCGTACCACTGCAGGCTGCACAGTCCAGTCTACGGTCCGACCCATTGATACCAACCCCCTGGAATAAAAATACTCTATTAGTCACATTAAACATAGAAGCACATTGCATTTTGTTTGATTACATAGTAGTACTAAAACATTGACACCATAATAGTGTTGTTACCGTTGGTATCATTGCAGGCTGCACAGTCCACCACCATAGAGATAGGAAGGTAGGCACTGAACCTCTGAATGGCATCACGTTGGCTGACATTAGTAGTACAGGGGATAAAGTACATTGTACTTTCATTTGAACTACGGGATTGTGTACGCAGCCATGAGCTGATTAGTGATAGTTGGTACCAACATAAAAAAATTACTATCGATTTTCTAGTGTAGTCTGCGTCTCGATTTTGTAATAGTCTAAGCGTTGGTTCCCTGAATAAGAATCAATTGATTAGTTAATACTGGGTGCATTGCATTTTGTTTGATCACAGGAGTAGTAGAAGTGTTAATTCCTTAATTGTTTAGTTTAAGTTGTAATATACAAACTATAAACATCATATTCCGTTCCATGTAGATTTATCATCCCTGGATCACCTTAAAACACCTGAATTCATTTTTGTTTACAAACTGAAATAAAGACTCAATTAGCTACAGGGTGAGCTGTGCCATTATTGGTACCTAACTAGGGTCTGTCATTGCTTTTTTAACAAATGAATTATATTAGGCATAGTTTCTTAGATAGGTACCAATGGTTGCACAGTTAAGTTTTTCACCTGTATATTCTATAATTAAACCATTACATTTATCAAAACCTTTTTATAATAAGAAACTATTTCCTTCTTTATATCAAAATAAAACTTCCTATGTAAAAAAGGTTCAGCATTAACTATGAACGCCATAAACTTAGTATTTGGCTACAGTTAAAACAAATTAGTGAATGCTAAAACAAGTTTTATAACACAGGGAAATGGCATTATTTGGTGGATCAGGCTGCTGAGGGCTGATGAGCTAATTACAACGATTGCTTTGGTCAGCTTTAGCCCAACCGCTCCCAATCAATCAGGGTATGTCGGTAAACAAATAGAGATGTAGACAATAGCAAACCGTAGCTTTATTCCTTGTTTAATAGACTGTACAGACTAATCAGTATGTGAAGAAGATTGGAAGTAGGAAAATCAGTGAAACCGTATATTACTACTGTCTAAGATGAAATGATTGGTCACTTGCAATAATTTGGAAATTACAATACTGAATAAAATTAACAGAGTTTTAAACATTCTTATAAAGAAAGTATTTGTGATAAGATTTGGTGTAATACTACTGAACTTTTAGGGTCACTAGAAACAAAAACACCATTTGTTTCCAATTTGTATAAACAATCTGTACACCTGTAGTACGTAGGTAGGCAAATTTCATAACAGTTTTGCAAACCTGTAAAGTGATATATATGTAGGGTTGATCAATAAGGTCTATTTGCATAGTCTATATATAATTGCATACCTATAAAGTTTCATATTTAGGGTTGGAACTGCTTTTCCCCCGAGCAGAGTACAGGGTTTTCCGCTCAAACGACGCAAACACAAATATATTCAGCACTAAAACGGAGATTAATCACAAAAATAAAAATAACTGGTCAAGTAAACGATTTAAATATTTGTTGGGTTGGTCTTAAATTACCTTAACGTTCTCTTCACATTCGTTTTCAAAAACCGTCTAGACCTAATGAATCGCGGCGTTTGTGGTCTATGGTGATTTCTGATCATTTTGAGGGCATGTGATAAATCAACTCTTCAAAGCACCACTCTGGGAAGAGCTAATGGTATTGAGATCATCGGCAAAATCATCGATATATTGAGCGTTGATAGTTGATTTTACGATGAATGTGAGAGGTGCTAAACAATTAACATTTCTTAGTCAGCTTGTGCTGAAACCACGATGCAGAGTGTTAAAATAATACTGATCCAACAAGCGTATACATATTTACATATATTAATACTTTAGACTAGCCTACTTAAGATTTGTTATAGATGTACAAGTCAATGAATGTTGTTTTTAGGCTTAGGTGACGCAATATAATAGGAATAATTTTATAAATATTGAAAAACTGAGGAACACTGTTTACGGTGTGCTAGCATAGCAGTATTAATTATTACAATAAATTAACTACTTACATAAAATTAAAATTATTCTGTCACTAAATGTGAAAGCAATATTAATTAATTTTGTTTTATTCTGTGCGAAAACACCTGAATTAGTGTATTTATTTTTAGCCATTGTAATTATTTTCTTTGCTAGTGTAGTTCTATATCTTGCTTTAAAATTCCCCAAGTTCAATAACAATTTTAATTTCCAATGGTTTACTTCATGTGCTTTCGGCAATAAATGTTTGCCAATAAACCGTTTCCCAAAACCTTCCTTTGCTGGAGTTTGGAATATACTTAGCAAACAGACATTATTTACATTTAATCACTCAAAGAGACATTACGAAAATTGTTTCAAACAAGTTTGGCAGTGGTTTAGTTGACGACGCAAAAATAATTAAATTGCAGTAAAAGCTAGGAGGATTAAAACCAGATAAATAAGTATTTTTTGTGTATATTTAAAATATCCGGAATATTTTATGATACAAAAATACATTTCAGTTTGAAGATTTTACTTAAGCTGAACAGAACTGCGAAAACCCGACTCCAATAGCATGTTCCGTTCGGAAGTTGTGATTTTTTAAAGTATAAATTAAAATCAATGACATTCCATGGTAGAGATAAATTTAAATACCCAAGGACGATGTCGCGAATGAATGGCGCTCAGCGATAAAGGACCTTTAAACCGATAAGATAACGCACCTCATTCATTCATTCATTCATACTTTATCTCTTTAAATATTTAAAAATCTACCTCAATTATTGTCGCTATTTTATCAATATTCTCAATGCTGTAATTTTTTACTCAGTTGTCCGTTTGAGCTCGGGTTTGCGGCATTGTTTTTTACTAATAAATATCTTTATTTTTATGTAGAAATGGATAGATTGTCTTCTGACACCTAGCGGCCGTCCCCCTGAGGAGGTAGCGTATCACTGAAAATGCCCTAAATATTTTATGAGCAGAGTGACTTTTTTGCAAGTTTTGTAGCTATGTCTTTATTTGATCTATTTTTAATATTTTTCTGTATAGGGACTTTTAAAGCGTTAAGAATGTTCGAAAAGTTCCCATTTATTACATTTTGAAACTCTGTAAAAAATTACTTTAACATGACTACTGTTTTCAAGATTGAATAAAAACAAAAAATATGCAAACTTTTAAACTTTATACCACCTCCACCAAACCCAACTCTCAAATTGGTGTAACTTTCTACCATATAATACGGGCACTCGATTGAACAGATTGGAGTCAAAAGTTAGCTTTCCCTTTGATGTTGGCGTTAATATCCCTTGGAAACTAGCGGTCATCTTGGATTACTTTAAACAGCTGCCGAAGGGTTATTTATAATCCAAAAATATGTTTTTTTTTTAAATAGGATACCAAAATTGTTGTAAATTAAATATATAGTGCACTGTGACATCATAAATTTTCTTCGGGGTTTATAATTGTTTTCCAAGGGATTTCATGGATGCTAGCGGCCATCTTGTATATTTGCCTGTCAAAAAGCAATGTTAGTTTTGTTAATTTCAAACAGCCACTGAAGAGATATTTACCATCATAAAATATTTTTTTAAATACCAAAGTGATTGTAATTTAAATGTCAATTGCGCCGTGGGATTAAACATTTTCTTCCTACTTTAACTTAAACTCGACCAAAACCACGATTCTCTATTTTGACCCCACGCTGTGATTGGAATTTCTTCCATTTGTTTTGACTTTCTGTTAATAATTTTGTTGTTGGTTCGTCACCAGCATGGCAACCCATAACGCCCATGCAAATTTTAAGACATTCAAAGTTACTTTTTTACCCTTTTTTAAATTTATACAGGGACTCTGCACATTTATAGGTAAATATCTTTCTAACAGTATGCGTAGATTTTCTTTGCGATGCACACGTGGTGAGAAAACAAGTTGTAAATAAACAGCTTGCCTATTAATAGATTGTTAATGTTTAAAACAAAGTTAATTGTAATAAAGAAGTTAATATATGTTTTTAATTAACACAGTTTCATTTCTGTATCATGACGAGTTCCAACTTGCGTTTCATCAATCGGCTGAAGGCTTAATTAAATTTATTCGCCAATAAAGAGAAAGATTTATCGTTACCAGAGACAGCTGAAAAATGACAAGTCAACGCTTGTTGGCCGATCGCTTCGTTTCCATATTTTATAATCTGTTGAGGGATAGAGAGAGTCTGTTACACAGATTTATTATTAGGTTGCTATTAAACATATAAAAAATCATCCATTTCAGCTTGTTTTATTAAACGGGCGATTCCTGTTTAGTTTTGACTATGAGCACAGGGTCCTTAGCTAATGCTATGAGTTAGAGTTTGAATCGCTCTAGGACAGTGTTCTGTTTGGTTTATATAAACGAAATTGGAATAATTTACCTTTTCTTTTTCTTACCTTCTATCGTCGACCTTTAGTTTAGCATGATTAATGAAAAGACCAATTAGGAAAGAGATCTGGTCTCAGAATGGATCAAACCAGACACCTTCAGGTTTGCGCTATAGACCCTAGCTACTAAGACAATACAACTGTACACAGTGTTTAATTGGAACCAACGTCATAATTACGAATAACAATGGTAATTCTTCATAAATTTTCCCCAAATATGTGAAAAGCATAAGTTAGATTAACTCCTTGCAAAAAATATTTTACACGTATTTCATCATTGTAGTCATTTTAACCGTAAATAAAATACTGCAAATTAATAGTTTCCGTGGTACAGTAAGTAAGTAATAAATTTCGGTAAGTAAGTAATAAAGCTTTACTATTTCTTGTATATAAATTAAAGATATTATAAAAAGAGTTTACACATTTACGTTCTTATGAAAACGTTTTAAAGCAACACTGACATATATAAACAAACTAAGTAGCATTGACTATCGCAGTTCAATTTCGAATAGAATAATAATGCTATGTTAACTTA